CTGGAAGACAGAGGAGTTAGGGGAGACATGATCCCCTATTTGTCCAGGACCACATGGGACAGCAAGTCAGTGGCCGGGCCGAGGTGTAACAGTCAGGTGACAGCCAGGCGGCCCCTGGCGGCCCCGGCCCACGGTCAGACTAGATTTGTGTGGGTCAGGAAGGTGCAGGTCAGACACTTCCCTCGGGGACAAGGACGACCGTCTGGGATGAGTTGGGGGGTGGGGTTGTCTGGAACAAGTGGCCAGGGTGGAGGACGGGCTGGACAAGGGAGTGTTGGACGGGGTGGACAAGAGGGTGTTGGACGGGCTGGGCAATAGGGTGTTGGACGGGGTGGAGAACGGGCTGGACAAGAGGGTGTTAGTCGGGGTGGACAAGAGTGTGTTGGACGGGGTGGAGGAGGGCTGGGCTGTAAGACCCAGTGGTCCCGTTACACCACAAGCGCTAACTAACCTACTCATCCTGCAGTTACTCACCAGTCTCAGTTTCACTTTCGCCTCACAGCGGGAGGGAGTCACCGGCAACCAGGAGCCACTCATTTTATCAATGAAATATGACGTTAGTGTGATTTATTTGCACAGCAGCACCAATACTACTATTACTACTACTACTACTAATAATAGAGATAAACCACATTATTGCTATCAATGACAAAATTCACAGAAGCCATGATGATGAGGATTCGAACCCATGTGCCGGGTATTCCCAGAAACACGCTCCAGTCGACTGCTCCACGACACGGTCAAACAATTGCAAGCTCGGGTTTGCACCCTCGAGGATCCCCGAGGCTTCCACTGAAGCCTAAGCAAGTTTCACATAACTCCCCCCATGTCATTCGTCATATGGATGGGGAGCTAGTGTGAAAATCCTGTTCCGGTTTCAGGAGAAGTCTCAGGAAACCCTTGTGGGTTCAGTAGAACTGCAGGTTGCAATCCTTATACCATGTCGTGGTCTAGTGGCTAGAAGCGTGTGCCTAGGAACACCCACCGCATAGGTTCGAACCCTCATTACGGCTCCTGTGGATTTTCTCATTGACATCATGATGATGTGATTTCTCTGAGTAATAATAATAATAATAATAATAATAATAATAATAACAACAACCCAGAGTGCTTGCAATAACATAACGTGACACTCACCGTCACCAGTAAGCGTAACACAAGGACGTGTCCTCAGTGGGTAACATCTGGGAAACACGTACCTACTCCCTGCACGTAGCTGGGTCAAAAACAGTGTTCGAACATCAAACGTTTTAAATTAAATGTTCTTAGTATCTTCCTGTCACCGAATAAGACCGGCCATGAAGGACGCCTCATGGCTAGGCTGTGTTCGTCCAAGTAGCCACCGACCCCCAACACGCATTCGTAAAGTAATTAAAATTGAAATTGAAATAAGTTTATTGAGGTAAAATACACACAAAGGGATGAGGTAGCTCAAGCTATTCTCACCCCGTTCAGTACATACATAGACACACATCACAAATTCGTAAAGTGGTGCGTATTTTCTGTTGTGGGAGTCAAATTCCAAATCTGTGTTTCTGGTTACACAGTACGGTACACACAGAAATCACAATTGCGTGATGAATCAAATGAACAAATCCACAAGGGCCGTGACGAGGATTCGAACCTGCGTCCGAGAGCATCCCAGACGCTGCCTGATCCTCGTCACGGCCCTTGTGGATTTGTTCACACAGTACGGTGTTTCTGAGGACTGCGTAGCTGCGGTCAACCGCAGTTTGAAGAAACATGGCCTGAGGATGGGTTGCTCTGAACACTTCATAACCCGTTTTAAAATGAAATAGTTCAGCATAGGTAAGTGAATTTAAAAGGATTTAGGTTTACTTTACAAATATATCATTCATCTTTTTAAATCTTAATATTGTATGTGCAAATAAAGCACCGTTGGTAGGCTTAATATATTATATTCAAAGTTTGTGTTATTATCGATATTGAAAAAACAATTGGGTTAAAGCATCAGTTCGATATGCTCTCATTTACACTTGTTATTGTGACTTATTCTCTACTTCTATTGTGCAGCCTTCCAGTCTCGCTCCCGTCCACCTGCCAGGCTTATCTGGTCTGTGTCGCCTGAGTGTACGTAGCCTGTGTTCCAGCTTCCTACTGTAAAGTTACAGCGGTACAGAACTAACTACATCAAGTTCAAGTAAGTTTACCGAGAATAGAGCAGCTTAGGCTATTTCCACCCATTATTATTATTAACATCTTTATTGACAAAACTAAATACAATTTTGCCTAATCTGAGGATTTCGATTAAGTCTTAATGAGTTCCACCCAGGGTAATTAGGTTGATAGGGCAGCCATCCCGTGGACGGTGGAGGCAGGGCGGCGCTCTCACACTGGGCGCAACAAGGAAATGATTAAGCAAATGTGTTATAATACAAAGTGTGGGTGGGGGCAACGCATATGCAATATATGCAACATTTGCGATGAGGCATATGCAACGTGGAAAAGTATAGAGACAAGCGCGAAACACTGGAAAAACATGTGAGATGTGTGCAACAGGCGAGTGTATGCAACAGGTGACGTATGCTCAACAGTCTCGGAGAGCAGGTAAGACAGGTACGACAGTGATGATAAAACAGCATAGATAGCAAACAGTAAGACAAGTGCCCCGCCTATCAGCGGAGACAGGTACTCCAGGTGGGACAGGTAGTCAGTTGAGGCAGAGAGGTCGGTGGAGAGGTAGAGGTCATTATGAAAGGTCAGCCAAGATGGGTGTGCCAGATATAATGAGAAGAGTATACATAATGGGCTCTCCTCTCCAAATGACTATTCAATCTGAAGATTTTAAACCAACCTGTAGTTTATGTCACTGCATGAACGACTAAAACTGATGACAACATACGCAAAATACGAGGCTTGAACAAAACCACAAGGGCCGTGACGAGGATTCAAACCTGCGTCCAAGAGCATCCCAGACGCTGCCTTAATCGACTGAGCTACGACATTTGTTGCATTTGTGTTCATTTGATGCATCACGTTATTGTGATTTCTGTGTGTACGAGACTTGAGTTTCAATCTTTGATGATCTTTGATGAAGTTAGCGTAGCAAATCCAACAAGTGCTTTAAGGAAACAATATTACCATTATTGTGGGAAATTGGCTAATGAGACGCATGTTTTCGAGGAAGAGAACATAAGGGAGAGTGAATCAACCACACATTAATCTCAACTCCTGAATTGGGAAAGTACTGATAGCCATTACAGCTAATATAGTATCTTATTAAGATAAAGACAAGCTCGCTGGCTTATCATTGCCTACGAATTAATGAAAGATCAATACGTATAATTTGCTTAGACTTAACGTTAGGCTTTCGAAAAGATTCTTCATTACAAATGATAATTCTGGTTGGCATTAACAGGGCTGGCAACAACGACTGCTCCAGCTGAGAGACGATAAATGTGACAATATTGAGAAGATTACTGATGACACTTAAATTATTCTACAAAATAGATAACAAAAACGATGTTTCTAATTTACTTTTAGGCTTAAGGCCTAAAAAATACCTATGGAGGGCTATATTATGACCACGGCAATACCTGTAATGTTGACCAACCAACAAGTATACTTTAGTCCTGAATATAGTCCAGGACTAAAACAAACTATCAGTGTATATATATCGGGAGCGGAATATACTTATCAGTATGGATATGTCAGAGATGTTGGGAAGAATGATGTAAATATCAAAATATTTGCGACCAGTGCGGCCGACCTCTAACGTCATTATAGGCTATTAATTAAATCTTTGGACAGGATTTTCTTGAAGATTGAAACAAAGGTAGATGATTAGAAACCTACAACAATATATTGGTAAGGGGAAAACGAGTCGTGTTCCAACATTTGGAACACGGGCAAGGCTGGAGAATCTGTAGGCTGTGTGGAACAGGATAAATGTAAAACATAGATGGCAAAGAAAGGCAATTAACATGGTAAACGTCACAAATCATGACTCAAACAGTTTACAATGTTTCTACTTACAACCAGACGTAACCTAAAAAGGAAGATAAATGCATTTAATATATCAAAACAACTATAACGAGCTCAAATACTCTTTTCACTGAAAATTTTGTTAGAAACCTAAGAGGAAAGTTTAGGAAATAAGGTGGTATATGAGTGTAATTTGGTAAGCAAAACACAATAGATAGCTTTTCTAGATCGATTGTGAATCGACGTAAAAAATTGACTGAACACACTAATAAGCTTATGAATTTGCGACAAAGCTAACGTGACAGATGAGATGCCTGTAACTCGGGACATAATTAGTGACGAGACCAAGACAATTACGGGCTCACCATAGCCCGTGCTACTTGGAACTTTTTATTTTGTGTAGCTGAATCTAAAACAACAACAAACAACCAAGACAAGTGAGACGGACAACACAGGAGAGGACAGGATAAAAGTGGACAGGTCAGGCAAGGACAGGAGGGAGGGAATTATCAGGAGAAAGTGCTAAGCCATTACGACTATATAGCACTTGGAAGGGGTCAGGTTAAGGATTTGGGATGGGACGGAGGAAAGGAATGGTGCCCAACCACTTGGGCGGTCGGGGATTGAGGCAAGGACAGGGAAAAGAAAATGGCAGGACAAGCGAAAGTCGATGGGACATGTGAGGACAAGGCAATGTGAGTTTTTACGGCAGGTCAGGACAGAAGAGAAGGTAAAGGCAGAAGGGCTGGGCGTGGAAAGGGGAAGAACAACAGGGCAGGGAAGGGAAGCGGACCCACATAGCATTATGATACTAGGAAGAAATCGATCAGGGTCGTTCATGTACCAGAACTCAAGCAAGAGATGACCAAACTCAAACCATTTCTTATGTTGTATTCATTCTTTGTACGCCGTCGACCTTAACTCTAAAGAGGCTCTCTGAGTATGGTTTGTGTCATTGGTGCAGATAACAAGTATTTGACTTATAGCAACAAATATTAAATAATAAACACGGTGACTTTCCTTTCACATAAGACAAACAACGCAAACTTTCTTACCAAACTCTGCAGTCATGGCAACTGCCGCTAATGAAAGCAGGGCCACCAAGTTGACAATCACCGACATCTTGCAAGTGAGCTACTCTCAAGAGTTTCCCCCAAGACACTTTCACTAGGTAGTCACGTCTCGCAAGCGGAGGAGCGTAGAGGCGCCGCGTGGGTGGAGCACCAGACAGCGACCGTCCTGCACGGGTCTGCGGCAAACACTGACGATACATGTGTTGGCCGCTCGGAGCATGGCCGCCTGGGGTTCCCCAAGGGGGTGGTCGGCTCCCACATTTTTCCAAACAATTTCCTGTTTAAACAAAAAAAAAAAAAAAAAAAAAAACCTAGGAAGGTGATGCTGAGGGATAGAGGATGACTTCAAGGATGGAACCCATGTTGCAGGTGTCGATTATGGTGGTGAAGTCGATTATATTATTTATTTCACGGGTCATTGAAGAGATAGTGAAACGGATCTGATGAAAACTGTGTTGTCTATATCATGGTGATCGAGTTTAATGATGCATGGTGATTGTACTCTGATGGTGATTTGGTTGTTTATAGTGTACCTGGAGTGGGTTCTAAGGGATCTACTCCCCCAAGTCCAACCTCGAGCCTGGCTTGCTTGTGATAACTTTATCTAAAAGGCTGTTGGTTGGAGCTGTTTGCAAGCTTGAAGTGATGGAGATGGTGACTGTTGTTTAAGTGATGATAAAGGTGATTACATTGGATGCTACTAAAAGTAAGAATGATAATTCAGATTCACGGAGCAAATATTTTAGATAATAGCATGGATGTTGTTAAACCAGCGTGACAATGGTACTATATGTGTATGGAGGCAGAGTAAGTACGCCTCTGGGTGAACAGAGGTTACAGTTAAGGATGGGGGCCTAGTCAATCCTCCCTGGCCAGGATATCAACCCAGGCCAAATCGTTGGCGAAGCGTGGGGCGAGTGATATCACTGCGCCACGGAGACTGCTTACTCAGATTTTAAAAAGGGAACTTTAATTCATGTCGGTTGATGAATCAGTCCCCGTGGCGAAGTGATAACACAGTCGCCCGGCGTTTTGCGAGAGCTTTGGCCTGGGTTAGTATCCCTGCCGGGGAAGACTGACTAGGCGCCAATCCTTAACTGTAAGCCTATGTTCACCCAGCAGTGAATGGGTACTAGTTAAACGATTTTGAGGGTTGTATTCCTGGGGACATTAGGATTAAGGACTTGCCCGAAACGTTATGTGTGTTAGTGGCTGTACAAGAATGTAAGAACTCTTCTATATATAAATAAATATATAAAAATATCCGTGTGTTGAAAAGCAGGATATAAATAAAAAATATCCTGCTTCGGGAAGCAGGTTCGGTGCGATATAAACCCCCAAGCACATCATTTTCGCCACCCGATTCTTGAAAGATTTTATCTCTCATTTGGCGTCTCATGTCCTAGTCCATACGCCCAGTTTCATTCTTTTGCACTTATTTGAGTAAACTTTAGAGTAGCCATTTGTTAGACTATTCTTTCAGATTGTCCAGGTCTTCTGGACAATTAATTATCTTGCAATCTTCTTCCTAATTGCAATTCCTCATAATTTTTGTCCCATCAAACAAGGAGAGAAATTGGCCTATTCTCTCTGAATGATGGTTTACTCCAATGATGGTTCTATATATGAGACTGAGGAAGGTCAGAGTTGGTGATCCGTGTGGGACTCCGCTGGTGAAGAGGTCCAGCAAGTCACCCACGTCAACAAGGTACGATATAGCTCTACCCCCAGGAAAGGTTAAAATAGGTACAACAAAACTAGTAGACTTTCCCTAAGCACAGCCCCACTCCTGTGACAGGTAAGTCCACTACGGGCTCACCATAGCCCGTGCTACTTTGGAACTTTTGTTCTAAGTAGCTGAATCTAAAACAACAACAACCCCAAGTCACTGTTATTTAAGGAGGAGATGGAGGAAGAGAAAAGAAAAAGGGGATGAGGAGAGGAGGGAAAGAACAAGGAAGAGTATTGGAAGGAGGAGACGTATTAGAGTTTTGCTGCAAAGACTAGAGGAAGAGAAAAGAGAAGGAGGAGTAGGGAGAGGAAGAGGGTGAGGAAGATGAGGGGAAGGTTGAGGCAGAAGAGGAAAAGGAGACACACTTGAGTTAAACTGAGAAGACAGGAGAAAGTGAAAGAAGTAGAGGCACGCGGGGAAGATATATTTAGAGGGATCAGGTGGGAAGCCCATTGCCTCACTGACCAGGTAGAGTCCACTATCTGACCTTGGCTAGTGTGGCGGGGGTGGTATTGAGCCTGGTATACTGCGACCAGTACACTGATGGTGATGCTGCGACCAGTATGCTGATGGATGAAGGTGACATGTCCACTACGGGCTCACCATAGCCCGTGCTACTTGGAACTTTTGTTCCAAGTAGCTGAATCTCAAACAATAATTGCTCCGCAACTCCCACTACAACAGGTCGGTTATATCATCATAACAACGAACATTATTTAACCAACAGGTAATTCCTGAAAGGTGTGTAAATTATGAGAACGTAACACCATTCTTGAACACTTAACCAGGCTCTCACAGTCCAAAATAGTATCTAATTGTGTAACTTTCCAATCAAGTGAGCGTTCTGAAGGCTTATACACGAGTCCACGTGAGTCTCTCAACGTGTTACAGTATCACAGGAATAACACGGCTCAGTTTCCTCACAAAAAAGTTATCATAACATCAGTGTGTTACACAAAAGGCACTGTAACATATGTGGTAAAATAGCGATATAATACAACACCAGATAGTTGTATATTTTGTTTAATCTAACAACTAAATTCTTGATACAAGCAGACAAGCCGGATGAAACCATCAGGTCATGTACAGAAAACATCACTAAAACAAAGACTTTCGTTTACCCGAAAACAAAAATAATAACACTTTGAATTCCCTGTTTTTTTAACACGGCATTTCATGGTTTTTCAGGCTTAATCTCCAAAGGGTTATCATCAACGTCAACAATAGGGTTATTGTCTGCCTGTATACACTGTGAGTTTACTCTAGTCCTGGATGTTGTTGTTGTTGTTTTAGCTTTAGCTACTCAGAACAAAATGTCCATGTAGCACGGGCTATAGTGAGCCCGTAATATACTAGTCCTGGACTATGTTCAGGAGTAAAGTACAGGTGGGACGTTGGTAAGGTGTTGTGGTGGCCTTAACAACCCTCCTACGGACCATGGGCCTCAAGCCAAGCCTGCGGCTATCCAGCAAGAGCGGTGCACCAAAGTATATTATCGAGAACCCGGAATTCTTTATTGAGAGCCGAGAAGGAACCTGACCGTAATACCTGCTGGACCCTATGTTAATTGACACGCCCTTTTCAGCCCTCTGGTGGCAGTTTTGGGGAAAAAGTCACACGTCCACTCTTATGTTTCTTGTTCATTAAGTCACAAATCAGTGTCACCACGTGCACACATTGAAAAATTATCACCAAATACTATTCAATGTGAAGCTTCGGGGAACATGAGTACGCTCAATGGGACCAAAGTTAAGCTTACAAGTCTTGAGCTCAAAAGATAATACACTGGAGGTAATCACTTTGCCACCACCATGTAATTAGTGCTATTATATAATGCAGCATTAGCTGCATTATATAATAATAATAATCCAGCATTAGCTGGATTATTATTATTATCCCAGCTAATGATGGATATAATCCAGCATTAGCTGGGAGCATTAGCATGGGAGTCTGACAGCTGAGTGGATAGCGCTTCGGATTCGTAATCCTGAGGTTCCGGGTTCGATCCCCGGTGGAGGCGGAAACAAAAATGAAACTTTCTTTCACCCTGATGCGCCTGTTCACCTAGCAGTAAACGGGTGCCTGAGAGTTAGACAGCTGCTACGGACTGCTTCCTGGGGGGGTGTAACAAAAAGTAAGCCTAGTTGAGGACCGGGCCGCGGGGACGCTAAGCCCCGAAATCATCACAAGATAAGATCCATGGTTAGGTTTGGTTACATTAATTCAGTGTATTTCTCAAATGTGTGAAATACCAAAATCGAAAACAATTAGAGTTGTCTCTAGAATTTCATTTGCAGAAAACCATCTCCTCAAACCGTTTCAAAGAAAACGAGTAGACATATTTTAAACCAACGATATACAATACAATAAAGTTATAACTTGAGAACTGTTCAGACAAAGGTTCACTTGCCAATTGATAAGTAGACTATTACTGAACTGTATTATGCTTTCAGACCATCACAAATATCTAAATAACTTGTCAGTTTCTGTGAGAATGGGTTTGTTATCTCGTGGTAATCTCATTACCTTGAGAACGGGCTGCAACCTATTAAATGTTACCTCAGAATAGGTGTCAAGCAAGAGTGAAACCCCACTACCTTGGAGTCACTGGGCCTAGTCGTTACCAATATGCACATATAACACAGTAGTACAAAAAAAGTCATTCCACTTAAAAAGCGAATGAGTTTGTTAAGGTCTTAAGACCAAAAACCTGTAATGATTTCGATGATTTTAAGAGTTCTCAAAAATATAATTATATAATGAACTTCGGACCTATTTTTTTCAACTTCCTTCTCAAGTGAAGAAATATATATATATAACAAATTCGTGCTAGACTCATTGATCTCACGCTTTCTGTCATATTCAATAATATATGTCTAAAAAAAGATATAAAAATATTTATCTGATAAAGAGGAAAACGGCCTCGGGCCAGGCTAGGGGAGTAGAAGAACTCCCAGAACCCCATCAAGCAGGTATCAAGGGTCCGGTGGGAGCCTTGGAAAAGGTGGAGAAGAAATGGGCACTGCTTGCATGAAAGCAGTGGAATTTTTGGGGAGGGGGGGGAGAAAAAACATATGGGCAGCGTCTTGCATGTGACAGGCGCAAGCTGCTGACTACGCCCACACGCACACGGGACCCCTTCAGTTACTATGTCCCTTGGCTGGGCCCGACGACCCCCCCACCCTCCCCTCTACGACGCGCTCTACATCGGGCCCCTCTTGGGCCCCCATCTGTTTCCACATGACCATGCTGGGCCCCTTCAGTTTACTATGCCCCTCTCCAGTAAGTTCAGTAGAACTTCGGTTTCAACCCTTTTAACCCTGTCGTAGCTCAGTCGATTAAGGCAATGTCTGGGATGCTCCCGGACGCAGGTTCGAATCCTCGTCACGGCCCTTGTGGATTTGTTCATTTGATGCATCACGTTAGTGTGATCTCTGTGTGTTCACTCTTTTTCCCGCGCAAACATTACGGAGGTTTTGTGTTCATTTTCTTGTTAATTTTGTTTATGTAAGTAATGAAGTTCGCGCGGCTTTGTTATTTTTCCGTGTTTATTTTTTTGCTGTTTTACTCCCTGACACCCAAGTGACCATGGACCCCCTGACAACCAAGTGACCATGGACCCCCTGACACCCAAGTGACCATGGACTCCCTGACAACCAAGTGACCATGGACCCCCTGACACCCAAGTGACCATGGACCCATGACACCCAAGTGACCATGGACTCCCTGACAACCAAGTGACCATGGACCCCCTGACACCCAAGCGACCATGGACCCCCTGACAAGTGACCATGGACTCCCTGACAAGTGACCATGGACTCCCTGACACCCAAGCGACCATGGACCCCCTGACAAGTGACCATGGACCCCCTGACAAGTGACCATGGACTCCTGACAAGTGACCATGGACTCCCTGACAAGTGACCATGGACCCCCTGACACCCAAGCGACCATGGACTCCCTGACAAGTGACCATGGACTCCCTGACAGCACTATATTATCATCGGGAACATAACGCCACCTTTATAGTCTGGGGATTTTTCTGTGTTTTTATTTAAGTCAAATTATATTTTGCTTCTTATTTCGAAACAGAAGATGGAGTGTGTGGGAGGCAGGAGGTGGGTTGGAAGTGACTGGGGGAGAGAGGTAGGGAACCAGGTGGGGAGGGAGGGAGGGAGGTTGGGAGAGGCTGCAAGGGGTGTGGGGGGGACGCCAGACTGTACAGGAAGGGCACCTGGTGAAGGAAATTATCTTGCTTGTGTTAAAATGGAATTTCCGGTAATTCCAAGAAGACAGAGGGCATGTGAAGGATAGTAAAGAGAAAGGAATAAAAGAAAGACACACACAGAATGTGTGTGTGTGTGTGTGTGTGTGTATATGTGTATGTATATATATAATATATATATATATATATATATATATATATATATATATATATATATATATGTGTATATCACGAAAATAAACACGTGTGAATGTGACAATGTCAGACCACGGAGGAAAAATGAAACAGGAAATTTCCTGTTTCTTTTTTCCTCCGTAGTCTGACATTGTCATATATATATATATATATATATATAGTTTTCAGTTGCATATAGTCCTGGGGACCATTCAGGCTTATTCGCATTTGTGTTCCTGTATATACCAGTATATAACAGTTGCGTTGCTCCTGGCAATATGGGTTCGAGTCACTTATATATATATATATATATATATATATATATACACACACACACGAACAAGCCCCTGAATGGTCCCCAGGATTATATGCAACTGAAAACTCACACCCCAGAAGTGACTCGAACCCATATTGCCAGGAGCAACGCAACTGGTATATACAGAACGCCTTAATCTGCTTGACCATCACGACCAGACATAAGGAAGTGATAGCCGAAGCTATTTGAACCACTTCCTCGCCGGCACTCGGATGGTAATCTTGGGCATAGCATTTTATCAAATTACCTCATTCTTTGGGGCACACGTGAGGAACACAAATGCGAACAAGCCTGAATGGTCCCCAGGACTATATGCAACTGAAAACTCACATCCCAGAAGTGACTCGAACCCATATTGCCTGGAGCAACACAACTGGTATATACAGGACGCCTTAATCCGCTTGACCATCACGACCGGACATAAGGAAGTGATAGCCGAAGCTATTTGAACCACTTCCCCGCCGGCACTCGGATGGTAATCTTGGGCATAGCAATATAGGTTCGAGTCACTTCTGGGGTGCGAGTTTTCAGTTGCATATAGTCCTGGGGACCATTCAGGCTTATTCGCATTTGTGTTCCTGTATATACCAGTATATAACAGTTGCGTTGCTCCTGGCAATATGGGTTCGAGTCACTTCTGTGGTGTGAGTTTTCAGTGATATAGATTATATATATATATATATATATATATATATATATATATATATATACACACACAAATTTTAGTATATTTTGGTAAGAGTCTTTCTGGTAAATATATGTTGTTGAATATGACAAAGGGTAAGATTGATAATTCTAACACGAATCTCTTCGCTTACGTTTTTCTTTATTGTCGAGGGTAATTGAAAAATTAACTCTCCAAAAGTCATTTTTTACATTTTTATTTTTGGTCTGATGCCTAAAAGCACTTTGTAAGGCTTAAATAAAGTAAGGTTTTTTGTAGGGCGTAAGGAAAATAAAGAACATGGAGAGCTAAATTATTAAGCGTAGCAACAAGAAACTTCTTATGCCAACATGTCAAAGAGGCCCACAAGAATGAGAGAATGCAGCACTCTCATTTACCAGTTTACACAGATATAAATATGAGCTGCATTGTACAGACCAATAGGCTTTCTGCAGGTGCCTGTGCTCTTGTGTAACAGTAGTGGTAGGACTGAAGGAAAGCTGAAGGCACCAGAAAGAGGACAGACTTACCATGAAAGGGGCCATAACAGATGCAGTTGGCAAACAACAAAATATTGTACAAGGGTATTGACAGGGTATTTCACCAGCAGTGGTCTGTTTTGCTTCACTAACTTTGTGGCCGCTTCCTTGGTCTTCCCCCTCTGTCCTCAGTCTACTGAGGACCGAGTCTACCGGTGTTGGTAGACATGATTAAAATTCACTGACAATTTTATCAGTGTCACTGCTCTCCAAGCCTCTCTAGAGGGGGACCAGGTTCTGGCTTGTGGTCCTTGGTAGGCTCAAATACAACTCTGTGACTGATGGCACCTTGTAGTTTGGCACTTTATCAGTATAGTAGCTCCAGGGTGCCACAAGGGGCTCCCCCAGAAAATATATATATTATTTTATAAGTTTCTTTTTGAATTCAAGTAAAAAATATTCAAAAACAAATTCTATACTGTAGCAGAACATCCTTGGATATACAGATTTTCAAATGAACTAAATTTGAATACTGTATTGCTACCAGTTTCAAAAATTTGCATGAAATTTTACACCTTGAATTTACATTTCTTTTCTTGTAGACTAAAAAGGACTACAAATAATAAATGAAGAATTTTTAATTTGTTTTAATTATCAGGGAAGAGTGCCAAACCATTACTTTATAGCACTTGGAAAGGGTCAGGATAAGGATTTGGGATGGGACGGGGGAAAGGAATGGTGCCCCAACCACTTGGATGGTCAGGGATTAAACGCCGACCTGCATGAAGCAAGACTGTCGCTCTACCGTCCACCCCAAGTGGTTGGACGAGAAAATGAAGAAAAATACATTTGTGCATCAGAACATTGAACAGTGTTGGGCTAAGCACTCCACCCCCAGGTGTACATATTGTGCACCTCAAATATTGTGCACCTCAAAGGGTGCACAATATTTACTTTTGACCCCCTTGAAAAGGACTGAGGCAGTTTTGTTACTCGGGTAACCTGAGCCATTTCAACAGTCTTCCCCTTAACTCCAAAAGAGGCTAGTTGTATGTCAGCCTTAGTCTAAGGGTTAATAAAGCAGTTATTAACTAATTGCAAAAAAAAACTGTTTTATTAGTTCAGAACATTCAGCTAAAAGTAGTCATCTATATTGCAAATACTGTATTGTTTGTGAAGTTTTAAAATAGTGTTTATACTGTACAGCATATGAACTTTTTCAAACCTAGGATACATTTGGTTAGGCCTTTGACAGGTTAGATTTTTTGTTTTCACACTTTGTTTCTGCTTTAAAATTTTATATCTTAGTATAAAACTTGTAGTTATCTGTGTGCAACCAACAAATTCTGTATTCATTTCTGCCATAATACATACTGTCTTATTAGCGAAGGATGGGTTACACAAATATGCAATCTTTATTAAAACAAATTAATGACCATTGGGTGTCCAATGAACACATCATAATTACTATTTCTATAGGGTGTGGCGATACCCACAACTGCCAATGTCATGCAAGAACAAGTGTAAGATCAGCCAGAGGATACTTGATCTTTTGTTTAATACTTCACAAGCAATAGCATCACTGCATTGGAGGTGGCTACACTAGTAACACCCACTTTACAGGTAAGGTGTCAACGAGCATCATGTGAATTGTCATACACGTAATAATTGCCTTTTGCCTCGCCACACTCAATACTCATTTTGACACATTACTTCAGACCAGTGGCACAGAGAATATCTGACATGTCGTGCATGAATAAATTTATTAACAAAGTACAGCATCTAATTTTCTTTACTATAACATGCTAAAATATGTTGACAGCTCTAATCATATTATACAAAGACTATCATTATCAACATTTCCAATATTGTGTATATATCATTCAGTATATTTTACAGAATGAAAATTACAGTAGCAGTACAATTCAGTATATAAAAGTACAAGAAAGTCTAACTGTACCTGTTATGATCAATTGGCTAGGAATGGCTCAGCTCAGATAGACATGTTTTTATTAAGCAATGCATTCTATTGCCAGTTTTCATTCGTACTTGGCAATACAGTGCGTTTTGCCACTGGTTCTTATTTTTTCTAGCCATGGAGGAATATCTGTAATCACTTCTCGTTCTCCAAGCTCCTTAAATAAATGGAAAACTGAAGGCGCATGAACCTCTAAGTTCACTGACGATAATCGGAAGCCTTTTAGCGCTGGAACCTGAAAGGAATAAACACACTGTATAATGAGATATTTTTTCACTGCATCTAATCAATGGAGATATTTCCAGGCCATATATCAGGAATAGCTTGCAACACAAAACAATATAATGAAGATGGAATTCTTACAAAATAAAAATAAAGAAAATGCTACATAGTTTACTAGTATTTTAAAATATGGATAAATTTATAAAAAGTAATAACAGACATTAATATCACATTCAATTATTTTGGATTCCCAAGCTTTACAAAAGCACATTTCAATAGTAATGTAACTAAACCCAAAATCTGTATGGTGCAGATAGCTACTCTTCAGTGTACAAAGTTCAACCCTCTGGTTCCAGTGAACCTAGCACTTCAGCAGTTCACTAATAACACTTCTTTTTATTTTAGACAGATTTGGTCGTGCTTCTTCGCAAGCAAGCCCTGAACGAACCCTCCGACAGAGCTTGCTGAGCTCTAACAAAGAAATTCAGTTCCCACGGCATCAGTACTGACAAGTGCTGTATTCTACTTGAAGTTTAAATGCACAGAGGACTTGTGTCTGATTTTGTCTACAGGACTGAGTTGGCCAGATGACAGTCACCACAATTTATAGATTCAATTCAACTTGCCATTCCAGTTTGGAATGATACAAACTAAAAACTGGGCAATAGCAGAATGTATTAATGCAGCAAGGCGAGAAATTCTTGAACAAAACAGATAGTGCCTTCAAGAACAATTAAGGATGGAAAGACACAGATGTCAAAAGTAAAAAGCAATGATCATGCTCTTCGATAAGTTACTACAAGGAAATCGGGTATATAGAACATAACCACGGAAAGAACAGGATGATCACGACTTTCAATAAAGTTCGCAACATCATCGTATTTGCCATTTAAAAGTCTGTTCGCAAAGGAAATATAATAAGAAGGATTGATATCACTTTCCCTCTGCTACCAAAAATACCATGGTTTGCTTTTGTGAAATGTATACTTTAGTGACATGTGACAGGACCATTAAAAGTGTCAAATGAACTTCTGTAAGTTAACTTTTCAACTTTCTTCTCAAGTGAAGAACAAAAAAGTTAGAGAAAAATAATGTCTTCAAGAATTAATGCTTCCAGAATATAATTTGTTAAATCAAATGACAAATAAGCTACTGACTAGTGACTACTGAAAAGCAATACCCTACTTCTATTCCAATATTCAGCATGAAAGACAAATACACAATTCATGCCAATAATTTTTACAATTCCTTAACTCTACACAATCCTATAACTTATACCCATCTTAAAAATATTTTAATTTTACCCAAAGTTCTTAAGTCTAACGTTCTCTCTCTCTCTCTCCTTCGTAGACTATCTTCATTAACAATTTTCACTACATACTAAAATCAACTTAACACATTGGTTTTCAACTTGTCAACCAACTTTCCATACTGACCTCTGTTCTGATAGGCATATTATTCACAGTGGTGGAAACCTTCCTTATGCATGGAATTTGCTTAAAGTGACAGCCAAGCTTCTGGTGAATCACACTGCTTGTAGTGTTAATATTCACATCACCACCTTTTAATAGGGCATCCTCTTGGACATCGTCTGTTGCAGCTGTCATTTTCAAATCACACTAAAAGGAAACAAATTTGTTAACATTTTCAACATCCAAAATATAATATACCATATTCACAAACAACCCCATTCTAAAAAATAACTATTGGTATACCTTGTTTCTTACAGTATTTTAAAAAATACCTTGAATACATTTCATCTACAGCATAGTTGCCTTCCCCCAAAATATTGGGGAGGTGGGGCAAAGGAGCTTGCATTAGTTTCAAGAGATTTTCATTGTTTACAGTGTTGGGAGAGTTCTTTCAGTGGTTCTCAAGGCTGTGGTCTCGTCTGAAGCCTGCAATGGTTTGTTTTGTATTGCTTCCTTCCCCAGTGACAGCAATAACTGTTGCTTTGTTGAGGGGGGCAAGGGTCTGGCTCTGGTTGGCAATAGAACTCTGTGGCTGATGCAACCTAGAAGTGGTACACTATCAGGGAGCCACAAAGGGCTACCCCCAGAAAAGGTTGAGAAACACTGATGTAGATGAATATTACAATACATTTAAAGAAACAGTACTGAATTACAAAAGGTGGGTATACATTAATAAAGTTTGTTTAAAATTGAGTGATATAACTAGCAATGTGACTGATCTCTCTGACTGGACAAGGAACCTTTGTGAATTGACATATTTTGGTTAATACCTTTAACCAAAGGTACAGTATATCAATAGGTATTGCATGTAGCTTTTTCATTAGATGCAACTCAATATTTATGATTCATAGGCTTGGTGTGATTTACGGGCTCACTATGGCGGCTGAGCAGACAGAACACTGAACGCGTGATCCTGTGGTCCCGGGTTCAAACCCGGGCGCCAGCGAGAAACAATGGGCAGAGTTTCTTTCACCCTGATGCCCCTGTTACCTAGCAGTAAATAGGTACCTGGGAGTTAGTCAGCGGTCACGGGCTGCTTCCTGGGGGTGGAGGCCTGGTCGAGGACCGGGCCACAGGGACACTAAAGCCCCTAAATCATCTCAAGATAACCAAGAAAAGATAGCCTGTGCTACATGGAAATTTTGTTTTGAGTAGCTGAATCTAAAACAACATTGGTCTGATGAGGCTAAACAAATCTTTGACTCGCAGATGATGAGTCCCAATAACGTGGCTGAAGATATGATTTCCAAACCCCACATCAGATATGTGGTTTGGATATCAAATCTTTGATTCCTATTACAAACACCACCCCGGCATTTTGAGAGGCAGCACATATGAAGAAATTCGAATGAAATAAACAAATGATTCACAATATGTTAAAATCTAGTACTAATACAGTACCTGTAATTTAAGATGGCCAGGAGCTCGCTTCCTAGACTGTTTGTAGGCCATCAAGAGATTAACGGGGTCACTATTACTCAGCTCAATTATCTTGAAATCCTTACATTTTAAGGCCTTTTGCAGCAGCTTTAGTATTTTAGCTGGAATTCTTTTGTTGGCAAACAGCAATCCTTCCTTATCGCTGATAGCAAACTGGAAATAAAAAGCACAAAGATAAATTTAACAGATTCAGTGCAATCTTTATAATATAAAGAGTAATCACACTAACGTGATATATTAATAAGAAAATCCATAGGAGCCGTGATAAGTATTCAAACCTATGCGGTGGGTGTTCCCATTCACACACCCGACAACCAGGCCACGACATGGTCAAAAGAATTGCAACCTGGAGTTCTACTCAACACATGAGGGTTCATTGATACATCATGCTAGTGTGATTACTCTGTATTGAAAGAGAAGCGTCAGATGTAGAATATTCATAGATGACAGAGCCAGAGTGCACGGGGGAATTGTGTGAAAATCCTGGTCCGGCTTCAGTGGAAGTCTCAGATAACACTCGTGAGCTCAGTAGAACTCCAGGTTGTAATCTTTTTGACCATGTCGTAGCCTAGTTGTCTGGAGTGTGTGCGTGGGACTACCCACTGCATAGGTTCAAATCTTCATCATGGCTCCTATGGATTTTCTCAATAATAATATTTTATTTATAAAATACACAAAGAAACATGTAAAAGTAGTTTGATAATCTTTTATAGAACACTAAGAAAATATCAATCACAACTGCAAGAAAAATGACTGGTTGGATAACAAGAACCTTTCAAGCAAATGCCATACCAGTGACGATACATTTTATGACATCATTAAAAACTAACCTTATACTTTATAACACTAGGCGCTTTATTCGCTTCAGCTAAAGCTTCTCCACCGCTTCTTCTTGCTGATCTGCGCCTTTTCTTCTCTTCAAGACTCAACTCCCAATATATTAATTCCTGAGCTGGAATTAAGCTCACATGTACCTTGAAATTTTCATTGAACACTTGCATATTCCTGAAATATAAATAGGGCTTAGAAAGTTTTATGAACACAATATCATGATGCCAATTAAAGCAATTCATATACAGTAATACTCAAATAATAATAATAATTTATTTGTAAAAAATTTGGGCGATCAGATAACAGTGGTTACTTATTAAGGCACAGTATTTGTATATTTTAAAAAGCCACCAATTATGTGCAGTATTTCAAGGATAATTAATTTTGAACTTAAGTGCAACATCGTATTTAATTATTACTGTCACAAAAGTGTCCAATTATGTAAATGGGGAAGGTTTTAAGAGTGAATTTTAAATATGTGTACAGTAATTGGTCAAATATATACACACAAACTTACCAACCATACTTGACACTAAGACATACTGTAATATTCTGAATAATGAGTACAACTGAGCAATTCACAGAAATCAAATTACTGATCATTTTCTTATCTCCTTTAATGGAGTGACGTATCCCTGGTCCCTATGCAAGCTACCTCTTCCTCCTCTATGCAGTTATTTGTTATTATGCTAGTTATTGTTATCTATGCTAGTTATTTGTATAGTACTAGTACAACCATTGTGATGGGATCTCTGGATTTGAAAGTTCTCTATGACGGTAATATCTCCAGTGATCAAACAATTATGTATTAACGATAAGACCCACCATTAATGTATAATGACTTTACTGTAAATATATAACTCTTGAACTGGAACATTCTCTGTAACTAGCTGACATGTAACTATAAGGTGTGAAGGACAGATGAAATCGTTTATGTAATAATCTAAGATGAGGTCTGATAAAGACCTTTTGTGCCCTCTGTAATGCTTTTGCGCTACCGCTCACAGGATGAGTATGGGGTGCACAATAAACTAGCCGCCTCCAGCGGCAACAATCAAAATAAAAAATTGTAATTCATCCTATAATTTTTCTGGATGATGTAATATTTGCTTGGTTATGCTCCCTAAACATTAGGTCATTAAACATTATTCCCAAATCCTTTACATGCTGCTTTCCTACTATGGGCAAATTTGATTGTGTTTTGTACCCTGTATTACATTTAAGGTCCTCATTTTTACTATACCTGAGTACCTGGAATTTATCACTGGTAAACATCATGTTATTTTCTGATGCCCAGTCAAAAACTTTATTAATACCAGCTAGAAGTTTTTCAATGTCTTCAGCAGAGGTAATTTTCATGCTGATTTTTGTATCTGCAAAGGATGATACAAAGCTGTGACTTGTATTTTTGTCTATCTGATATGAGAATAAGGAAAAACAGTGGTGCAAGGACTGTACTCTGAGGTACAGAGCTTTTAACTGTGCCTGGACTCTATTTTATATGGTCGACTGTTACTCTTTGTGTTCTGTTTGACAGAAAACCGAGTACCCAGCGACCTACTTTACCAGTTATTCCCATTGACCTCATTTCGTGTGTTATCACTCCATGGTCACATTTATCGAATGCCTTTACAAAGTCTGTGTATACCACATCTGCATTCTGTTTTTCTCCGAATGCCTCAGTGACTGTTGTAGTGGTCAAATAGCTGTAAGAGGCACTATCTTCCCGCACTAAATCCATGTTGGCCTGGGTTGTGGTACACGTTAGTTCAACTTGTCTATAATTCTTGGCCAATGCTTTGCTCCCTCCCTTGTGTAGAGAGCTATGTCTGCTGATTTAAGCACATCTGATATCTCCCTCATGTCCAAGCTCTTCCTCCACACTATACTGAGTACCTGTACTACTGTGTATGGCTGTATATTGCTAGAATGGGGATTAGGAAGGTGAGGGTTGGCAAGGTGAGGGTATGGTCATGCATGTCGTGACAGTGTTGACTACCTGTTGAAGATTTCGAGGATTAGTATCCCCACGGCCCGGTCTTTGACCAGGACTCCTTGTTACAGTAGGTTGGGGGTTAACTAATTGATAACTAATTCATCACTGAATAATGCAGTGATAATGCACTGAATACAAAATAATAAACCATTAATGTACAGTATATACAAAATAGAAAATACAATTTGTGAATAAGTACTTTACATTATTATTAACTTAAGGTTTGTTTCCCCTAACAAAAAAAAAAAAAAAAAAAAAAAAAGGAATATATATTTCCCATGTTTAAACACTCAAATAATATATAAATAAGGACTGTGGCCCAGTGGCAAGTGCAGTCAGGATATATCCAAAAGGTCCTGGGCAAAGTTCCCATGGCAGGACCTAGGAGTTTGGATAACATATCCCTTTATCTGATATGTACCTCTGTTCACCTAGCAGAAAATTGGTATCTCAATTTACCCAAGAGCCACTAACACACTAGTGGCCTCGATGAGGACAGGAAGCCGGCAGCTTGTCAAGGGCGCTGTCAAGCTGGATTTTAAAGTTTTAGTATTTACGGCTTCAGCGGGTAGGCGGTTCCATAGGTTTATAACCCTGAGTGAAAAAACATCTCCCGTTTTCCATCCTATACTGTACTGTGGCCTGTTGAGCTTGTAACCGTTACAATTACTGTACCTTTTTACTTGAAACCTTTCAAAGACGTTGTCCGGATCAAAATCCACCAAATTGTTCAGTATAGCAGTTTGACAACTATTGTTGGTTACATCCTAGGGAAGGTCCTATGGGGACTTCAATAAGACTAACACACTTCCTGTCCCCCCAGCAATGGAAAACAATCTGTGATTATCAGTGTCAAGGATGTGTTGAAGCAGATTTATAATTACAGCACTAAACCCATGCTCAGCAAGGGGTTACTATACTATACAGCCATATGACTGACCACGTGATTATTGTTCAAAATATCTGAAGCCACCATCATATACCTAATCAACCACGTTAACTTACATTTACATGCATATCAATATTATTTCCCAGTGTATGCTAACCTCCCCCTAAATGCCCTCCATTCCAAGTTTAGGATTGGGACAGACTGTGCACAATGTGCAATTGGCTATTTTGCTATTACAATAAGCATGTATTGTAACTATATGTTTTATATCAAGACATTTTATCACTTTGCAACTAATAGCCATTCTTATTTAGGTTCCCACTTGGTGGTCTCAGTGGGTGATTTCTCCATTAGTGGTGTTAAGTCATCGGAACTGTGCTGCTTGGCCCAAATTTGAAATAGAATAAAATGACATACAATACCTTTGAATTGTGCCACAGGTGAGATGTCCAGAAGGTTGATAATCTTCTAGAACATAAGTATTCCAAAAACCGCTTGTAAAATGACCTAGTTCAAGGTCTGTGTGTTTGGCAGTCCTGAAACAAAAATATTTTTATACTAACAAAGGTTAACCAAAAAACTTTATTAAATTCTTCAAATTCACAAAACAATAACCACACGAATAACACTACTGTATAACATGTGTTTTTTCCCCCCTGATTATTACTAAAGGTCATGACACAAGTTCAAATACTGTTTGACCTCATGTGCCATCTTACACCAGTTGATCGACAGTTTAGAGGCTGGAGCAAAGAGCCGAATCTCAACTCCCGCAAGCACAACTAGGCGAGTACCGATTCTCAAGTAATTGTCAAAGAAGGCACCAAGCCAGGAAGACTGTGGTCTACTGATTGTGGAATGGCCACTTATATTGTACTAATTGTAGTCCAATATTTTATGGTACAGCCAGATGTACTTGGTTCACACACTGCATGGTGCACAGACATGGATGCATAAACACCTATTACACCTGCACCATTCAATGCAACAACAAAAAATTGACAGAACATGTCAAATATACAGTGTATATCAAATAACAAGTTGAAACCATGAATTATACTTAATACAGTACATGGATGAATTGTGTAGTCACAGGTGTTTAGTATCTATAAATAAAATTATAGTCCCGTAAGTTCAATTGTACAATTTGATATATGTATAGTACAAGCACATTAAAATGTTAATAAAATAAAAATAATGCATTGATTGCAATGAAATACCTTTTTCTGGTGAGGCCCTAGTAGCTTCCCAAGCTTACCTAATTTACCACCAAACTTTTGCTCATCACACCAGGCCTCCAAGTCCCGTCAGACACCTACTGGGAGTTACGACCATACTCTGGTTCTCTCTGAGGTAGCAGGGGATCGGAGCTCAACCACCAGAAAACTTAAGTACAATAAAATGCACCTGGTTGAAAGAATTTAGGCAACCCCAAAAACAACAAGGCAAACAATCAATGCCATAGGGTAAATGACATGACTGTGATGAGCCTGACCACTATTTAATGGTAGCCCAGGCCACCTGAGGTCTCATTCATGTATGAATTTAGGTTGGATAGGTTATAAAATCTATACCCCACACCATGGGATATAGGCAAATCATAAATAGTCATTTCGACAAAGCTCATTTTCAAATTATTAACTGTATATACATCACTGGGTTGGGTTGGGTTGGGTTAGGTCACTGATTACCAAAGGGTGCAGTGTGCCACACTGGTGCTGCAAATAAGTATATAGTAGCAAGAGTGGTGGGAAGATTCAAGGACAATGAAAAAATATTTCAACATTTTTAATATACAGTTGTTTATTATTATTATTATTATTATTATTATTATTACTATGTGAGGCAGATGAGACTTTGTTAGTTTCAAATTAAACCAAATACTATACTGTATAATTGAGATTACCTGACAAACAAGTTCACATCTCTCACCGAGTTGTATATTTGAGAACTCATATGTATTATTAATTAATATTGTTGGAGGCAGGCAGCCTGTGTACACAGACAGTATATATATGTTAAGCTTATACTGAGGTCCTTCCAAGGTCGAACTACTGACCTTCTCCAGGATGCAACCCCACAAACTGGCAAACTCTCAGGTACCTATTTACTGCTAGGTGAACAGAAGAATTAGGTGATAGGAAACGTGCCCAACCATATCTGTCTCACCCACGATTCCAGAGAGGGAGTCAAAAACAATCCAAATGTAGTACTGAGCCCACTGAATATTTGGGAATGAATCATGTTTTTATGTAACTGCATGGTTTTATACTTTCTGGATGTCCGATGATAATATTAGAAAGTAGTGTGGCTGTATTTTACATTATGAATCAAGCACTAAAAGAATTTTTTTAAATGCATTTCTTATCAACAAAACATTTGGTGTAGCACGAACAAATTTTTATTCCGAAAGGGAGGGCCAAGAGACAAAAGTTTGGAAGCCACTGGGTTAGGTAGTTTTAAAACTCATTAGCAAACCCTTTCGGGTACAGGTACAGTCATACTGTATTGTGCATAGGCATTTTGACAAAGTTCCTTTTCCAATTGTCAAAATCATATGTATACTGTTAGGGTAGGTTGAATTAAGCTATAAAAACTATTTGGCAAACTGTTTTAGGCACAAAGTGATTTGTAGGGCAGTCAAAACATGTAGAGACATTTCGTTAATGCTCACTTTCTCGTCAGGTTAGGCTGTGTCGAGAATGGCTGCGTTAGGATGTCGAGAATGACCCTGACTGTACTTCCTGGACCCTTTTAGTATAAACTAATCATACCATGATATAGATATTTGCATACCCTCAGAATTCAACATCAACAAATTCTGGGACTATCCTAGCTCAAAATTGCTCCAAATTCATAGCTCACATAACAATCTGACTTCAATTGGACTCTTATTGCCGGGCAAACCCAGGCAAACAGTTAAAGTTTGGCACCCAGTCATTCCTCCCTGAGCAGGACTCAAGCCCAGGACCAAATAACTTCTGAGAGACTCTGTGACAATATTTCCTTAATAAGGTCGCAGTAGTAGTTAGGTTAATTTTTGAGTAACTATCAGGAAACTATCAGGAATTCTGGGTTTGAATCCCAGGCAAGATAGAAATATATTAAATTTGTGTGAGGATGAACAAGCTCTACGAGACCCCAGAACAAACCTCCCTCGTCTCCCCCAGCTTAACCTTTCATTAACTAGCCTCAGAGGCAGGGAGGGACTAGGAGGAGCTACATACATGATAACTCTGGTCTAGAGAAGCGTCCTCCACGCCAGCTGGCTGCGGCTGCCTCAACTTCAAAACTTGCGCGGTTCTAGCACCCCGCCCTCAAGGAGGCTTCATGGCCGCCACCACACATTTACGGCTCACATTATGTACTTAACACTAGAGCACAAATATAACTAACTCTATTTATATACATTTATGATTAATTTAAATAACTAAGTAAACATTTATATAATTCCAAAATATAAATAATATTTTGCAAATGATACTTGAGTATGAAACGTCTCGACAATTTTACATGGATTTAATTACTTTACGCATTGTTTTTTTATAGATTTTTTTGTAATTCGTTCTGTCAGTCACTCAGTCTGTGTATATTATTATTACTGTTGTTATTATTATTATTATTATTCATAAAATAGGGATACAAATGAACATACTACTGAGTTATATTTGAAGTTACACAGTATAAGAGTTGCATATTATAGGTAATTAATCCCCCAATGGTGAACATTACAATTGTAAACTATATGAACAAGAGCTTGGACATACTCTCCAACACTATATCGGTGATTTAAGACAAATTGGTATGAGGGACTTAAGCTCTGTATATAACTACTTCATATTCCTACCAATATTGGAATATATTCTTGTACTCTACCCAGATTTTGCTAGTGTAAGATAATAGATCAGCCTCGCATTTCAAATTATTATTTAATGCTGTCTGCTGATTTTATGTATGACTAACTATCCTGTGATGAGGATATTAGATGAACTTATGGCTAGTTATTAATGTACACTCTGTAACGCTTCATACAGAAAAGGGTAGTAGCATTTTGCTGTGTATATCTAAGCTTGTAAATTAATAACAGTTAAATGGAGGCTTCATTGATCTTGAAATGGATAATGAAGGTAACTGCAGATTACCTTCTCTGCAGTTACCTTCTTTCTTATAATTCCTTTCCTCAACTTATTTTTGGTGGTCAGGTGATCTGCCCAGGCGGATATAAAGGTCTGATCAGCAATCTTATCCTCATTCTACTTTGCTCTGATGAAGGCGAATTAGCCGAAAACGCGTTAAGCATTTTCTATTTTTAATATGTGGTTATTCTGCATACTTGGATCAGTGTTTTTGTGATCATTGTTGCATATATATATATATATATATATATATATATATATATATATATATATATATATATATATATATATATATATATATATATATATATATATGTCGTACCTAGTAGCCAGAACGCACTTCTCAGCCTACTATGCAAGGCCCGATTTGCCTAATAAGCCGAGTTTTCATGATTTAATTGTTTTTCGACTACCTAACCTACCTAACCTAACCTAACCTAACTTTTTCTGCTACCTAACCTAACCTAACCTATAAAGATAGGTTAGGTTAGGTTAGGTAAGGTTGGTTAGGTTCGGTCATATATCTACGTTAATTTTAACTCCAATTAAAAAAAATTGACCTCATACATAGTGAAAAGGGCAGCTTTATCATTTCATAAGAAAAAATTATAGAAAATATATTAATTCAGGAAAACTTGGCTTATTAGGCAAATTGGGCCTTGCATAGTAGGCTGAGAAGTGAGTTCTGGCTACTAGGTACGACATATATATATATATATATATATATATATATATATATATATATATATATATATATATATATCTTAATTAAGGTAGAGCGGTGGCTCCCGAGGGAAGTATGGAGATAAACACAGGTGCCGCCGTGAGTGACTCACCAGATAACCTAGTACCAACGGCCCCGTTACAACCACTACTGGCTCATAATAGTATTTATTACTCACCCCTACGTCATAATAATAATAATTAATAATAATATTAATAATAATGATAATTCTCGTCTGTTGGGGACAGGAAGCGCGTACTTAAGGTTATATTGAGATCCCTCGTAGCTCATCTACTGTTCTTGCAGCCCACAGGTGCCCATCTGAGTACCTCTTTCACTTCTGAATGAATAGCCCAACTACTTGGGCTGAACGGTAGAGCGACAGTCTCGCAGAAATTGCTTTCTTACGCAACACATTAAGGAACCAACACGGGAAAATAATATTTTAGATTTAGTGTTAACTAACAGGGAAACGCAAATTAATGACATCGAAATAGGGAGTGAGCTAGGGAGCAGTGATCACAAAGAAATCAGATTTAGCATAGAATGGAATAGACCAGTAGGAGAAAATTCTGTTAAAGTGCCAGATTTTCGAAAAGCTGATTTTAATAGCCTAAGAAATTTTTTGGGTCAAATTGATTGGAAAGGCTTGGGTATGGGGTGTGGGCCGGTCTTGGAGCGAGACATGAACCCAGCGATAGGTGACTTAAATGGGGATTTCGATGTGGATTCAATATATAACTTATTTAAGAATATTCTAAACAAAGCACAGGAACGTAGTATACCATACAAATTGAATAGATCGTATACTAATGACCCAAAGTGGATAACAAAGAATTTGAAGAACCTTATAGGTAAAAAGAGAGCTTGGTACAAAAGGATTAAAAATGGGGAGGTCACTTTAGAACAGGAATTCGTACAACTGGCTAGAAATGTTAAAAAAGAGATAAGGAAAGCAAAAAGAAACTATGAAGTTCGCATAGCAGGGCAAGCAAAGACAAATCCTAAAGGGTTTTTTCAGTTATATCGTACTAAGACTAGGGAAAGGATAGGTCCATTAAAAACTGAGACAGGTCAAATAACAGATAGTGATGAAGAGAACATAAGAACATAAGAACAAAGGTAACTGCAGAAGGCCTATTGGCCCATACGAGGCAGCTCCTATTCTATAACCACCCAATCCCACTCATATACTTGTCCAACCCGTGCTTGAAACAATCGAGGGACCCCACCTCCACAATGTTACGCGGCAATTGGTTCCACAAATCAACAACCCTGTTACTGAACCAGTATTTACCCAAGTCTTTCCTAAATCTAAACTTATCCAATTTATATCCATTGTTTCGTGTTCTGTCCTGTGTTGATACTTTTAATACCCTATTAATATCCCCCCGGTTATGTCCATTCATCCACTTGTAAACCTCTATCATGTCACCCCTAACTCTTCGCCTTTCCAGTGAATGCAAAGGATGAGTAGTATTTTTAATAAATATTTTGTATCTGTATTTACTAAAGAGGAACTTAACAATATGCCTTCAGCCGAACAAGTCTATGTGGGTGGGGACGAGGACAGGTTGACGAGTTTAGCAGTTACCAGGGAGGATGTTCTTAAACAAATAGTAAAACTCAAACCAAACAAATCCCCAGGGCCGGATGAAGTGTTTGCTAGGGTGCTTAAAGAATGCAAAGAGGAGCTTTGTGACCCACTGTCAACCATATTTAATAAATCAATAGAGTCAGGCAGAGTGCCAGAGTTTTGGAAAGTTGCTAATGTGATACCAGTTTTTAAGAAAGGAGATAGATCACTTGCGTCTAACTATCGACCAATTAGCCTAACGTCTATTGTGGGAAAGTTACTCGAATCTATAATAGCAAATAAAATTCGTCTTCATCTTGAAAAACATAAATTAATAATTGAGTCGCAACATGGTTTTATAAATGGCCGTTCATGTTTAACAAATTTGTTATCTTTTTATTCTAGCATTGTTGAGGCAGTTGATAGTGGTAAGGATTGCGATGTTGTATACCTTGACTTTAGCAAAGCTTTTGATACAGTGCCACATGAAAGACTGATTAAAAAAATAGAGTCTCATGGTATTGGGGGTGCTATATTAAGCTGGATTAGGGCATGGCTATACCAAAGGAAACAGAGAGTTAGTATAAATGGAATCAAATCAGAGTGGGAAAATGTTGTAAGTGGAGTGCCTCAAGGCTCTGTCCTGGGACCTCTGTTGTTTATAATATATATAAATGATTTAGATTCAGGTTTGAGTAGCAACATTTGCAAATTTGCCGATGATACGAAAATCGGTAGGGAAATTAATTCGGAGGAGGACTCACTATCACTTCAAGTTGATCTAGATAGGGTTTGGAAATGGTCAAAGGATTGGCAGATGATGCAGGTCGGCGTTCAACGCCTGACCGTCCAAGTGGTTGGGCCACCATTCCTTCCCCCGTCCCATCCCAAATCCTTATCCCGACTCTTTCCAAGTGCTATTTAGTCGTAATGACTTGGCGCTTTCCGCTGATAGTTCCCTTCCCTTCTGAATGAATAGAAAGGTATCTTGTGAAAGGAAACCTGCCCAATTGTTTCTGTCGTTATCTTGAGATGATTTCGGGGCTTTTAGTGTCCCCGCGGCCCGGTCCTCGACCAGGCCTCCACCCCCAGGAAGCAGCCCGTGACAGCTTACTAACACCCAGGTACCTATTTTACTGCTAGGTAACAGGGGCATAGGTAACAGGGGCTAGGTAACAGGTCTCTTGGTTGTTTGCCGAAAACGTAGACGACTGTAATTACCTAACAGTAGTTACAGTATGAAAGCTACGCTCGCGGTGCCAGGATTCCCAGGCTTCTATCATGACGCTTTAAAACTACTGCAGGTGTTGGCCTCCACCGCCTTCTCACTTGTTCCTAACGTCTACCATGCTGCAATAAAAGAACCTTCTAACATTTTTTTTCGGCAGCTTCGTTTCCTTAGCTTAAGAGTAGCCTGTATCTCAAAGAACAAGAGGTCTATGAGCTCTTGTTCTTTGAGATACAAGTTTCAAACATTCTTCTGTCAATTTTGTCGATTCCTGTTACCATTTTGTATGTAGTGATCATATCGCCTCTTTTCTTCTATCTTTGGTATATTAGGACCTTTAGCCTCTCCCATAACGAGAGAGAGAGAGAGATATCCTAGCCAAAATAGCATCCAAGTTTCTAATTAACAAGGAAAAAATAACCGGACAAACTCAGTACTAAAGGAGCGGTGAGGTACTTAGTCACGATTTTACAAGTCAGTCCATTGTCGGCTGCTGCAAGGCTGGGAACTTGTTCTTTAAGGCGAAAACATGACCAGAAGGAGATAACAAGATTTTCTCATGTGACTCACAGATGAGGAATTCCTTTCTAGAGCATACCTCATGGTCGCGTGGTTAGTAAACAATGTTTCCCCTGAGGAGTCTACCGTTGGTCATGCCACTCACTAATGAGGTATTCCCTGTAGGGTATATATCATGGTCTGTTGAAAATATCTTTTGGTTACCTATGGAACACAAGATCACTAGTTTGTTTTCCAGCAGCGGGCTTGTCTGATCAGCAGTAGGCTTGTCTGACCAGCAGCAGGCTTGTCTGACCAGCAGCAGGTTTGTCTGACCAGCAGCAGGCTTGTCTGACCAGCAGCAGGCTTGTCTGACCAGCAGCAGGCTTGTCTGACCAGCAGCAGGCTTGTCAAGGGCCACTGTCTCCTTAGGGACCTCGACGGGGACAGGAATCCGGCAGCTTGTCAAAGATCGCCCGATAGCTCCTGAGGATTATTTTCTATTTGGATTTTAAACTGAAGTAATGTCTAGGCATTTACAGTTTCGCGGGTAGGCGGTTCCTTAAGTTTATAATCGTATGGGTTAATAAACATAAAAATGAGTATGGGAGGAATATAAACTGTAGAGGTTAAAAAATGTAATCGAAAATTATAATGAACTATGTACAAAGTAAGACGTAAATTTATCCAAATAAAACAGACAAAATTATATGGATAATATATTTGTAATGCAAGCTCACAATATCGAAGAATAGGTGTCACCTTCGAAATACTACAATTGTTATCACACACTCAGATACCATGGGAGTTGTGTTTCTTTTGGTCTCACTGCATCCACTTTGATAGGAACAAAGAGGGTATTGCTTCTTGCCTGGTCAGCGTTTGAGTCAAGACGGTCTAAGTGATTGAGAACCATTTTTCACTCAGTTCTTCTATTCTTGATCCTATCCTGTTCTATCTCTTTCGAGTGATACTAGTCTTGCCCTCTGTCCTTACCTTGCTCTGAGCGTAGTCTGGACGGCGTAACATCTGGTGTGTAAGACCTTTATCAGTATGTCCTCAGTAGCGTAATCTTCACGTGCCGGTGATGGGACCGCAAGCCTCGTATATAGGCAAGTGCGTCTGCTGAAGTTGGCAGATTTTTGACACTTGTGGAATTACTGGTCCTCATACGCCCTCAAGTGAGAGATTTCTTGTAGAATATTTCATCCTTAAACGTGTGCATCGGTAAGAAATGATATAGCGATTAACATCGTGAATTTTGAAATTTAATTTAAAGTTCTCATGCCATATCACTCCACTTTTAATGTCGAAATTCTCTGCCATCCTCATTTTGACTAGGAATTCCGTGTTAATCTCTAAGTAGGGATGCACCAGCTTTAGTATTATTTGGTGCAGAATGCAAAGTAATTAACACGAACGGGGGAACGGCGACTACCAAGAGAAAGCGCCAAGCCATTATTACTATATAACACTTGGAAGGGGTCGGAATAAGGATTTGGGGTGGGACGGGGGAAGGAATGGTGCCCAACTACTTGGACGGTCGGGGATTGAACGCCGGCCTCCATGAAGCCAGATAGTGGCTCTATGGTCTCGCTTCAGAAATTAGCGAGACTGCGGAGAAAGAAAAAGCTGGTAGGACTATATAATATTTGGAAGGTAACTAAGGACATGATAGGAAAGTGAAGTGAAGATGTTCAACCACTTCGACCATAAGTGATTGAACACCAACCTTGCAAAAAGCAATGCCGAAGGCGTACCAACCAAAGTGGATAGGATAATTAAGTGAAAGTAAGTAATTATCAAAAGAAAGAGTAAAGTGTTGACGGCTATTTGGCACTCACAGAAACTACAAAATTCCAAGATATCAACAGGATGGTTTTTGCTCTTACTAAGGCAGGAACTTGTAAGACGAGCGATGTCGAAATTATCAGATTTACTGATAATGTTATGGAGCGACATACGACTAAAAGGAACATTCGGAAAACAAGATAATAATCATTAAAATCAACAGTTAGCCGGACAATGCAATTTGGACAGTAAGGGCCCAAGATTGTGTTTAATTAATTATTAGGCGAGAATTGGAACTTAATTTCTCTTAAGACACACTTCAATCCTTTAACTTTGAGAACCTCTTTCTTCACCTGCTATTTATTATAATGTCATTCACTGTTTGAGATACTTGTGTCAACAGCTGGTACCAGTCAACATGCTTAGTCATCGAATAAGTATGCCCAATAACTGTAGGCAAAGTTGAGTATATAAGAGGATATGGGGCGGAAACAAGATAATCCTTGGACACAAAAGTAGTGACTTCACTGTAATAATTTTTTTTAAACTAATATCAATCCTGCTCATCTGCTCCAAAATATTTGAAAGGTCAATGTACAAACAGCTTTATTTCTACCTAGCTAAACATAATATATGTACATAAGCCAATATGGTTTCAGACCACAAAAAAGCACCAACGATGCTTTAATTAATATGTTTGTCTTAAACAAAATGAGTAGCCATAGACCTGTTTCTTGACTTGAGTGAGGCTTTTGGCACAGTTAAACACAATAACCTCAACCTGGCCCACGGTGGAGACAGGAACCTAGGCTACAACACTTGGGTCTTTTGGTACCCTTTCTCCTTTTTGGAACCTTTTTTGGAAAGGGTTGGAACCCTTTCTCCTTTACATCAATGACCTACCGAATGCAATTCAACACTGAAACCAATTCAATTTGCTGATGACACAATTTTCATTTTCTCAGATGCTATCCTACTTACTAAACAAATCCACAAAAATAACCAATAAAGTCCGTTAATCCTACTTACTAAAAAAAGTCCGTAAAAGAACTAAAAAGGTCCATTTATCACTAACTACTGACACACGCAGTAGTGTGCCTGACAGCTGGGTGGAAAGCGCTTCGGATTCGTAGTCCTGAGGTTCCGGGTTCGATCCCCGGTAGAGGCAGAGACAATGAGGCAAAATATTTCTTTCACTCTGATGCCCTTGTTACCTGGCAGTAAATAAGTACCTGGGAGTTAGACAGCTGCTACGGGCTGCTTGAGGGGGTGTAACAAAAAGGAGGCCTGGTCGAGGACCGGGCCGCGGGGACGCTAAGCCCCGAAATCATCCTGTATGACTAACCATCCTGCGAGATGGGGACTTTTATCACCACTGCTACCTTATTCACTCTTGTGTTGATGATATCCTCAAAATGAATCCAGAGTCCGCCAGTGCAGACTGCCTATCACATGCCTCTGTATGACTAACCATCCTGTGTGATGGGGATTTTTTAGCATCACCTAGTTAGCTTTTTTGACACACTGTACATAGTCTAGTACTTCATATAGTCTAGGGGTAGCTGCACAAGTGCAGATGTACCTCATGTATTAATAAATAAAAAGGAGTTAAAGATATCTAGCTCAATTCTGAAGCTATACTAGCTTCAGAATTGAGCATGACATCTTTCCTTTAATCTTGTAAAACACCACACACACATTTTAAATATGTTTGTCTGCAGGATCGTTAAGCGAGACTTGTTGCTCAACTGATGAAAAGTACACGCTGGAGAAGGTGCGACTGTGTCATAGTTATGGCTGTTCCAGTTAAGCTGTTCTCCAGAAGGACGATTCCTCGTCTGTGCAGGATTATACAGTAAGTTTTGCAGATATTAATGGGTAGTACGTGTCTACACACCAGGGGTCAAACTTTCACAATTCGTCAATGCACGTGTACAGGAAAGGATATCTTAGTACAAGTAACTGTTATACAAAATTGTGCCGAACAGCATTAATTAATTTTTGTTGCTGTGAGACTTTGCAGTCATGTATTTATGTACACTAGAAAGATAAAAGATCTTACAATTTGGTGTTGGGCGTAGGCCTATCAACCTCTGCACGGAGGGTTATTAAGGCCACCACAATAGCCCAGTGATCAACCAGCAAGTCTGCTTTAGTCGTGAACGTAGGTCAGGATTAGTTTTGACTCCTTAACACTGTACATTTATCTATGAATATATTCGAGTTGAAAATCGTATAACCGATTGTTGCAAATTTGAACAACAAATTAATTCAACATATGCAGTTTTCGAATCACAATTGGGGATCCCGGGTTGGATTCCTGGGCGATACAGAAATGGATAGGCACAGTTCCTTTCATCTAATGTCTCTGTTCACCTAGCAGAAAATACTGGAAATTTGGCAGCAGTTGGGGGGGGGGGGTTCCATCTTGAGGGACCTTGCATACAAGCTTAAAGTATATGTCGCAGACTTCCTGCCCCAGACAACAAAAATGATTCGTTCCTAAGTTAGAAACATACCACATAATTCTACTGAATACTCTTGGGTTCTCATCTCTGTTTACTGTTCTTAATTCCAGGATGGCGAGTTGGTGGATACTTGTACCGTTGGTGAGTATGGCAGCCAGCAATGGTCGGTAGGATCTAAGACCTGAGCAAAGTGTAACCATTTAATCTCATCTCCATTTTTAAGTAAATGTAACCCAATCTATCCTACCCCTAACCAGAATTAGCTAAAATGTTACTATGTCGCTTACTACTGTCGATTTACTACGTCACTATGACGTCTGGTTCAGGTTTGAAAGTCTACAGGCCTAGTGTCATCTTAGTCTTGCAGTGCATTTTCCTAGAATAGCCTTGCCTAATATCCATAAATCCGTACATCTCTTAATTTTTTAATAGTCGATTATGCATTCCAATTATTTGTATAGTCCTTTTTATACATAATAATTCATTAACACAGTGAAATCTTCATACTAAGCTTATCAATCTGTCATCCAAAAATTAAAGTATATATTGCAACTATTGGTCGAATGTACAATAATGCTTCACCCAGTAAAGTTCACATTTTGTATTATTTATTTTGTAAATGTATAAAAGAAAACAACCAAACTTAAAACTTTCCTAGACCTAGTGTAGCTCATATATGTACTAAATTAGGTTTAAGATTATGTATATTAGGGCTAGGAAGGCTTATTTTGGTCGAGGACAGATTAGATTAGGTTTTTAATGTTCTCCTCCACTTATTTATCATGCCATTTAGAGTACCTCAATAATACAAAACATGCAAACCCTGCATGATAAGCATTATAGCCTATCACCCTTTCACTGTAATATCACTAAAAGCCATTTATAATATCCTCACTCATCACTAGTTTCGCGGTAAGTGGTCTCTCCACTCTAAAGTGGTCTCTTGAGTCCACTAAAGACTCGCTCTGAAGGACTCGCCCTTCACCAGGTTGGGGTGACGGTGGCGACGGCAACAGTGGTGATGGTGGTAGCAGCGGCGGCAGCTGCGAGGATAGCAGCAGGGGTACTAGACGAGTGTCCTGCAGACTATTCTACTCACCCGCTCATCCTGGTATCTTTGGATGGTTTCCATTCTGACTACATCAGCCGAGGCCTCACCCCTACACTGGTGTCGCTAGGGGCGCGCGGGGTTCGAGCCCCATACATGAAGCCTTCCTATCCGTCCAAGACCTTCCCCAACCACTACACCATCGTCACGGTCTGTGGTTTATTTTTTATATATTAACTTACTTAAATGACTCTCATACATATTATATTTTAGATAATGAATCTTATAGATGAAGAATTTGTAATTTTTTGGTGTTTTCACATTCGAGGACTTATATATATCACCCACTCTCAGTTATATAAAGTTATAATTAATTTTATGCGTATTGTTTTCAGGCTGCTTATTCTGAATTATTAATGAACATTAATAATTCTGTTATAGGTCTACCTGTGCCTGGTTTTAGATACAAGCATGTTATAATCAAGTCTTTGGAAGTTCATAGTAATTAGGGATTGGTGGAGTGTGCTAGAGAAAGCGATCAGAGCATATAGTGGGAGAAGAGTAGGTTTGGGGTATAAAATATGTCTGAAGGCATCACACTTGCTTTCTGGACCATGCTCCGGTGAATTTTCAGCGAATGTTTAACATTTCACATACAGTTCCAGGATGGTAAATGTAACTGTAACACGTATATTGCCCACTTGTTTCAAGTACATTTTCCATTATACTCTGTTATTCTACTCCAAGTTCAAGTATTTTAAACTTTTAAATAGGTATTCTCCATGTGTTGTTAGCCTACGCATAACTCATGAGTATTTTCTTACCTAGCTAAGTAACTTGTCTGGTTCTCCAGGGTCTCTACCCAGAGTCGCACGGCATCTTGGACAACGACTTCGCTGACCCGGTCTTTAACGCCACCTTCTCCACTGGCAACACAGAATCCTTTCAAGGGAGGTGGTGGGGCGGTGAACCCATCTGGAATACCCTTACCAGGCAGGTTAGTCCCTGTGGAATTTATTCAGCCTTCCTCAATATATACACAGATCTAAGATATAAAATTAGTAAATAAAAATAAACTAGGCAACTAAAGCTCCTTCGCTGCTCTTGGTTGAGTCTGTAGTAGTTCAAATATGTTAATTGATACAAGAAAATACATCTCAAAGGCTATTTCTACCCCATTGTCTGTAGTAGTAGTAGTATGTTATCCTGGGATAACTTGGGAGATTGTGTACTCCCTAGTTAGCTTTACTTCTTTGAGGAAGCCCCAGCAAGAAATGGTGGTGCCTTCATTTACCTGCTGAATAATTAAATCTCAGTACCTAGTGGTAAGATTAAAATTAATTATAATATAGCATGCACTGGTATCGATTATTTATTTGTATTTTGGCCTAACCTTTTTGATCTAGTATCTTGTCACATATGGAGGTAATCAAACGCTTTACCGGACTTGTGGCTTTATTGAGCACATTATTACAGTACAGTTACATCTTGCAATAATACCAAGCCATATATCCAATAATGCACATGTATACAGTTTAAGCACTTTCTATTTACTATAATGATAAGCAAACTGCATATCAACTAAAGCTAAAACAAACAGAAAATAAGAGAGTACATTACACCAACCTGTTCACACGTGAGTCACAGCTGATCTGCCAGTCACCAAAACAATAACAGTCAAGCGAGCATCCATCCGGTACAACAATAACTCCAGCCAGGTACGACAGATACAACACTTTTACCACACATATTAATATTTTAAGACAAAGGGAAGAATGAACAAGCTGCCTGTCCACGGTAAAATAAATTATTATAAACTATACTTATGAACACATGGAACTTGGTGAAAACAAATAATTATTTTACGCCCATATTAATAAATGATTCTTATTTGCGTACAAATTTCTTTCTGTATATATAATAATATATACTTTTACTTTCTCATACATATTTTAAACATCTATTTATCTATTACTAGGGGAAGATAAGTGCGACGTACTTCTGGCCAGGTTCAGACGTGGATATCGGAGGTCAACACCCGACTTACTGGTTCCCCTACGACAAGGATGTTCCCTATCCTGACCGCGTGGACCAGGTACTCTACTCCTATTACTGCTTCCTTCCTTGTCACTAAGTATGTCACCTTTAAGAAATAATTCAGACGTTAATTCTGGCAGTCAATATTACCACAAAACACCATCAGCACGATTGTCAAACAATGTCATTTAAAATTGAAAATATTATATGGTCATTAATAAAATTATGCTTGGCATTCCTGCAAGTCTCTTTAGAATCTACATTAGTTTCGTCTTTTTTATATTTCGACTGCTTGAGTGCTCTTTGAGTTCGTATTCTAGTTCCAAGTGGTTCTAGATTTGTTTCCTTGTATTTGAACACAGCTGCCATTATAGGTTACTGATTGCATTTGCTTACCAAAGCATCTCTTGTCAATCCGGACTCCTTGATATTTGTAGTCTGGTTCCCAATCCAATTCTACATTTGAAATGGTAAGGTGTATTTGCATGTCGTCCCTTGTTATTAGAGGGTCTTTGACTTTCCAGAGGATATTTTAAGTCCTATTTCAAAACAATTATGTGGTGTTCCGCTGAAGGCTGGCTGGGCTTCTTGAAGATGATATCTTAATTTGCAATTAGGTCTAAGTTACTGGCATAGGTGACGAGGTTTGTGTAGCCTGATCATAACAAGTTTTTCCGAAAAGATGTTGAATATAGATGCACTGAGTATTCTACTTTCGCCGGTGCCTTTTGTGATAATGTTAGACCCAGTGTATTTCTGTGTGGAAGTAGAGTTGTCTGGTCTGTAACTAGACTTGAGCATTAAAAGATGATCATTGTGTTGGTTCAGGTGCTGGAGTGGGTGTCGTTGCCGGTGGAAGAGAGACCAGCCTGGATCTCTCTCTACTACAATATGCCAGACAAAGTGGCTCATCACTTTGGACCAGACTCTAAGGAGGTAATAACTGCTCTCAGGTTAGTGTTTTACATGGGACACACACACACACTTATATTATGTAAATATATTAGCTTTGGCACCCGGCGTTGCTCGAGTGAGGGAAGCCTCATCTGTACTATACGTATAACACTTTACTTTTCTTACGTTTATTTATAACACTTTACTTTAGGTATTTCACCATTTATAACACAACCCACCTGACTATCACCACTAATACCGCCACTAAGCGAGTTGTTATGAATTATAACTTAAAATTAAACTGCTTAATGTTGCTACCACCTTCACCTTTGACGAAACTCAGTACTTTACGGTGACCAACGGTGAAAGATACCGGTCACGGGAGAGTTAAAGGTGTTTATTACTCTAGGAGGAGGTGGGCACCTTACCCGGAAAGTCACCTACTGTGACCTATCATATCTACACTGACACAGGGGGGGGAAGAACAGTCGACTCCCACTATTCACTGGCATCTAAGTAATTCTAAAATACCTTTGATAATTACGGGCGGGAGGAAGATAATGTATCATGTGCACAATGATAACCAAAACTGAGGGAGATGCCCCAGGATACTTGGACATCTGGCAACATCATACTTGGATCTGGCAACTCCCAACGAATGAATAAGAGGTACGAATGCATACACCAGATGGACAGTTTAGTATTATATATTTATATAATTAGTACAATATAAAACTCCTAATCTATCTTCCCTATCAAGGCAATAGTGATCAACACTTGTGATGTTAGAACATGAGGAACAATACTCACTCAAGATTCAGCAGTAGTGAAGCTTCCTTGTAGACACCAGATTGTCAGTCTTCCACGGGGAAGACATCTCCCGTCACGCAGGGTGCAGTCGCACCTCCACAGGTCTCCAGTATCGGCTATTGATACTGGTAATGGCCCCAGAGGACCACCACTTACGGGCTATTCATGCCCGTGCCACCATTTGGGTGACTTAATCTTCATCAATCATCAATCGTCAATCTTCCTCCTCCCTGTGATGCCCAACACTACACCCCAGACTCTTGTCTGGTCTGAGACACAGACCACACACTCTCCCTCTGACCCTTCCTGACCGCAGTCGTTTTGCTGTTTTAGATTCTGGCACTCGGAACAAAATGTTGCAAGTAGCACGGTTACTTAGTGAACTAGAGTGAGCCCGTAGTGGACTTGTCTGGTTACCTGGCACAGGAGCTGGACTGTAACTGCTCCAGTCTCCTGACTGCTTGTTGTTGTTGTTTTAGATTCAGCTACTCTGAAGAAAAAGTTCCAAGCAGCACGGGCTATGGTGAGCCCGTCGTACTTACCTGGCACAGGAGATGTGCCCCTCCGACGTCTTGTTTTGGGCAACGTCTTATATACATAAGAACATAAGAACAAAAATAACTGCAGAAGGCCTATTGGCCCATACGAGGCAGCTCCTATTTATAACCACCCAATCCCACTTCTATACATGTCCAACCCACGTTTGAAACAATCGAGGGACCCCACCTCCACCTCGCTACGCGGTAATTGGTGTTCCACAAATCAACAACCCTGTTACCGAACCAGTATTTGCATGCTGAAACATAAAAACAATGGTCAAGTGCATTTTGTACTACAGAGTTTAAGAAGTTGAGTGTAGTGTAAACTATTTGGTTATGTGGATATTTCTTCAACAGGTAAACGACAAACTTGTGATCTTAGACCAGATGTTGGAGCGGCTGCTGAATGGACTGGATATCCGTGGACTGAGGTCCTGCGTCAATGTGGTGGTGCTCTCAGACCACGGGACGGCTGCCTCAGACTGGATCACCAGCGTCATCAAGCTCGCTGACTACGTCCCCGATATAGCCAGCACCGCCACTGTCTTCACCGGAGCCTTCAGCAGGATAAGACCCTTGAATGACAGTCATGGTGAGTTTTATCCTTGAAAATAGGAACAGGATGCATAATGATATCACAATAACGTGATCTGCGAGCAAATCTTGAAGCAGGACACGGATCGGCCTGAGACGCGTGTCTGCGGTTACCCTAAACGGCTGCGTCCATCCTCATCCTGCTCCAAAGATTTGCTCAAGGACATGATTTTGCGGTTTCCTACCTTTAGCATTTCGAATAAACTGTGTTGTTTTGCTGATAGCAAAGCACACACACAGCACTGAAGGAAGTAGTTTTCAGAGAAAGTGCTAAGACTATATATTACGACTATATAGCACTTAAAAGGTATGGGGATAAGGATTTGAGATGGGACGGATATTTTCCAAGGAATGGTGCACAACCACTTAGACGGTCGGGAATTGAACCCCTTTAATGCAGGCTGAACTCCAAGCTGTATTAGCAGGATTACAGGAAGTAGTCAAATGTAAAAATGCCTGTTTCTTTATAGACAGTAGAGGAGCGTTAGAGTCTTTAAATAACAGACGACCAGTATACCAGAATATTGTGATCGAGTGTAGAAAGTTAAAACATTATAAAACTGGGTATAAAGTAAGATTCATGTGGATCCATTCACAAGACTGCAGCCGGAACTGCAAGAATAAGAATATATAAGAATAAGAATAAGAACAAGAATACCAGAACTGCAGCCACAAGTTGTTGTAATCACAGAGACTAAACTCACGCACATAATAAGAAACACTTACCTAAAAAGGGCTACCATGTAATAAGAAACCAAATTATCTTAGCACGTAAATAGCAAGAACTCAAAAGTTCGTTACTTAAACAAACCGATAACCTTAATGATTGTTGGCATATGTCAGAGAGGGTTCACCTCACATAATATTTACTGTCATTTTGTCCTAATGAAAGATATTCCACCAATGTATTATGGCTGTTTCTTACTCTAGAGGCTGTATTAAGGCAGCGTTTGGGACGCTCACAGACATAGGTTCGAATCCTCATCACGGCCCTTGTGGATTTGTTTATTATGGCTGTTCTTTCTGTTGCATTTAATGTATATGTTCCCTAGAGATGTTTGTGGTTACATTGTGTGTGTTGTGTTTACAGAAGTGAAGATGGCGATGATGGAGGAGCTGTCGTGTCAGAGGAAGGAGATGCGGGTGTACCCCAGGGAGGGCCTCCCCACCAGGTTCCACTTCTCCAACAACCGTCGCATCGAACCCATAGTTCTTGACCTCGACCCAGGCTTCGTTGCAACAATCTCCTTCCCATATACAAAAAATGGCCACCACGGCTATGATAATTATTTTCACGAAATGAATGTAAGCCCCGTGAGTTCTTATTGAATAGCAATTTTTTCCCTTGCCAAGCATTTAAGGAGCTGTAAATGCCTTTAGTTTTCCCACCTTTTTTTTTTAGCCATGCCAGTGACTTGCTTTTCTCAAAGTACTTTTCCATCCTCTTTTCTAAATGTCTTTAAAAGTCTATAACATGTTCTCAAAATAACACTAAATGCACTTAACAGGACCCAAATATAAAGAACTATAATAATAGTTGTAATAAAGAGAAATATACTGCTCTGGGGCAGAAATACATTTCCCACAACAATTCCAAAATGTGATGTCAGAGATATTGGCCTGAGCCAGGGAGAATGTCACCCATGACTGTCATTTCTGTCAACAAACTGTAATAGTTTATTTTGATTATCAAAATACACAACTTTGTTTTCACGAAATTTGTGAATGGGTAAGATATAAAAGAAAGATAATCTTTGTTTCATATGAAGTAACATATTAACATCCATGAATGATATTGTGCTTAAGGTTATAATAATATTTTATTTAAACAAATTATAGAGGATCTGATTACAGTGACTAATTCACAGAAGGTATTTAAACTCATTATAGAGCCACTAATCACGATCACTGTTTCGAACATATTATACAGTACATTATCTTATCATAAGACAGTAGACGATCGCGGAGGCCACAGTTCATGTACTTCCCTGCTTGCAGGCACTGTTCGTGGCGTCTGGGCCGGACTTCAAGACGAAGATGGAGGTCGAACCCTTCCAGAACATCGAGCTGTACAACCTCATGTGTTACCTGACGGGTGTCGAACCCTCCGCCAACAACGGCACCCTCGGCTCCCTCTACCATATCCTCGCCAACCCTCCGCCAGCGCCACAACTTCCTACTGTAAGTCTTCCTTTACAGTACCTATGGAAAATATATATTACCTGCGGAAATCTATGTTCTTTAGGTCGCTGCTTTTCTCTGAACACAACTTCTATATTTAGACGTTTCAACTTCTGTACTATGCTTATTGGCACAATATCATTGGAGTTGAATTGTTTTACAATAGGCTATTTTTGGTACAGCAGTCGTCATTGTGCCCAGGGAACGCCCGTGCTTTACGGTCTCCTTTAGTTCTGGGGCCTCTTGAGGTCACTCGGGCTATGGTCCGCTCATGTCCCATGTGCCTCCATATGTCCAGGGCCACCTCTGCTATATGGGAAGCCCTTGACACCCAAACCACACTTTTACACATGCAATCCTAAGGACACGGGCAACTTCTAGTTCAAAGAATGCCTTTTGGCTCAGATGAGGTTTGATCCTTAGTATTCAAGTTGTCATTGGTTCCCACGTGTTCTCTGGTCTATAGGCAGCCGATGTTCTCTGAAAGCGCCTAGTCCAGAGGCGGCCAATTGCCACTTGGATTCAAAGTGATCCTTTGCCCAAAGTCTTCCGTTGACCCACATGTCGACAGTGGTCTACAGGCGAGCCTTCAATACTAGGCTGCACTTGGACCATATGCTGCTCTTCGTTTTCAAGTAGATACTTCAAAATTGTTCAGTAGTGAATTTCTAGTTAATTTTCCTGGTACACAACGTGGCAAGACACTGTCCTATAATTACCGAAGCTTTTTTGTGGGCACAGGAGTACAAGCCGCCGACGTCCGTGTATCCTGAAAGAGACATAACCCCTCGGCTGCGGATGTCTGGGTGCCCTGGAGACCTCCATGTTCCCGAGGTGAGCCGCCTTTATTTAAGCTTAAGAGTTTTCTAAGGTTGACACGATTTTTGTCAAGATAGATAGAAGAATGTTCTTGCTTGTAGATGTCCTTTTTTTTTGGAGGAGGAAAGGGGGGAGCTTTAGTTTTTAAAGTATGCTAAAATAGTGTACAGGAGTGGAGGGGAACAGGGAGGAAGAGGGGGTGACAAAGCAACCGATCCTAAGGCTATGCTCGTTCAAACGATGATTGACCCCAAAGAATCAATTTCTGGGTCAAATTGACCCCATCAATTTTATCGTAGTATAACCAAAAACTATATTTTCTTGGATATAAATTATTATTAACATAAAATTTTATCTATAGTTAGGTTAGGATATAATAGGTGTATTGGTTCTGTTGGCAATTATTTGTATTTCAACGTGTCCTCCGGCCAAGTGATTTCAATTTTGCTAGTGAAAATAACTAGTCGACTATTGCACGTAACCTCAAACTTCATTTTGTTTAATATACATATGTATTCTAGAAGCTCACAACATACACAACAGTGTATTTTTAGATTGATTAACTACATTTGAAGTTAATAAGAAATTTAGTATGCTTTTGTTTATCTGTGCAGCCGTGGTTAGTGTCCCTGAAGCTGAACGAGGAAGAGCGGAACAAGACGGAGATGCTCCACCTTCCCTGGGGCATCCCTCACTCCTCACCTCTCCCAGCCTCCCTCACTCTCCTCCACCACCAGGACCACGTCACAGGTGAGCTCTCCCTCACTCCTCACCTCTCCCAGCCTCCCTCACTCTCCTCCACCACCAGGACCACGTCACAGGTGAGCTCTCCCTCACTCCTCACCTCTCCCAGCCTCCCTCACTCTCCTCACCAGGACCACGTCACAGGTGAGCTCTCCCTCACTCCTCACCTCTCCCAGCCTCCCTCACTCTCCTCCACCACCAGGACCACGTCACAGGTGAGCTCTCCCTCACTCCTCACCTCTCCCAGCCTCCCTCACTCTCCTCCACCACCAGGACCACGTGATGTTTTTGTTTAATCACACAGCATGTTAAAATTGACGAATGCGACCCTAAGGTCGGCCTCTGCTTGGACAAGCACAGCCTCAGGATGGTTTTCTGCTTCTCAATGCCCTTAGAATGGATATACTGTATGTCAGGCAGGAATGGTTATGTCGGGCATTGGAAGATTGAAATACAAAGTCATGAGCAGATCTCCCTAACATTACCCATCATTCGTATGTTCCACCCTCCACACTGACTCGTATCTTAATATCTTACTTACGTTTCAACCACCACTTTGCAGCCAACGTATGTATGTCTAACTGCCCTCTCCGTCCCCCACCAGGGTACTCGCAGACCCTCAAGATGCCCTTGTGGTCCAGCTTCAGCCTGCAGGAGGCGCCGCTGAAGGACTTAACGTCACAGTGGTGTAGTGATGTGCGTCTCACTACCACCACCACACCCACCTGTGGTGCATACGCTCACCTGGCCGCCCGCAACATCTCCATGTACCCTCTCTTCCCTCCAGGTGAATAATAATAGGTTTTATTCATAAGAATGTGTGTACAAGGAGCATAAGAGAAAGGGACAATTGTAGGGATAGGAGTTAAACATATGAATAAAGCCTACGCAAGGTGTTTCGGTCAAAACTTAGAATAATTTAGATTTTCCCTAACCTGAAAACTGCAAAAGGCCTATTGGCCCACACGAGGCAGCTCCTATTTATATCCACACAAACTAATACATAAATATGTCTAACTTACGTTTGTAACAATAACAATAAGCAGACAGCAAGTCACAGGATGGTCCAAAATGTCGTCTACTTAATTTTCAAATCTTTGTTGCCATGTTGTAGGCTTCTCCTGGAACGCGTCGCTGCCTCGTCTACCGTTCCTGGTGAGCAACGCGGTGCCGGCCTCGAAGCAGCTGATATACCGGTGGGAGGCGCTGCTGCAGGAGCTGGTGCCAGCCTGGCTGGCTCTCTACGGGCCCCTCAACCTGGTGCTGGGACCCGTCTTCGACAACAACGCTGACTCCCTCCCCGACGACTTCCACAACTTCACGTACGAGGCTCCTCTTTACTGACGACAATTATATTACCTGCTATTGTGATGATTGTAGCAATAGTTGGTGACTATAGTCTCCGTTCCCGTGGCGCAGTGGTAAAGCACTCGCCCGGCGCTTCGCAAGCAGTTTGTCCTGGGTTTATATCCTAGCCAGGCAGGATTGACTAGGCGCCAATCCTTAACTGTAGCCTCTATTCACCCTGCAGTGAATGGGTACCTGGTTGTTAAACGATTTGGCGGGTTGTATTCTAGTGAAAAAAAAGGATTAAGGACCTGCCCGAAACGCTATATATGCTAGTGGCTGTACAAGAATGCAAGAACTCTTGCATATATAAATAAGTAAATAAATAAATAAGTAAATAAATAAATAAATAAATAAATAAATATATAAATAAAGAAGCTTTTGTCTTATCTAAAAAAAACTTGAAGCCTCTCATAAAACAATTCATGCTTTAAATAACTGTTCAAATCTTTTTCTTCCTCAGCATTCCCGAAGTTCCGTCCCACCTGTTCTCTGTGGTGACCCGTTGCAAGACCAAGGTGACCTCACTTGACCTTTGCTCTCCCAGTGACCTCGACGCTGCCGCCTTCATTATCCCAATGGTGGAGTTCATCTCCAACTGCCAGGTGAGTCTAGGTCAACGAGTCTGTTCAACCCGGTGGTCAGGTCACCCTGACCTGACCACTGGGTTTGTTAAAAATAGATTCTGCCTTACAAACCTGCTCACATTTTTGGAAACAGTGACCAGCTAATCAGACAAAGGATTTCCGATGGATGTAGTATACATGGATTTTGCTAAGGTACCACATGAAAGATTGGCAAGGAAATTACAGGCACATGGAATAAATGGTAGAATACCTGAATGGATAAAACAATGGTTAAAGTAAGAAAACAAAGGGTCGTGCTAAATGGGAAGGAATCTAACTGGAGAAATGTGTTAAGTGGGGCACCACAGGGGTCCAACTTAGGGCCAACCCTTTTTGTCATATATATCAATGACATAGATGGGAATATTACAAACAACATTATAACATTTGCAGATGACACTAAGATTTATGGTAAAGTGGTAAATGAATATGATATTGAAATCTTACAAAGAGTTGGAGGATGAGCTCCACAAATGGTCAGAAGACTAGTGTCCCCACTTGTCCCTAGCACCACCCCACCACTAGTATCACCACAAATACACCACTAGCACCACCACTCCTAACATCACCACCACCGACACTAGTATCACCACCAATACACCACTACTATTAACATCACCCCCATTACTAACATCACCATCACTACTAACATCCCGCCAATGTTGCAGAGTAATGCAGACTACCTGGCGGAGTTCAGCGCCAAGGTTCACGACGTGGAGTTGGTCACGGGACTCACCTTCTTCCCCGACCTCGACTTCCAGACCCGCACCTCTCTTGTACTTCGGATGATCCCGCACCTCTGGCCCCTACACTGAACCTACACTCTCAGCTCTGCCTCACACTTGACAATACCTTTTCATACATTTGGTTATTAAATTAAAAACAAATGGGAATAAAAAAATAAGAAATAGTTCAAATAGCTTTATTAACCATTTTAGTCTATAGTTTGTATGAAAAGTACAAAAATTTAACTTTTGGTGGTTCATCACTACTTCTTGGTACTTTTGAGGAAATAGTTACTATAAGTACGCGTGCCATCATTTCAGGGTAGAGGGTTGCATGTTGTACATCATTATGTACCTATCACAAATGTTACCAGTTTTAGTGGTTAGTTTAGTTATCAGTAGTGCGTTTGTGCTTATCAGTGGTTTGACTTTATACTCATCCTGTACATGCTTGTTGACCCCCATACCCATCACATGGGTGATAGTGTACCCCATACCCATCACATGGGTGATAGTGTACCCCACACCCATCACGTGGGTGATAGTGTACACCATACCCCTCCTGCATTTGCTTGTGAATCCCACACCCATTACATGAGTGGTAGTGGAGCCTCTACCCATCCCGTAAATATAAGAGGAGCTCGTAGCCATCTTGTGGGTAAGAGGGGAAACTTACACCCTCTTGTGTGGACCATACAGTGAGACCTCTTACCTCTTCCATCAGTCATACCACCTGTCTCTATGCTAAATTAAACCCATATATCTATGTTATGTCTGCAAATTCCGAGTTGCCTAACAGGCCGAATGATTTTGGTTATTTTAAAATATTTCTTTCCAGGTTGGTTCTTTTCTAACAATAATCTAATATATTAGGAACAGGAATTTCTGACTTAGGCAGGTTTGGTTAGGGTTCATCCAATTTCTGTTAGTTTTGAATGAAAGTTAAAAAAGAAATTAAAATCATATGTAATGTAATGTAATGGAAAGCTGTATTATTCCTTAAGAATATATATATATATATATATATATATATATATATATATATATATATATATATATATATATATATATATATATATATATATATATATATATATATATATATTAAATATCATTTCTAGGACGAATCTTCTCTATATTTGTAATGTTCTAATCTTGAAAAGGAAATTGAGAAAAATTAACTCTCCAAAGTTCATTTTATAATTTTATTGGACCTGAGGAGTGTGGGTAAATGACAGGTGAGTCGTTGAGACTCAACATGAAGCAGAGGGTAAATGGACACAAATTAGCACAAGTACCGGTATATACACTCTATGTAGGATGAGGTGATGTGACACTAACATAACCATGTTCATAATAGTGTGAATATAACAATCAACTTCTCAGCGGCTTGCGAGAACCTTGAACACACAAAGGTAGTGACTGCCTCTGTGACCCCTCACCAGGAGAAGTCCTGAGGGCCACAGCTGTGAGTGTAGAGTCAGTGTAGGGGCCAGAGCTGTGAGTGTAGAGTCAGTGTAGGGGCCAGAGCTGTGAGTGTAGAGTCAGTGTAGGGGCCAGAGCTGTGAGTGTAGAGTCAGTGTAGGGGACAGAGCTGTGAGTGTAGGTTCAGTGTAGGGGCCAGAGGTGCGGGAGCATCCGAAGTACAAGAGAGTTGCGGGTCTGGAAGTCGAGGTCGGGGAAGAAGGTGAGTCCCGTGACCAACTCCACGTCGTGAACCTTGGCGCTGAACTCCGTCAGGTAGTCTGCATTACTCTGCAACATTGGCGGGATGTTAGTAGTAGTGGTTGTGTCTGTTATGAATTACAAGCCTTTAAGGCAATCTTCATCTCTCATTCAAACCGGGGGCCCCAATCCCACCCACATTGAATGCATAAATATCCGAAAATACCTAGGAATATGTCGAAGGAAATTATTTTAAAAGTATTGGGAGAATTTTATGTACTAACACTTAACAATTTATTCACAAAGAGAATTATACAGAACACTGGACATTACAGATTATTCACAACGGCGCCAGCCAAAATCCTAGTTCCAGTCTGCAGGAACGAATGGGTAATATAATAATGGCAACAATCTTTTTACCACCACCGGTCACCAAGAAATAATAAGTCTAGAAAAGTCTATATCAAGGGTGGCAAGACTCACCAAGTATTTGACACTATTTACCCCCGAAGTGGACGGTGCCTTGTGTTGAGGAGGCTCTTGAGCAGCGCCTGCTGGTAGGAGGCTCCTGTTTCCCTCTCCTGTCTGCTGTGGTAGAGTAGAGGCCAACTCCACCAGTTCGCCTCTACTCCTGCCTCCCGCCCTTTCAACTCTTTTCTTTGTTGGATTTACCTCTGGCTCCCAACACTGACTTCACTGCGCCTACTCCTGATCCTCTCTAGTCTTTGCCATAGTTTTTCTTCTCTACTTTTATTTTCCCTGTTCTCTGTTCTTTCCTGTGTCTATTCTTCAATGGAATATTCATGGTTTCTTTGCAAATTGTCATGAACTCCAACTTCTGGAATCACAGTTTTCACCGATCTGTCTCTGTCTCCAGAAAACGATGCTTGGTGCTCGTTAAAGCTTACCCAGTTATTACTTAAATACTTCAAGGGGGTCGCTTAAACCCTTGCTAGACTCGCTTGACTTGGACTCACCAGATTGTTGGAGACGGACTCATCCATTGGGACAATGAAAGAAGCAGCGTCGAGGTCACCGGGAGAGCAAAGGTCAAGCGAGGTCGCATATATCTTGCAGCGGGTTACCACAGCGAACAGGTCAGATGGTACCTCTGGAATCTTGCTGAAACACAAAAAAAAAAATACTTTTTAGAAAGTAAACAAAAATATGTAACTTTTTTTTATAAAGTATCAATAATTCGCTTCTATACGGACCAAGGAAATAAAGTATCAGTAATTAGGTACCTGGTTGTTAACCAGTTTGCGGGTCGTGTTCCAGGGAAAACTAGTAGGGTAAGGTAGTGTAGTGTCGTGTAGTAGGGTAAGGCTTACCATGAGCTATGGGGAGGGAAAGCTGTCAGCTGCTAACAGGAGTCAGCAGATGTCTGCTCCTGTACCCTCCTGTGTAAAAATAAGTCCATCCAATTTATCGTTGTATATATACTTGGAGGTCACTTTAGTCTTGAATTTTGTTCGGGAATAAAGTACACCTGTTGTTGTTGTTAAAGATTCGCTACCTGGAACAAAGTTCCAAGTAGCACGGGCTATGGTGAGCCCGTATGGTACACCTGCTGGTTGATCAGTAAGCTCTTGTAGCGACCTTAATACGCCTCCCCGGGGATGATGGTTCTTAAGACCAACACCGAACCAAACTTTTCCGCACAAATTTGACAGAAAATATAGCTTTAGAGTACAATATGTATCATTAGAAACATCAACTCCGTCTTATGAGAGGAGTGTTTGAAGTGTCTATACCAGAACATCATATAACATCAATAAACAATAGCAGAGCTCTGGGGACTAGGCACCAGAACATCGTATGACATGTGTAATAAGAGCCGTGTCTCGGACCTCAGTACATGAACCCGTCCTTAGGGGGCATCCTGCAATATTAGTTAAAACACTTTGGTCATATGTATACATTAGAGACGTTGAACCGTTATTATTGACAGAAACACTTCATCGCCATCGTTAGATTAGACGGGTTAAGTACGAACTCTGAGATTCCATGTATTTGTTTCGTATATATTCGACGATCTAACTTTGTTAAACTGTATTATTTTGGATTAACTCGTGATAAGATTTACATTTCTACATAAGACACCGCTCCCCTGTGAGAATTATTTCCCCATTAAATCCATGTTTAGAATTTCTTTTGTACATGTGGAATTGGACGAAACATAGGGAGGTAGCCTAATGCAGTATATGTTTTGGGTTACTAATACTCAAAAGGATTGAATTGAGAAGGATCTAGTGCACAATTGAAATTTGAGGTTGACACTCTGACAGGGTGTGTCCCAACTCACAGCAAGTAAGGAATTCTTGTCTGTCGTCATCACCTATCGCTACAATCATCACAATAGCAGGTAATATAATTGTCGTCAGTAAAGAGGAGCCTCGTACATGAAGTTGTGGAAGTCGTCGGGGAGGGAGTCAGCGTTGTTGTCGAAGACGGGTCCCAGCACCAGGTTGAGGGGCCCGTAGAGAGCCAGCCAGGCCGGCACCAGCTCCTGCAGCAGCGCCTCCCACCGGTATATCAGCTGCTTCGAGGCCGGCACCGCGTTGCTCACCAGGAACGGTATTTGAGGTACAGAAGTGTTCCAGGAGAAGCCTGCAACACGGCAGGAAAGGTATTACGCCAGCTTGTAATAAGGCCAACAAATAACTACCATAGCCTACAACTTGTAGGAATCACTGCACCTGAAACAACAGCCACTAAAACTGTGCACCATGAGCATCTACACATGCAACAAGAGCCAAAGACAAACTTGGACAGAACGGATTGGGCAGGTAGGGGTAAGTGGGAGAGGTTCATAAGGTGGGGACTCACCTGGAGGGAAGAGAGGGTACATGGAGATGTTGCTCGTGTCCAGCTGTTGGTAGTCAGTACAGGTGGGTGTGGTGGTGTTGGTGAGACGCACATCACTCGACCACGGCCATGTTGCGTTATCCCACTGTTGCCTCACGCTGAAGCTGGTCCATAGTGGCATCTTGAGCGTCTGAGAGTACCCTGGTGGGGCAGGGAGAGGCCAGTTAAGGGCACAATGGAGGATAGCAGACCCTCTGAAGCCATACCCGCAGGTAGGGAGCTCGAAGCCTCACTATCATGGGCGAGGTGTGAGTAAGGAAGTGAAACGCGTTAATGAGTATGATGGATGAGGTGTGAAATAGATGTGTTGCCAGATGGGCGTGTATGGACTATGGGCTCACACTAGGATACTGTCAACACTGTGAATAATCTCCTGTTGTTTACACAAGTTATCTCTGTTGCAGTTTTATCACCGTTTAAGTCTTTATTACTGTGGTCGAGATCGTATGATCTGCTTTTGTGTGTGACTGGTGGCCAGAAACCAACAACTTAAGACTTCGTTATTCAAACGACAAGTGCAACAAATGCATAGATTTTCAGTGTGTTTATAGAATAAAAACAGTATTAATACATATTCACTAAACAGTACTGTGCCACCTGCACTATCATCACCATGCCATAAACATCCTCTCCAACAGGAACAACAGACAGACAGACAGACACTGCCCGTCTGTCTCACTGATCAGGACAATAGGACGGGGAAGCCCTTCCGTCCCCAGTTATAAGGGGAACACACACTAAATATTAGCAAGGTTTCTCCTCCATGCTCCTTAGAGAAACACTCATCCAAATATATCACGCCCTACAGACCTTCTCAACGTTCATATAACACAGACCTTACAGTAATGAGGGAGAGCTCACCTGTGACGTGGTCTTGGTGGTGGAGGAGAGTGAGGGAGGCTGGGAGAGATGAGGAGTGAGGGAGAGCTCACCTGTGACGTGGTCCTGGTGGTGGAGGAGAGTGAGGGAGGCTGGGAGAGATGAGGAGTGAGGGAGAGCTCACCTGTGACGTGGTCCTGGTGGTGGAGGAGAGTGAGGGAGGCTGGGTGAGGGAGAGCTCACCTGTGACGTGGTCCTGGTGGTGGAGGAGAGTGAGGGAGGCTGGGAGAGGTGAGGAGTGAGGGAGAGCTCACCTGTGACGTGGTCCTGGTGGTGGAGGAGAGTGAGGGAGGCTGGGAGAGGTGAGGAGTGAGGGAGAGCTCACCTGTGACGTGGTCCTGGTGGTGGAGGAGAGTGAGGGAGGCTGGGAGAGGTGAGGAGTGAGGGAGAGCTCACCTGTGACGTGGTCCTGGTGGTGGAGGAGAGTGAGGGAGGCTGGGAGAGGTGAGGAGTGAGGGAGAGCTCACCTGTGACGTGGTCCTGGTGGTGGAGGAGAGTGAGGGAGGCTGGGAGAGGTGAGGAGTGAGGGATGCCCCAGGGAAGGTGGAGCATCTCCGTCTTGTTCCGCTCTTCCTCGTTCAGCCCCAACAACTCCAGCCACGACTGTACATACAAACACACTTCATTATTTTCTTGATCACACCGAGCAACAATCGTATATACATTTCTCAAGTAACAATTTCCTGCAAACTTCCGCACCTTTTAAATTTATGAATTAATAATGAAGAAAGGAACTAAAATTCAGTGTTATTCTGTACTGTTAAGTTTGGATAATATCACTAACTTAATATGTTACAATACATCACAATACAAACACTGTTGTATATATTCATATATACAAAATGCCACAAAGATTGATTGATGAAGATTAAGCCACCCAAAAGGTGGCACGGGCATGAATAGCCCGTAATGCCACAAACTTTCCCCCCTGTATATGTATTCTAAAATATTGCCATAGAGAAGGAGAGAAAGAAGAAGTGTGGTGAAAATGTTGTCGACAAAGACCCTAACAGTTGAAGAGGCCCATTATCATTGTTTACGGGCTATTCCTGCCCGTACCACCTCTTGGGTGGCTTAATCTTTATCAATCATTATCATTGTTACTGTAATGGAGGTAATGCTGCCGTCTTCCGAGAACCACTTCAACAAACCTGTCGATTGATTGATAAAGATTTAGCTACCCAAGAGGTGGCACGGGCATGATTAGCCCGTAAAAAAACTTGCCACGTGACTGCACTATTTACTAGTAACACTTGCATCTTCACCTCAGTCTACACTGGTTCTATTTTAACATGAGTCTACATTGCGTCCTTGCATCTTCACCTGAGTCAACACTGGTTGTATTTTAATGTAACACTGTAAGGTGTTTGGTTTAGTTTATTTAAAATATATATAGAACATGAGTCACAGACAAGGATTTAAGAAAGGCGCCAGGTTGTCGGCCTGAGATCTCACACCTCAAAGCGTTAATGACCTCAAGTGACCTGAGGTCAGATCATGAGAATTTCACCTTGCTTCCGCTAATCTTATAATTGTAGCCTGTTAGCCTTCAAACATGCCGACGTTCAAGGAGTGGCTTGGTAGAGTGCCTAAGGCTATCTACTTGTGGGCGGAGTTAGTTATTAGGCTCCCCAATATATACTCCGCCCACAAGTAGATAGCCTTAGGCACTCTACCAAGCCACTCCTTGAACGTCGGCATGTTTGAAGGCTAACAGGCTACAATTATAAGATTAGCGGAAGCAAGGTGAAATTCTCATGATCTGACCTCAGGTCACTTGAGGTCATTAACGCTTTGAGGTGTGAGATCTCAGGCCGACAACCTGGCGCCTTTCTTAAATCCTTGTCTGTGACTCATGTTCTATATATATTTTAAATAAACTAAACCAAACACCTTACAGTGTTACATTAACATGAGTCTACATTGCGTCCTTGCATCTTCACCTGAGTCTACACAACCTACTTGTCACTTCACCTGAGTCTATACTGCCTTCTTGCAATTTCTCCTGGAGCTTGATAATTGTAAGGTTGCGGCCAGCCTCACCTGAGGGGTTGTGAGGTCACCAGGACAGCCGGATATGTGTAGCAGAGGTGTCACGTCCGTGGTCGGGTAAAGAGACGTCGGCGGCTTCTCCTCCTGCGGCCACAAGAATATTACACTCACCCAAACGTGCCAGACGGAAGTAATAGTATTACTTGTTATGAATATTTGCATTAATAACATTATGAACACCAATGTTTGTAGTTGTGTTAGCAGCAGTAGTTTTGCAAGTCATAATAACAACATTTACATTAGATTTGTTCACATTATTTTCTTGGGTCTTCGGCGTGAATAGCCAAACCCGCCATCCAACGTGTCCTCGTGTTGGATGGGGGACGACCCAGGTCCACCAGTGAACGACCAGCATCGGAACGTGGAGCAACCAAACAAAAATATTGTGTACATTATATATATTGTATTACTGTTGTTTAGGAAGACTTACGGTAGGAAGTTGTGGCGCTGGCGGAGGGTTGGCGAGGATGTGGTAGAGGGAGCCGAGGGTGCCGTTGTTGGCGGAGGGTTCGACACCCGTCAGGTAACACATGAGGTTGTACAGCTCGATGTTCTGGAAGGGTTCGGCCTCCATCTGCGTCTTGAAGTCCGGCCCAGACGCTATGAACAGTGCCTGCAAGCAGGGATATACATGAACTATGGCCCAGACGCCATGAACAGTGCCTGCAAGCAGGAATATACATGAACTGTGGCCCAGACGCCACGAACAGTGCCTGCAAGCAGGGAAGTACATGAACTGTGGCCCAGAGGCCATAAACAGTGCCTGCAAGCAGGGAAGTACATGTACTTCAGCAGTGACTCACACGGTACAAACTGTTATGGGGATGATGTAAGCTTTTGGTTTGGATAATTGTGATGTTGTTGTTGGAAATGGGGATTATGTAAGCTGTTGGTGTTGGTAATGAGGATGATTTAAGATGTTGGTAATGGGGATGGCGTAATCCGTTGTTGCTAGCAATTTGGACGACGTAAACTGTTGCTGTTGGTAATGAGGATTATATAAGCTGTTGTTGCTGATAGTGTGAGTAACTTAAGCTGTTGTTTCCAGTAATGGAGAGAGAGAGAGAAGATTAAGCCACCCAAAAGGTGGCTTGGGCATGAATAGCCCGTAAGTGGTGGCCCTTTTGAGCCATTTCCAGTATCAATAGATGATACTGGAGATCTGTGGAGGTGCGACTGCACCCTGCGTGACGGGAGATGTCTCCCGTGTCCAGTAATGGGATTAATGCAAGATGTTATAAGCTGTTGATCATGATAATATAATCATGAGGATGAAAATGAATTGCATGTTTACTCCCCCTTACATTCATGGTCCTGTAGTGGGAGTCATAGCCGTGCTGACCCTCGAGGGAATATGTAGAGTAGATTTTAGTGACGAAGCCTGGGTCGAGGTCAAGAACTATGGGTTCGATGCGACGGTTGTTGGAGAAATGGAACCTGGTGGGGAGGCCCTCCCTGGGGTACACCCGCATCTCCTTCCTCTGACACGACAGCTTCTTCATCATCGCCATCTTCACTTCTGTGAACGTGAGAGTACAGTGATGATACAAGTACCTTCTTTGTCCACAGGTTTTTGCTGATATTTGCCCTGTATGGATATGTCATCTTTCGCTCTCAGTCGTGACTAGTTGATGCCCAATGCTAGTCTTACCTGTAAGGTTTTGTGTTAGTTCTGGCACTCTCCAACACGCCTGGCCTCATACTGAGTGCCACAACACACAGGAGGTAACACTTGGCTGGGGTTATTTGTAACACCTTGTACTCTTCTTGCTTCCCATGGAGGGGGAGCATTTTGTTTACTTAATTGATACGTTGTTGGTCCAAGAGGTTTAGTGAGTTAAATTATATTTTATATTATTAACAGTCAAAGAGAAATCACCGGAAATGAAAAAAGTGGAGATAATTGCTTGAGTTTAATTCTACTTAACTATTTAGCATATAAAACAAAAAGACATCCTAACTAAATGTAAACTTAAGGCAATTAGGGATATTTGTGAAACAAGGGATATGTTCACTAACAAAAAATTGGGCAAGCACCTCTTATCGGGTTGCTTTGAAGATAACAGTCTACCACTCACCACCCTCACTCACCACCCTCACTCAACACCCTCACTCACCACCCTCACTCACCACCCTCACTCAACACCCTCACTCACCACCCTCACTCACCACCCTCACTCACCACCCTCACTCACCACCCTCACTCACCCTCACTCACCACCCTCACTCACCACCCTCACTCACCACCCTCACTCACCACCCTCACTCACCACCCTCACTCACCACCCTCACTCACCACCCTCACTCACCACCCTCACTCACCACCCTCACTCACCACCCTCACTCAACACCCTCACTCACCACCCTCACTCACCACCCTCACTCACCACCCTCACTCACCACCCTCACTCACCACCCTCACTCCACCCTCACTCACCACCCTCACTCACCCTCACTCCACCCTCACTCACCACCCTCACTCACCACCCTCACTCACCACTCACTGTGTGCATGTGCCCAGGCAACGGCGCACTTCACACCTCTCAAGGAGGAGGTGGACCAGAAATGTAAAGCAAATCCTTGGTTCAATAGTCAGTGCAGCCAAGCTAAATAAAGTACAAAACCGCTTAGAAAAAATTACAGAGAACAACAGAGAGGCGCTAAAGAGAACCAGAAACATGTGCGCCCGAGTTAGGACGGAAGCTGTGATAGGCAAATTGAAAATAACATTGCTGAACAAGCCATGGACCCACCCAAGTTGTTATATAGACATAAGGAGGAATATCTATATGTTATATAGATATATCTATATGTTATATAGATATAAGGAGGAAACACAACAGTGAGAGACTATCTTCTCAGAGTGAGGAGACGGGGGGGGGGGGAATTATCACACAAAATTATAAACATTATAGTGAGGCATATGAAGAACCTAACAAAAGATTTCAGGAGATCTTTGCGATAAAACCAGCATGGAGACCAACGTTGCGAGAAGAAAGGTAGAAGAAACAATGATTTCTTCAAACTATTTAGTAAATTTTTCGTTAACTAAAAAATATATGTTCAATATTTTCATGTAGAAAAAAAACAGATCTGACCACGTTTGGAAGCCTTACCCTCGCTGTCATTCTTCGGGTCTATCCTGGAGAAAGCGCCTTCGTAAGAATAGGAAGCCTTTTTAATATCACTGATATAGTCGACAAGGTCTATAACCCTGCGCGGGCCGGCGGCTGCCATCCCGTGGTCGGCCAGGATGATCATGTTGACGCAAGAGGTGATCCCCTCTCTATCCATACCCTCCAGCAGCCTCTTCACCATGGCGTCTACTCTCTCCAACTGTGTGTTCACCTGTGGATTGATTGATTGGTAAAGATTAAGCCACCCAAAAGGTGGCACGGGCATGAATAGCCCGTAAGTGGTGGCCCTTTTGAGCCATTACCAGTATCAAGAGCTGATACTGGAGATCTGTGGAGGTGCGACTGCACCCTGCGTGACGGGAGATGTCTCCCGTGTCACCTGTGGCCACAGTACAGTATTATATAATGCAGGCAGTGAGGCGCTATACTTATAGTGACTGGAAATTAGATACCTATCCCCCCCCCCCACACGCATCTGAAAATTATGATATTGGGTGACGATTCTGGACGTCCTCGATGGATCGTGTCGTGGTGATGGTCCAGGACGGAACGAAACGTCGTATCTCTATTGTCAGATGTAAGGGTATCACACAAGGGGCATGCAGCCAGGGTATCACACAAGGGGCATGCAGCCAGGGTATCACACAAGGGGCATGCAGCCAGGGTATCACACAAGGGGCATGCAGCCAGGGTATCACACAAGGGGCATGCAGCCAGGGTATCACACAAGGGCATGCAGCCAGGGTATCACACAAGAGGGCATGCAGTTTTTTTTATTGTAAACATGATAAACAAATCAAGTAAATGAAGTCGAAAGCATTAATCTGGTGATAGTGGAAAGACAGGGTTTAAGAACTAACACTCCGCCCTGCTAGCACACATATATTTGTACATCTAGGTAAATGTATACTAGAAAAGTTTGTCTTGGTGTGAATGAAATAATGGACTTAATAGGGAAATTATTTTTATAAAGAAAAAAGTATGGTTATGAGAATAGTATAGGCAAGGGGAATTATCATGTTAAAAAAAAGTACACAGATTTGTTGACAGGATGCCCGTAGAGGTTAGTTCAAAATGAAAAGATCATCACTTTGAATTGACTAACAAATACTTTTAACGAGTGAATATATCGAGTAGACCAACCTTAATCTTCTCTTACATAGGGTGTGGAAAACTAGTTAGTTTTCTAGTTAATCTAGTTAGATTTATAGCGGAAAGGGTACTTTACCCAAAGTACAGCTAGCTAGCTCTCTCTCTCTCTCTCTCTCTTGATTGATTGATTGATTGTTGTACACTCTTTTTTTCAGTTTTCCATTCTTTCTTACTTCGTATAGTCCCTACAGGCTTGATCCTGGGAATGTGTGTGTGATTTTAGAGAACTATATGCTGTAGATATAATAGAGGAAATTAGGTCGGCAGTTAGTACAGCAAGCAACCGACAGTTAGAAATTCGGTATCCAAGAGTTAACAGCTCGATCCTACAAGAACACATAGTAAACACACACAAACAATTGTGTTTACCTCTGCATACTTTTGTAAACACAATTGTAGAGACGTACGAGTGAGTGAGCTCCTAGAAAGCTTCAGTTGCTAGGCTTCCTTCAGTGACCAGCTGTTGCTGCCTCCTGAAACTTTGAATTTCAAAATGTTTCTCTTAAATTACCTTGTGAATGTCAGGTCCACAGTCATGCGGGTCCAGTGGACTTACCGCTTCAGAGTTAGGTCCAGACCCATGTCCATGGTGGTCTGGCTCGTCAAGGTAGAAGCAGATAAAGTCCGGCCTGGAGTCCAGCGAGTAAGTCAACCAGTCAAGTACCTGTACCGTGAAGCTTATTAATAATCGCTAACAAAACTACTTAGTTTTCAAGTGTGAATTGTAAATATGTTTTAAACTTTACACTGTAAGAAATTTGATCAGTGCAAAGCTTTGCCATCAAAATTATCCCTTTGATAGTAGCCCAACAACTAGACTGTTGATAAGTGCGGGGAAGTGACTTCAAGTACTGTACTTAATATACTTATCCCAATGTGAACCATCATTAAAAATCTGAAAGAAATCATATCATATCTAGGATAATAAATCTGAAGGACAAGGGTCACTCCAGATTTTTTCAAATTTAAAAAGTAAATACAATAGCCTAAGATGGGCCACCTACACTAGCAATGGCGTTACTTTACGTTACAGAATATGAAGTAGCAATCTTCAATAATTGACCGGGTTGCTTCCGACTCAGACCAAAATTATATGAGTTTTCTAGTGTTAAACTATTTTAAAATATTATGTGAACTTGAGGTGGGACGTCCTGATTGTTTACAGAGATTCAACGTATAAACAAACCCACAACCACAGAATTAAATTAAAAAACAAATTATGTAACAAATTTGGAAAATTGTCTCATTTGTTAATTCATTCCTAGTGAAAGGAGCTTGAAACGACATTAAAATATTTAGCTTATTAAATTTAAAAAGCTTCATTAGAATAAATTATTGAGCTAATCAAAAGGAAATAATGTTTATAATGTTAGGATATGCAGACGATGAGTCACAATAACGTGGCTGAAGATATGATGACAAACCCACACACCAGAAGATGAAAATATGTTTATTTTCTAATAAACATATTTTCCATGTTTAGAAACTAATACTTACGTCCTGGACCATTATCATATACGTTATTTATTATTAACATCTTTATTGACAAAATTGAATTACAATTTTGCCTAATCTGAGGATTTTAATTAAGTCTTATTAAAGTGAGGATAATGGTGGTATTCACTGTCACGCAGGACAGAGGGTCATACACAAGACAACAGGTCTAAACTGTAGGCTGAAGCACATGTATATCATGGTTACAATCAATATTTTAATGTATGAATATAGAGTGTATGGCAGTGTTGGAGTGTGTTTACCACAGCAGCATAAATAACAGTGTGAGTTAATCCTACGTTTAATGTCCCTTTTCTCGTCAGTCTAATATTTACACCTGTTATGGATGTGTAGGCCTATAGAATAAACAATAAATAATGATGAAATATTAGTTTATGCAATCACAGTACTGAGACGAATTGAATGAAAGTACCAATGTTTCACATACACGTGTGTGTTGGGTGTGTAGTGTTCAGCTACGTTATTGTGACTTGCTGTCTGCACTGAGAAGTGTATTATTACCTTGTCGACGCGATCAGTATAGTTGACTGAACCGTCGTAAGGGAACCAGTAGTTAGGGTAGGAGCCGTTGATGTTGTGGTCTGACCCAGGCCAGAAATACGCCGCGCTCTTCTTGCCCTGTCAACATTATATAACATGCATTATTAGTCTTTTTCTTGATGACAATGTAGCAGATTTCTGCCGTGTGAGTATGTTAATTTATTATACACCCTGTGCCCCTCGTGAGGTGGGAGTGCACCAATGCCAGTCCTGTGGGTGGTAGTGCATCCTCATACCTATCCTGGGGGTATAGAGACACACTTATGGGAAGTGAAGTATGCGGGGTGAGAACCGTAGAGTTTAATTTATTTCGATGATAATGAGAAGAGTGTGGGCCACCCATTATTTAAGCCTGTCCATACGTGAGGGGGACAATTGACGTAAGAGCTTTTTTGTGTGCCTCCACACACACACACACACACACACACACACACACACACACACACACACACACACACACACACACACACACACACACACACACACACACACACACACACACACACACACACACACACACACACAAGTTTGCAGTCATTGACCTCCAGTATACTCACCTCTGGGTGTGGCCCATTTAACTCTGACGGAACAGCCGATCCTTACCCCCCCCCCCACACCCGTAAGGTAGACAGCTGATAGGTTACTTTTACTGGGCGCCACCGGCTAGCCCGTCTTCCAGTGTGGTGTCACTGACCTCTGTACTGCATGACACACTTTCTTACCGGTAATTAACGGCACTTTAACCTGGGGGTCTACAGGCTATTTCCCCCTCTACTCACTATGCACATCTTCCTGGAAAAAAGCACGATGACCCGTCATCTTCAAACCCTAACAATTGGTCTAGTAAAAACAACATTCACAACCTCTGTCAGTCCTCTTTACTCGTTGTGTGTCATTCTCGCGGTCCAGCAGCTGTCACTTGGATCATTTCAGCCTTCCAGATCCTGGAAGGACTCAGGTTCCTGAGCCTACTGGACTCAGTAGATATTGAAACAGTAGCGAGGAGTTGCATATAGTGCCACACGGCGCGCCTCACCGGTCAAGTGAGGCTACTCACAGGTACCTATTTACTACTAGATAAACAGAGGCATCACGTGAAATGAAACGAACCAAAACATGGCTGTCCTACCACGGGGACCGAACCCTGGACTTATCGGTGGTGATCAAACCCCCTCCCGACTGACCTTCCTTTTGACGGTGTTCCATATGGGGTCCCCGCCCCACCACTCAGGCTCGCTGGAGGACATGGAGAAGCTCTTATTAAACTCAGGATCGAAGAATGAGTTAGCGATGATGCCGTGAGACTCCGGGTACAAGCCCTGTAACGTCAACAACCAGAATTAATCCACGGAATAGAAACGACGTGGATGTATACGTTTAAACGTTACATACGTCATGAGGCTATAGACGGCACATACCTCCAAGCGTCATATGGCTATACACATCACAGTCTATCATGCTCGAACACTGGGGCTGAGGGTATATAGAGTACACACACTAGGACATAGAGTACACCCTGTATTTAAACAAAAATCCGTATTTGTTCGCCTCATCAAAGCATCATGTGGTTAAACATGTTAAAAGATAAGTCTAGGTGAGATGGGAGCGAGCGTGACTGACCGTGACGATGGTGTAGTGGTTGGGGAAGGTGAGGGTCGGGTAGGATGGGTTCATGTAGGGCACCTTCACGCCCCGCTCGGCCAGCGCCTGCAGCGTCGGCGTCAAGCCACGTCTGAGGTAGTCTGCCCTGAACCCGTCCAGGGAGAGGAGCAGCAGCGGCCGTCGTGGGTACTTGGCGTCACAAGACAGGTCTTGGTCTTGGAAGAGCACGGCCATGAGGGAGACAGTCACCACCACGTACACCGTTACCTGTCCACACACACAAACTTTTCTCCAGTAGACAGTCTAGTCTTACACAACCATTACTGCGCTAGATTTAGAAATATTAATCACCCATTAATAATATCTCACATAAACCATTATCCCTATTAATAATATTTAGATATGGTATGATCACATTAGAGTAATCGAGGAAGGTATCCTAGTCTCCTACGTCACACATCTCAAGATATGTGCTATATATGAAATATTCTCAACAAAACAATGCCACTTTCCCTCTATACACTATAGCGAAACCCTCCACCAGATATATAATGCTAAACAAAACTTGTACAATAACAACCAGGGGACCATTACGCCACATGTCAAAAGGAACCTTCCTTTTACCAGCGCATTAGCAAACATTATAAGTTTGAAGAATCATTCTCATTACCGAGGATAAACGGGCTTCGTACATGCACGCCGACTAAGATATTGACTAGACCATGAAATTGTTGCACTTAAATATATAATCAAACGAGCTCTAGCACGTGGCAGGAGGGTCGCCAACAACAATATCACCTGCAGTAAACATCATCTATACATTCAACATAGCAAATAAATCACTTTAAAATGGTTATCTTAAGATTATCCTGAGATGATTTCGGACTTAGCGTCCCCGCGGCCCGGTTTTTGACCAGGCCTCCTTTTTTTTGCTCACCCCAGGAAGCAGCCCGTAGCAGCTGTCTAACTCCCAGGTACCTATTTACTGCTAAATAACAGGAGCATCAGGGTGAAAGAAACGTTGTCCATTTGTTTCCGCCACCAACGGGGATCGAACCCGGAACCTCAGGACTACGAATCCAGTGTCGCGTAGTCACACATCACATTTTGTCGACAAAATGTTCTCAGATTTCGTTATGAAACTCTCTCATCTGCTACGCATCATTACACAGATGAATATAGCAGAAAACTTCATATCTAGCAGCCTCACGTGCTTCACAGACGGACCAGCAGACCAGCAAGAGCCCAGAATCTGATAAAGCTGCAGTTAAGGCACTTGGAGAGACTCGAACGGGCGCTTAACTTTACAAACAATGATGCTAGCCATTTAAAAGGCTTTGGAACATGCTCTTACTGAACACCGACAACGGGTTGTCATACATACAGATTCCAGAACTGCAAATGGCCGCCACGGGAGGCGCTCCGCCACACATATAAACACAAGCACTATTAGAATCCCTGTTCAATACACTGTTTACATCGCCCTGATAAAAGCTGTAAAGTTTATCCGAAAATTAGGGTTAATGATATACCTACACAAGTATTGGGTCTTTTCTTCACCTTCAATAATAGTAATAATTGAAGGTGAAGGGTTAAAAATAACTTGTGGAGCCGTAGGGTGAGGAGTGGACCCTTGATAGTTATATCAAGGGGTCCACTCCTTACTCGCTGCTTATCTCACAAGTCAGATAAGAGTCTTAAGGGGTCTATATAGAGCTATAGAGAGAACAAATAGATCATATGGCCGAGTGGGGAGGGACATGATGGGAGGCGGGCCTCCCATCTTTCACTTACGAAACCTGTACATCTTGCAACAATTATGGCAGTTTCGGTTACAGCCTTTACCAGGATTTATAAAGCGTTTACACAATCACTTACGAAACCTGTACTTCTTTTCTCATTCATGGTAGACTTGTTTACATTTATTAGGTAGTTTATGAGCTGTTAAACATCACAAGGTTGTTTATAACAACAATAGCCTTGGGTTACGAAGTTTGCAAACTCGGATTTCAGCGCCAACATTTATGGAGAGTAATTCTGTACCTGTGGCTGAAGTCCTGGTGTTGATTCATCCACCTGTGATGTCTGGTTGGTGCATAACCAATACCAATAACCACAACCTGCACCCCACCTCGTCCCTCCCTCAGCTGTGTGCTGGCTCTTCACGTAGTTGTGTGTGTGTGTGTGTGTGTGTGTGTGTGTGTGTGTGTGTGTGTGTGTGTGTGTGTGTGTGTGTGTGTGTGTGTGTGTGTGTGTGTGTGTGTGTGTGTGTGTGTGTGTGTGTGCACTCACTGCTGGACGTGTGGTTGTAGGCGAACTTAACAAATGTGTTCCAAAATGTTGTGTAAATATAGAGAATTAAGTTTGGTGATATATTAAATTTATCTGAAAACGATCCAGGTGGGACAACTCAGTGGTGGACGAGCTATAGCTCATGTCATGCTCAATACTGCAACAACGCAACAAGAAAAAGCTGGCCTTAGAGTAGTGGGTGCCCACCATGCAGGGGACTTTCTTTTACAGACCATGAGTCACAATAACGTGGTTGAAGATATGATGACCAAACTACACACCAAAAGATGAAGAACCGAAGACGTTTCGGTCCGTCTTGAACCATTATCAAGTCTATGTGGTAATGACTTGATCATGATGAAAGGGGCCTCGTAGCCTGGTGGATAGCGCGCAGGACTCGTAATTCTGTGGCGCGGGTTCGATTCCCGCACGAGGCAGAAACAAATGGGCAAAGTTTCTTTCACCCTGAATGCCCCTGTTACCTAGCAGTAAATAGGTACCTGGGAGTTAGTCAGCTGTCACGGGCTGCTTCCTGGGGGTGGAGGCCTGGTCGAGGACCGGGCCGCGGGGACACTAAAAAAGCCCCGAAATCATCTCAAGATAACCTCAAGATAACTATGATCCAAGACAGACCGAAACGTCGTCGTTTCTTCATCTTCTGGTGAGTGGTTTGGTCATCACTTTCTTTCTGGCAGCGCCTATGTCTGCGACAAGCACACATCTAGATTCACAAACCCTCCATATTGCAGCGGCCCTCCGTCTTGGTGCCCCACTTCACACTGAATACAAGTGTATTTGCAACAGGGTGATAGCAGACGAATATGGCTGCACTGCAGAAGCTGCAAAAATTAACATTCAGGTCACAACGAAGTTAATGGCATCACCAAGAGGAGTCTTGCCTTAGCCCAGTGCCCAGCAGAGAGAGAACCCCGCATGTTCCAAAACCCTGGCGATCTCACACTGCCTTGATGGCATCACAATATATATCCCTGGAAGAGGGACAAGGGTGTGGGACTACACGTGTGTCCACCCTGGCTGACGCCTCCATGCACCTCGGTGCTCAACAGTCATGTGGTGCGGGAAGACTGTTGAAGACACAGCGAAGAAATAAAATAAAACAAATACTGGAAGAGTAGTACAGTTTTGTTCCTATAGCATTTAGCGCCATACGCACGGCGCCAAAAGTTTCTCCATATTAAGTCAAAATTGTGTTGACATACTCACGGCACTATAACAGTGTCGCCATACTCATGGCACAGAAATAGTGTTGCCAAACTCACCACTCCGCCTATTATAATCCGTTTCGCGTCCATATCTGTAACACAAATATTTACATGTAAATTTTAAAACTTCCTTAAAGGATAAATTACATTAAACAAATTTGAAATCAGAATTATTGCTGTCAAACTCCCGAACAGAAAAACGGTTAGATAAAACGATGTAATGGTAGTTTTGGACAATATTTTCAATTTTACGAATGCAATAAAAATATAAAATCTCTCTTATTTTCACCGAGACAGAAAGAGATAGAGAACAAGTAGGAGAGATAGAGGACACAAGAAAAATAGAGGACACAGAGGAGAGACAGAGGACAGGTGGTGAGGGAGAGAGAGAGAGGGAGGACATGACAGGACGACAAATGGGGGTTGTAGGACATGGCGAGGCAACACACTAAGTCTAATACTGAGAACACACAATAGACAGTAACTTCTGCAGCATTTTCAAAGCTGAGAGATGTTTTGGTTCACCAGTATCGAGGACAGAAAGTCTGATAGGCTTATCGTAGTCCTCTCGAAGCCAAGGACGAGGCTGCCAGTGCGGTCACCCATCTCTACCTTGAGATGAAAGGCAAGAAAATGCTGCAAGATCGGACCCAGAAGTATGAAAATAAGCTATGAAAACATGCTAAAGAAACACATACAGAGATCACACTAACGTGATGCATCAAATGAACAAATGAATCCTCGTCACGGCCCTTGTGGATTTGTTCATGCTAAAGAAAATTTATACTAGCCACGCTAAAAGAATATGACCCAGAAATCATGATCACACCGCACAAGGTACTGAGGAAGATTGGTGAAGTGGAGAGGAACAGTCTCTTTCATATGATGAGTGATAGATTGAAGAGGCCTATGTGTAGGCTCGGAACAGAAATGAGTTAGCCAGACAAGAAAGTTGGTACGTATATGGAATTAATAAACTCAGAGCTGAGGCACTATGTGCCATCTGTATTCACAGCAGGTTACAGAGCAGAAAGTGTCGATTACGATGCAGAGAACTTAAAGTTGAAGGTAAACTGTTCAAGATAACATTTCGCCTGTAAGAACTCCATTAAATCATATTCAACAGATGGAGGAAATAAAGTGTTGACTCAACTTGGTTATTCTCTCCATACACACCTACAAGAGCTGATAGGCTATAACCATAACGCTAGAATGTTGGGAGGAATAACTAACCGGTTCCCTAAAAGATAAGAAAAGAGGCCCAAGAGCCTCACCCCGACAGACAGACAGATGCGAACGCTGACAGAGAAACACTCACCTTACAGACACGTGTCCAAGCGTGCAGAGCGGTATAGCTCTGGCTGGGCTGAATGTTAAACACTAATTACAACATGGAGCACATCTTCATATCAGACACTAGTAGCTCTTATCTCACTGATAATGTTTAAACTCTCCAGAAATTACTTTTTAATCAGCTGTCTTCAGGCTGTGCGTACGAAATGCAACCTTCAAAACCCATGACTTGGCCCCAGAAACCGGCTTCGTGAGATCTGAAATGCCAAATATTTGTCAAGTGTTGTTGATGCCACTCCAGACTTTCAACAAGGAACAAGCCACTATTTTAATTTTAAATTTAGAAATTGTCAACAATAACGTTGCTTGGCTTGGCTTCTTGGCCCAGGGCTTCTGTCCCCTGGCCGGGTTCCCCGGGCTTGACCGCTCAGCCGCCACCCTTCCCACTTCGACGGGCCACTCCGGCCTGGCGCCAGCCTTGCTTGATTGATGAAGATTAAGCCACCCAAGAGATGGCACGGGCATGAATAGCCCGTAACAGCCTTGTTTGTATAACGCCTTGTTTCATCTATGACACGTGGCAGTACGGGCATGAATAGCCCGTAACTTGCCTTGTCGGCGCGCCTGCTCTTTTAAATGGCTGGAGAGTCAACTTCTCATTATTAGCGAGGTCATTCGACAGTTTGGGACCCTTGATTTGCAGCGCGTTTCTGCTACTTCCCCCATCTCACGGGATCTTTAGTCTTACATCGGACTCAGTGATTTTTTGTTGAAAAAATTGAAATCGTTTTGTTGGCCGCAATTTGCTTTGGTGGTATCAGAAACAAGTTCGTCTCCAAGAGTGGGACCCGGTTTTCTGGGTCCAGAAGGATCTTCTGTAGATCCTCATTCGAAGCCACGATCACTGTGGCCTCGTTCTTGTGAAGGTGTTCATCGACAGACAGGTCCAACTGTTGTTGCTCTGTCGATGGCGGCTGCAATTTCACGTTCCTCATGCTTATATGCTCCAAGGAGCCTTTCAGTGTTGTTTTGTAAGTCATCTTCATTTATTATGCACCCCATACCCATCTTGTGGGCGGCAGTGGAAAGGGTTACAGATTTCGGCCTTAGCCTACGCTTCCCACAGAGTTCCTTCTGATAACGCCTCGGATAGTCGATGATGAAGATTAAGCCACCCAAGAGGTGGCACGGGCATGAATAGCCCGTAATCGGATAGTCATTGGGAACGTCTGTATGTGGTACTGCTTGTCTGCAGGAGAGGTGGATATCTTGAGATGATTTCGGAGCTTAGCGTCCCCGCGGCCCGGTCTTCAACCAGGCCTCCTTTCCAGTTACACAACCCCAGGAAGCAGTCCGTAGCAGCTGTCTAATGCCCAAGTACCTCTTTATTGCTAAGTGAACAGGGGCGACAGGGTGAAAGTAACTATGCCCATTTGTTTCCGCCTCCAGAACTCCAGGATCGGACCCGGAACCTCAGGACTACGAATCCGAAGCGCTGTCTACTCAGCCCTTACAGCTATCAAGTCGGTGAGGGACGTCTGATCTATAATTATAATAATAATAACAACAATAATAATGATTTATTGGCATGGAAAAACTACAACATAAGCTGACAGAGGTGATTACACTAGTTTTTTTTTTTTTTTTTTTTTTGAGATATATACAAGAGTTGTTACATTCTTGAACAGCCACTAGTTCGCGTAGCGTTTCGGGCAGGTCCCTGGAATACGATCCCCGCCGCGAAGAATCGTTGTTACATCCAAGTACACATTTTACTGTTGCGTTAAACAGAGGCTACAGTTAAGGATTTGCGCCCAGTAAATCCTCCCTGGCCAGGATACGAACCCATGACAAAGCGCTCGCGGAACGCCAGGCGAGTGTCTTACCACTACACCACTAGTAAGGATATATATATGTCTTAAGTACTAATATTGGGGAAGTGGGTAGTACAAGGTACAGTGTGAGTTTAAAGCACAAGGAATGAAACTATGAGATTGAAAATAGGTACTTTTTGGTTTTACTTTTGAACAGGGTATGGGTTGGACAATTTTTTAATTTATCGGGGAGTGAGTTCTAAAGACTGGGCCCTTTTATTTGCATGGAGTGTTTCCACAGATGTATTCTGACTGAGTTATCAAAGATATATTTATTTCTGGTGTAGTGCTCATGGGTTCTATTACATCTATCAAGGAAAAGTTTCATATCAAGATTAGCATTTAGGAACAAGGTTTTGTAAATGTAGACAGCACATGAGAATGTGTGGAGTGTATGTTTAGCATGTTAAGGGACTTATATAGAGGGGCTGTGTGTTGTCTGGAGACCGAGTTAGTTATAATTCTGATAGCAGATTTTTGCTGGGTGATGATAGGGATAGATTAGTGCGAAGTAATCTTGCTGGCCGCTCACAACCAACTTGAGTTCTTGTGATCATACGGGAAGCAGTCATCAGGAGGATAAACCATTCAAGCAAACTACACATCCCATCATCTCAGGTACCATCAAGAAGAGCGATCATACCATAGTGGGTAGCCTAATTGGGTTATACGTAGCCCAATTAGGCTCATTGTAGCCTAATTAAAACGTCAGCTATGTATGTCGTTATTTGCAATTTTTCGGGCTATTTTTTAAATAAGTTGGGATATATACTCTGAAAAGCGTATCAAGTGTTAAAAAAAACCTATTTGACTAGTTTTATTATAAATCCGCAACTATTAGTCCTGAAGCTGGCTACTTTCATCTATACGGAAGGTGGCAACTCGTGACCCCAAGAACATTGCCTCAAGCCTTGTATATCTAACCTCCAATTTTTGGACAGAAACAAACATTCTCTGTTATTCCATTCACGTGGGCTCTAGGAGACTCGAACCACGGACCTCACGGTTTTATTATCTCTTATGCCCGTGCCCGCGTCTTAATTGTGGCTGCTTAATCTTTATCAATCAATCAGGATTAAGCATTTGCTGATAGGAAAGATATCCAACCGTTTGTGTCTGGCTTTAGACATTATATATTGTCTTGGAAGACGAGAGAAGGGGAAAGAGAAGACACGAAGCACAAAGGTACAGTATATAATAATAATAATTTAATTCATTGTGTCGAGGGACAGGAAGCGTAGACGTTCTGGCTTTTATCCATGAATCCCCACATCAAGCTGACTAATCTCTGAGTACCTACTCACTGCTAGGTGAAAGCAGCCCAACCATTTCTGTCCAACCCGGGATTCGAACCCGGAATTCCCGATTGTGCATCGAGAATGAATCTGGGACTCTGGTAGAGTTAGCAATGAAGACTCCTGTGCCAGGTATGACCACTACGGGCTCTCCGTATCCTGTAATACTTGGAATTTTTTGTTCCCAGTTGCTGAGTTTAAAACAATACCCGGGGGAGTGTGGGGGAGGAGACCCGGGCGGCGCGGGGGAGGTGTTGCACCACTTAACCCCAGCCACCAGGGAAGGTCAGGAGTGGTGTGTGTGTGGTGTACTGTGCCTGTCTACAGTGCCTGTCTACGGTGCCTGTGTACAGTGTAGTGGGCACCGGTGCACAGTACAGCCCTACACCAGTAGTCAAGACATAGTACTGATATATTAACAGTACTCCACTATAAGTGACTCGTTATCTTGGGTGCGTTAGAGTAAAGGTTTTAAATTTGTCCTCCAAACTGTATAACGCTCGTGTCTCTCCTTGTTCTTATTAATACATTGTTTGGGAAATGACAGTTCAGTAGTGTAGTGCTTTTGTGAGAACTTTGTTGGCAGGTTGTTCCTTGTAGAGTGAGTGACTGTAGCATAGAGCTAGGGGGTCACCCCTCCAGTTACTGGCCACATCCGTCGCTGCTTGCCCTCACTCACCAAATGGCACCACTAGTATCCAAAATGGTCCCCAGAGTTAAATATGTGACATAATATGCCTCGTTCACAGTATGTATAAAACAAAATATTTTTGTTAGGTGAAGTTAGGCTAGAATTAGTTAGGCTAGTTACCAGTCTCCGTGGTGTAGTGGTAAGACACTTGCCTGGCGTTCTGCGAGCGCTTTGTCCTGGGTTCGTATCCTGGCCGGGGAGGATTTACTGGGCGCCTTAACAGTTAATCCTTAACTGTAGCCTCTGTTTAACTCAACAGTAAAATGGGTACTTGGTTGTAAAAACGATTCTTCGCGGCGGGGATCGTATTCCAGGGACCTGCCCGAAACGCTATGCGTACTAGTGGCTGTACAAGAATGTAACAACTCTTGTATATACATCTCAAAAAAAAAATATATATAAATACTATTGGATGTATTATACAGTACAGTGTTGTGTACAGCATATATTTAGATTTTTCTTATATCACTATTTGTCTTTCTAGGTTGAATTGCAGCATGATTAGTGACGACGACGATGACATTTTCTGTTACACACCACTGCAGAGAATTAGGTAAGGTGGTGTGCATTTCTAGTGACTTACTGTATGTCTGATGCTTTGTTTCTACTGTAATCTTCCCTTTTGTTGGTAGTGTTCTCTAAAATTAACTAATGGTTTAGTCTGTGCCTCTTATTCTGTCATGAGACCTTTCCCTGTAGTAGTCCTTCACTCTCCTCTCTTATGAAGTTAGTTATTATCTAACCATCACTAAACCCATTCACAGGTAATTAACTCTTGTATATCTTCTCGTCAAGCATACTATTGTCCTCCTTCCAGATGTCTGAATCCCTATTAAGTGCTGCACTGTACTATATTATCTTGACTCATTACTACCTCATATATCACATGTCATAAGTTCATATATCACATGTCTGGCCTTGTATCCCATCCCATATATTTTTGTACATGTTTATATGTTATATATAAATACAATATGTGAGATATAATTTATTACAATAGATGCTTTTGGATTAGAATTTGTTATAAATTAGATATATCTAATCTATTGATAGGTGATAGCTATTGATAAGTGTAACTTATTATTTATTACCTGGTACTTTAAATAATTGTTTATAAAATATATACATAATTACTGTATGTGGCTTTTTGTTATATAAAATTGCAATGAGGTTTTACATTTCAGGACCCAGATTTCCTCCACACAGACCTTGATAAAAAAAGAAATAAAATCAAGTCGGCTCTCTTTATCTCAAAGAGATAATACTGTTAAACGGTTCAAAAGTCCATTGAAAAAAAGTTTAACTAATGTGAAACCTCGCAAAAGTCAATTAAATTTTGAATCGGATAACAAGAGCAGTAAATTGAATTCTAAAAATAATAGTGATATTGCTAAAAAGTCGTTTTTAAATGGATCATCGCGATTTCAAGCAAGCAGTGCATCTCGTGCAGCACCAGTCAGTCATAAGAGGAAGAGTGCTGAGAGTGCACTTACGGAAAATTTAAATGCGAGATCGGAGCAGGAAAAACTAGCTGCTGACGTCTGCCCCATATGTATGATGCCATGGAAGGACTACAGTGATACTGGAAAATCACGAGATTTTCACACTGACGAGTGTTTGGAAATTGACTGGTCCCATAAGACGGGTAAATTTCTTCTTAATTTTTTTATGTAAAATATTGTTTAAGGTTGATTTTAATGTACTGTACTGACAATTTATGTTTTGAATAATATATATATTGCAGTTATATTGCATGCCCTTTGAAGCATGCAATGATGTTACCTGTTATCGCTTTTTTTAGTAACCTCATTATGGGATTAACATACTGTATTTGCTTTAGTTTTTGTTTACAGGTGTATTAGGTAGCCTTTACTTAGGGAGATTCCTCGGTAATTCCTTAAGCTTAAATCTGGTACCACTAAGCCTTAATCCTTCATACACTGCCTCTGAGACCCCAACCATCTGCATTTTGGAAGTAATGATCAGTCTGACTTGCTCTGCTAGGTAATGGGAGCAAGGGCTCAGAAATCAACCATAAAATTTGGGAAAACCAACCAGAAAGCAAACCGACAAAAAATTTACTTTTATGCCATTTTGGTCTCGTCTGCTGTTCCAGGCAGCAGGCCTGTCGGCACCAATCCATCCTTGTCAACATTATCCACCTGCTCATTCATTGGTGAGCCACCCAACTGTTTATAATGGGCATATGGTTTATGTGTGCTTCTCCACCTTGTTTAAATTACACTGTTATTCTCCCGTCTATCTTGAGATGATTTCAGGGCTTAGCGTCCCTGTGGCCTGGTCCTCGACCAGGCCTCCTTTTTATTAAGCATTTTTGTTACACATCCCCAGGAAGCAGCCCGTAACAGCTGTCTAACTCCCAGGTACCTATTTACTGCTAGGTGAATAGGAGCATTAGGGTGAAAGAAACTCTTGATTTTGCTTAATTACCAGCTTCACATTACATTCTTTTTCTGGAAGGGCTTCTATGGAGGCTCCCAATTCCTAGTAACCAAAATAGCTACATCCAATTTGATCTTGCACCCTTATGTGTTATTGTAAGCCAAATGGGACCCAGCTGTAGAGGAGTTAAATATGCCAAAACTAGAAGATAGAAGAAAAAGAGGCAATATGATCACCACTTACAAAATAATAACAGGCATTTACCAAATTGACAGAGGAATTCCTGAAACCAGCAACCTCAAGAACATGAGGTCATAGATTCAAGCTAAGGAAACAAAGGTACCATAAAAATATTAGAAAGTTTTCTTTTGCAAATAGTGGTAGACAGTTAGTACAAGTTTAGTGAGAGGGTGGTGGAGGCCAAAACAGTCAATAGTTTCAAAGCGTCATATGACAAAGTGTACTGGGAAGACAGGATAGCATGAGCTCAGCTTTTATACTGTAACTACATTTAGGTAATCACACAACATGCATACAACACGATTTTTTTTCCATTGTTGCACCTATGATGATAACTGCACTTTAGGTTTAAACAAAATTAGTTTGTGTATTTGTTTTATGACTGACAAAATTTTACATAGGCACTACTAAGATGTAACATAGAATGGTAGAAAAAATCCACAAGGGCCGTGATGAGGGTTCGAACTTATGTCCAGGATGATCCCAGAAGCGCCTTAATCATTTGATATATCACGCTATTGTGATTTCTTGTGTGTATAGAATGGTAGCTTTCCTCAAGACACCTAATGCCAGTGATCTTTATCTAACTTTTTTTTTTTATTTCAGAATGTAAAGATGGAATTGACTGTTGCGCAATTATTGAAAGTCATTTTTGGAACTTTACACACCACACTATGGCTGAAATGCGGTCTGAACATCAGCGTACTCTAGCACACAATCTCTCCACAAACCTCAGAGAGGAAGAACAGGAGAAGCAACATAAAAAAACTAAAAAGAATCCCAAGTCCCCCAGTGATGACTCAGGCTATGAAGACCTGGCAGTGGCTGGTTCCTCAGGATTAGGGAAGTTGACTAATTATTCAAAAGAAAAACAACAAAAACCTTGTAGTTTTTCTTCACAAAGTGACAGTACTGAATTGAATAATAGTATACCACTGTTTAACCTTGACTCCGATGATGCTTGTGATGAGTTTACTTCAACTTTTCTTGCAGAGAAATTGTCTGTAAAGGAGCCGTTATCTGATGTAAAGATTACAACAAATTTGAATAAACTTGAGCAAGCTGGTAAAAAATTCAGTAAACACACTACTTCAAGTAAAATTTTGAACAAAAATGATTCTGCAGGTAATTTGGCTAATGAAGAAATTCCAGATCTTGATGTGGATTCTGTCATGAAGTCTAAATGTTGTGATAATGAAGATAATATGAAGTCAGCTATATTTAGTGAAGTTGCCAGTCAAGGTACAAGGTCTCCTATCTCAGATGATGATGATGACTGTGATACAGAGGTCTTTGACGAAAACCCAACAAGTGAACCCTTTGGGGAAGATTGTAGAGGAGAGGAAAATGTGGTTGATTCTGTTAAATATAATGATGTAACAGAAGGTCCTGTTGTAACTTCTGCTGACACCTCAAGCCTTCCATCTATATCTCTACTTCAAGATTGCCACGTTGGTATTAATGTAGGCAGGAATGACACTCCTGAATTAGAACAAAACTTAAATATTGATCAAAATGAATTGCAGAGAATCACTAATGGCTCAAATTCAGACAAATGTGAACCTTGTTGTTCAAAGACGGGAGTTGAGAAAGATGGTGATGATGAATTTGAAGTTGACGACGACATTTTTGTAAGACTGGTAGATGCAGCAGTGGAGAAGTACCTTAATAATAATAAGGACGAGAGACCACATTTGAAGACTTCAGTCAAGGAGCAGCGGTGTACTAAGTCAAGTAACAAGTGTCCTGGCAAGCCTTCGTGTCAGCCTTGTATCCATCTTCATTTTCATCTCAATAAAATTCCGGAAAAGTCATCTAAAAAAGGTTAGTGAAACATTATTTTTTGTAAGACCATTTAGAACAGTGTTATTTCTATAAATAATATATTTTTTTTATTGTTAACGAGGCATTTGCAATTAGTTTGTGCTTAATCTTTTGGAAATTACACAGGGGATTGCTGAAAGTTAATGATTTTTAATGTACATGTGTGTAAAAGTTCAGCACTAGTGACTTTGCAAAGTTTATAAAAATAATTGTGAACAATTTGATCAATGTTCTCTTGGGATTATGATTTCGATGTCAGTCAGTACTCGCCTAATTGTGCTTGCTGGGATTGAGCTTTAGGTTCTGCCTCTCAACTGTGTAATACAACTGGTGTATAACACAATGCTAGTCTTGAGCATGAAGAATTAATTGCAATTCTGTATTGTATTGAAACTGTTCTGAAACTTTGCCTGGACAGATGTAATATAACCCATAATCACCACGCCAGATATAAATCTCTCTTTGATATCCCCAGAGTCAAACTTGATCTGTGTAAATACTCTATGTAAATATAGGGACCTAGTCTATGGAACTCACTCCTTAATGAATTGAAAAGCTGTCCAACTTTTGCCTTATTCAAAAATAAAACCAAAATGTACCTAATTTCATCTTCATAGTTTCCTACCTAGTGGTTTAAACTTGCACTGCATCTAGTGCTACCCAATTCCTCAATATATGTACCTAAGCATACAACTTTACCGGAAATCATTGCTTCACCTTATATCATTGCTTTTATATTGAATGCATATTTTACTGCATTATACCTTTAAATAATCCTCAAATTATGCTACAATGTATCTGTTGATAACCATAAAATTTTACTTTTAGTATACCTACTTATCTTTGCCAAATTTTCTTACAATGTACCTGTGAACATGTTTTCAATTTTGCTAGAATTTTCCTACTTAAAATTATTAGATTAAGAACCTGCCCAAAACACTATGCATGCTAGTGTCTTTACAAGATTGTAAAAACATCAATGCTATATATTCTCATAAACCCAATGTACCTTTTTGTATATAAATAAAGTATATTATGATTACTGTCTGCTCAGACAATTCTGTTATTTATCCGGAAGCTGGACCTTATCCAGTGTACTGTACATGTGAATGCTTTTGTACTGTATGTGTATGCATATATATTGCAAGGTAAGTCATTGGGCACATGCAAACATATGCATTGATTGATCACATTAAGTGGTCAGTGGGTGCTTTAGGTACACATCTACGGTTTGTTTAGGGTCTTGAGGTAAACGTTGGGTTGATGTCCTTAGACCCAGGTTTGATAATAAGCTCATCTAGATATTAGTGTTCTTGCTTGTGGACTATTACAAGGTATATTTTGTTAAATTATCTTTACTGTGTTTATATACAAACTGCAGCTCAGGTTTTATACAAATGTTCAGATTACAGCTATGAGGTAAATATTTGTGTTTGAAAGAATAACATACTGTAATCTACAAATAAAAAAAAATTAATTTATCAATACCTTGATGACTAGCACCCTATAGACACTCCCCAATATGCTACCATGTTAGTTATGTTCTCCATATACACAAACCATCGAAGTCTCTTAACCTTGGCCTCTGGATATATTGGTATTAAGACATTAGGTAATATGCAAAGAAAAAACATTAGTTAATATGGTTTTTCTTTATAGGTTATGTAAAATTATATGGTAGGAGCAGGAAAAATAATTAAAATTTCCATGCCATAGTATTGGCACATTAAAAAAATCAAAATCAGAGGCTGATATCGATACACACATAACCTACCACTGGCACCCTCGCATGCCTCTTATCCTACTCCCTTAATCGCAAAGTGCAAACCTGTCATTGAGGTCATGTCAAGTCCTTGGAAGTTGTCTACAGTGTTAGGTCACAGGTATCCAGCTGACACTAGATTGTAATGTTCAAAATATGTTGTATCACTTTTATGATGTATTAAGACTGGTTGAGAAGCAGAACCCAAAAGTTGAAGCCCTATTCCCGTCCCTCCCCCCCCCCTCGTCCTCCATACACACAATTAGGTGTGTTCAGCAAGATGATGGGAACAAGGATATTTTGAGTCTTGATGGGAAGCTGGATTTCATAGGGTGGTATTGGGTTGGGGCTGGGTTTTTAGGGTTAGTGAAGAATGTAGTTTTAAAGGGTTGGAGGGATGGAGGCAGGGTTAAAATTGGCAGAAGGGGGGTTGGGAAAGAGGTGGATGTAGTACGAGTTGGGTCATGTTGGAAGGAGTGAAGGTGGGTTTCATGTGGCTGAGAGGCATGAATTACATAGTTAAGAAAATATATACTGTAGGTGACATATCAACACAATCCACAGCTGGCCATTTTTGTGTGTAAGTAGGGTCAATACTGTATTATTAATTTATTATCTACTTAAGACTGCATTTAACTGTATCTTCATATATCTATATTAAATTCTAACTATCCACTGTTCTAAGCTAATAGGAATGTATCATGTGTAACCAATTCACCAAAATTGTTGCAAAACCATCTGTATCTTTATTAATAAAGAAAATGAAATATCAAAAGTGTGTGCGTGTGTTTCATAAGTGTTACTGAATCTTGGTCATCCTTGCCATTTATTCACTCGACAGCCACTACACAAGGAAAGGAGGAGGCCCAGTTTGTTCTGTTTGTGGTACATTATCACCAACACACTCCCCTGTCCCCCCTCCCCCCTCCCCCATACACATCCACACACTTGTATGTCATTATTATATAGCCTGTTTTGTAATAGTAATCATGAGTATGATGCACCTTTGGAGCACTTGTTCTTTGACTGAAGGAGATGACAAAATGTGAACTACATATGACCTGACACTGGATTAAAATGGAGCATGCATTATTATTACATCAAAGGTTTAAGACATTCTACTTAAATTCTTATGGTTGCCCAGGAACAAAGAGGATGGGAAAGTGATAGTTGTGATTGCTCATCATAGTACCTGTACAGGTATTACAATGTTTGTCTCTGTCATAGAATGACTATGTGTGCATCTGTCTCTCTCTCTCTCTCTGCCTGGTTGTTAAATCTTCATGATTGTGTCTAATGGTTCGCAGTGTAAACAAATTATGAACTCATCAAAAAAAACTTGTACTCATCTCTTATGCATACAGTCAGGCACTATCTATTGTAATGTAGTATATACCTATATTTATGTACTAAACTTTATAATGCTTGCCCTCTCATCCTCGCACACTCACGAGCCTGACCACACATACTGGCACAACCCTACCATCTCACTCACCAGCTCACTCACACACTCATGACAGCCTACCCATTCATTTAAATAAATAAAATAAAAAATAAATAACACTACATATAACTTCAAGCAGATAATAACAAATTAGAATATATTCACACCTATACAACTGCTAATGTGCAGTTCCTAATTGTTCTACCAAATATTCTTTGCCTATCTCATTAGTACAGATCTGAGGGTTCTGAAGTTGGTATCACCGCATGTATATTTTCACTAAATTAAAACCAAAAAAATGAAAATATGAATTTTATGGATTAGAGAAGCATTTAAGATTAGCATAATCATCACCGGTCTCGGGTGAGTATGTCCACATTATGTCTAGAGGCTCTAGCAGGGAAAATGTTATTTCTTAAGTTTTGTTAGCTTCACTACAGATGATACCAATATGATGGTTGTTGACAAGAATATCAAGGCTATTAAATGGCCATTAATCCAAAGTACTCTTTGAATTGTTGATCAGGAGTACTGTACTATGAAATGTACTGTTAATCAGGAGGACTATTAAATGTACCAATAATCATGAGTACTATACTAATAGGGTTGAGTTTGCTAGTAATCACCTGTACTATATCAGGTTTAATAATGTTTAAAATATCTATTTTTCTCTACTTTCAGTGGGACAATCTAGTATCCTGAACTATTTTCAGCCTGTTAAAGAAAGTCAAGATTCTTGCAAGCAGACCACCAACAAATGTGCATCACACTGTGGATCGAGTATGTGTCTATGTATTCTGTTTATGATGATAAGCTGCTGTAATTTACCTTAACATTGACATGAAAATTGTTCTCATTACTATATACAAATGTGTTTTCTGGGCCTTCTTATCACTTGCTTTCTTAATTTAAGCACTAGTCACTACTGGTTTAAAAACCAGTGAGACACTTGTTACCTACTTAGATAATGAGACAAGGGGCCTTTGCAACTTCCCATTCTTGTTCTCCCACTTGTTCTCATTCTTGTGGTTATCAGAAACAGTGTTAGCCCCAATGTGCATCCTCATGTAAAACCAGAACTCCTTAGATCCTGGACTAGTTGTTTAGCTGCAGAATTGAACTTTATTGTATAGAAATTTACAAAAAATTTAATATGTAAACCAGATTCTTTGCAACATGTAAACTGAATAATGGGGACTACCTTTTTGATGGAAGAAGAGCTTGTCCTCAAATGGTGCTAAATATCTGCTGACAAGTTTTAACTTTTTAGTAATGATAATCATAAATCATGCTGGGCAGGTTACATAAACCTTACATACACTGTACATATTTCTTTTTTATATCTAATTTTGTACTTTTCCCAGCATGCAAGAAGTGTAAACAAACCTGTGGAAAGTCGGGTGCAGAAGGCTGGAAAGATCTTATGTCACAGATGCAAAGAAAAATAGTTAAGCTTCCCAGTGTAACTGATAGCTCTGAATCCACACAAGTAAGAAAGCTTTTTGGTTCTGTTGCCTTTGAGGTGATATCCTTAGATTCTTTAGTGGATTAGACATGCAATAGTACGCCCTTGACAAGCTGCGTTCATTCTAGATTTGGAGGGACAGAAAGTTAGCCAAATCATACATTGAATGGCTGTGGCTTTTAATTTTGCTGAAATTCTAGTGAAGTGTTTGTACTGTTCTTTTACTTCATTAAAGTCTCAAGTACTAGAACATCCATTACCCCCAGTGCCATTTAAAATTATTACAGTACACTTTTTGACAATTTTTAACATCAAAGGACAGTACTATACAAAGTTCAAGAAAACTTCAAGGTTCAAGTTTTTGCTGCTGCAGCAAAGTCATGTGCATTAATTAAGTACTGTATTCAGAAGGAGGATATTGGAAGAATGTTATGTAGTTTTTTTTTTTTTTTTTGGAGTTACTGTATTCCTTAAATTGATCATATGTAAAGCACTGAGGTTCTGTTAAAATAATTTTGGAACTCTGCAGAGAGACGAGGATAAGAAACCACTATGGCAACAAAGAAAATGTCCTTTCTATAAATACATTCCAGGTGAGGATATAAAGGATATTGTTTCTGTACATGTATTATAGAGCTACAATATCTAATAGTTTATTAAATCTGAATGTGCCTTTTATAAAATCACATGATTGAAAATGATCTCTTATTGCAGATACAAGTTTTGTTGTGGATGCCTTTTTTTATGGTTACCTTGATGGTGTGAGTGCTTACTTCCTTACACATTTCCACTATGATCATTATAGAGGCCTCAAGAAGAGTTTCAGTCGTCCCATATATTGCAGTGAAATTACAGGTAACCATTTTTACTGTAGTAGTTTAGGAATTCACTAGTAAGAGTAAGTAAGTGTACTAGTCATGATTCGCCTAAATCCCATTAAATAGAAAAGAGAGAGAGAGAAGAGCTTTTACAGTACTGTAGTCATATGAAACTGCCTCTATTTAGAGCACAAGAGAGTAAATATTACATGATTTCCTGGCATACTGTACTTGGAAATATAGTACTGTACCTTTAATGTACGGTAAATATAATTCTGAATATCATTGCCTTTCAGCCCGGCTAGTGAAATTGAGGATTGGTGTATCTGATCAGTACATACACCCTTTGCCTATGGAGAAGCCGATGGTGGTGTGTGGCATTGAGGTGACACTGCTTGAAGCCAACCAGTAAGTTTCCCTTCTTCTCAATGCTTGTTAAAGTACAGCAGCCAGTAGAGTGCTGAGAAAGTTGCCGTTAATTTTGTGCAGGGCGATGGTAAATATATAATGAAAGCTAACCCATCCTCCTGTTTCTATAGTACTTTTTGTAACTGTGTGGACCATCTTACATATGTTGACATAAAAGGCAATTAGATAGTAGAGCTTGGTACTACTGTATTCACTTTATAAGTCCAAAAAAATAAAAATTAAAAACAAATGTAAATATTCATAGGCTTAATATAGGACATAAATGTACAGTACTATATTAGGCCTAGGAAGGTTAGGTTAGTTTAGGTTTTCTTTGCAACATAAATACAAAACCTTTCCTGGTTTGTCCAAATTCAATAGTACCGATTTCTACTTTCTAATTGCTTCTTAAGTCGATATATGTATGATGGTCTTCATCGTTACTGTAATTACTACCTAAACAAAACAGGAGGATGGGCTGTGAAGGCTAAGGTGGTGAAATAAGACTTGTGATATAGGATTCATTGGGTCTGTAATACAGGTGTTTTCAGGAGTGATTACCTGGGTTTGTGGGAATTGAGCTCCAGATCTTGGAACCCTTCCATATTTCTTTCTTTTTTCCTTATACTTATATACATTCTCCAACATTAAATTAAATAAATTCATTTCTGCACTCTCCTGTCGGCTGGTGTTTTCATCTTGTCGTAGGTTGATCTTGTATCCAGACTATATTTGCCTCGATAAAGTGGGCCAGATCCTGCTTTCTGGTCTGCGGTAAATGCACGACTCCCTAAGGCCTGATAGGGCATGTTAAGATTGGTGCTAACCACGTGGCTAGCTCAGGGACCCACCAGACACAAAAGTTTTATTATATTCTATGCTTGATATTTGCTGTTTTTTGTCCATCTTTGGGGATAAAGCAAAAATATAGGTATTGTAGCCAAAGGTTGAAGGTACAGTATTTAAAGATGAATGATTAATTATACTGTTGTTCTTGCAGCTGTCCTGGAGCGGTGATGTTTCTATTCAAACTGAGAACTGGCGCTACAGTTCTTCATGTTGGTGACTTCCGTGCTAACCAAAAGATGGAATCATACCCTTCACTGTGGAACTGTTCTATTGATACATTATACTTGGATACTACGTACGTCAACAGTGATATTGGTTTGATCATGAGCAGGTTATCGAAAAATTTGTGCTGTAAACTTTATTGTGATATATTGTATCGAGTACTGTACTTGTATTGGACAGGAATAAATGAAATTGGTCAAAATTAGTTCTTTCTTTCTTTCTTTAAGGGAACATGTTAGATAAAAGTGTGCACTTGTTTGATGATTACTGTCCTATTTAACCTGCATTAATATAGGAGACAAACTAAATTGTGTTTACTATTTTTCAAAAGAAACCAGCAGAAATCATGGCTTTAAAATGATGTAGGGCAAATTTGATAGGAAATAAGCAGTAGGGAAGAGTTTCCCACAGATATTCATAGCACAGATGTGTTTTAAACTAAGACCTGACATTGTGTTGATTGTACAGCAAAGGCATATCCTTTTCCCTTTGGTTAATTTAATACTTCACCTAATGGCCGGTCCCAAAAAATGTTTTCGACTTTGCTTTCTTTTGAGATGATTGAAGGATAAACCAGAATGGGAAAGCAAAATGATCCTTAACGTATGGTTTGTCTAGTGTGCTCAGACATGCTCAAATGTTTATTTTGCTACAACCAAACATAAGCATCCAGTTGCATTTGTATGTATACAGTGACTATTTGGCCTCATACACCACCTTACTCCACCTCACCTCACACACCACCCCCTTCCCCCGACACACACCACCCCGTCCACATGTATTATGCATTATTCAATATTAATTTGCCTATTTAAAGATTATTATATCTCTGGGTAAATCATAATTATCATTATCCCAGCTGCTTTGATGTGCCTAAAATAAATTTACATCTGAGCAGTCTTTTCTTACATGCAGTCACATCCAGTATTACTGGGGGTATACACACACACATCTGTATGTTTCCTGTCTTAGAAAGTGATTGAGAGGCATATCTAGTTTTAAATAAACACTTCAAGTTCAGTATTAAGGACATACAGTATATTGCATTAGTATTTTATGGATATTTCCCAAATAAATTTGGCTGTTTGTAGGAATTTTCTACAGCACCCATCTAAATTCAGACTGAGCTTTGGTATTCCATTGTCTTAACAGGATCGGGTGTTTGATGCATCCATCTTGCTTTTTTTTCTTGGATTCTGAGAATAATCCAGAGAAGACAGACGTGAGGCCCATCTGTCTTCTCTGAATTTAGTCCCAGTACAGTTCACATTTGGAGCTGGGATGGATTGGAAATTTTTCATTGTCTCCTTTGCCCCACGTACCACCTGATGGGTTGTGGGCCACAGAGTCCACAAGCCTAAGGAAGCTCAGTGCCATGTTCAAAATGAAGCTCATCATGTACTCTTCAGCTTATATTGATTTTTTTTACAGGTACTGTAAACCACTCTACGATTTCCCTAATCAAGACGATGTGATTGAGAAGTGTGTTTCTATTGCTACTTGCCACATTAAGAACAACTCAAAAACACTTATTTTTGTGGGAGCATATTCAATAGGTAAAAATCCTTCGAATAAGTTTTTGGTTCCTTAATTTTCATTAGTTCATGCTAGTTAAAAGTATAGTTGGTTAAACTTTAAGGAGTTTCATTGTAAGAGTTAACACTGATGCACCCTGTTTGCGAGACTCAATTTTCGAATGTTTTTTCAGCAGCTTTGTTGAGTCATCAGCTTAAATTTATTACCTCTTGTTTAAGTTCCAGGAATCAATTCTTCAAACCTGGAACTTCAAGAACACGAGGTCATAAATTTAAATTAACTAAACAAAACTGCCAAAATACATTAGTTAACGTCACAGGTTCTCAGCGGCCATGTGTTACGTTGTGTCGTGTGTCGTAGTAGTTGGTCTCCTTCGACTTGATACCTGTGGTACTCGCCTAGTTGTGTTTACAGGGGTTGAGCTGTCTCTTTGGTCCTGCCTCTTAAATGTCAACTGGTGTGCTGATTTGTGAGCCTATTGGGCTTTGTCATATCTACATTTGAAACTGTGTATGGAGTCTGCCTCCACCACATCCCTGCCTAATACATTCCATTTGTTAACTACCCTGACACAGAAAAAATTCTTTGGTGTGCCTGTGGCTTGTTTGGGTACTCGGTTTCCACCCGTGTCTCTGTTCAAGGCCCCCCCCCCCCCCATGCTAAATAGTTTGTCTTTGTCCACTCCGTCAATTCCTCTTGAGAATTTTGTAAGTGGTGATCATGTCTCTCCTAACTCTTCTGTCTTCCAGGGACATGAGGTTTAGTTCCTGTAGCCTTTCCTTGTAACTTGTACCTCTCAGTTCTGTGAATAGTCTGGTGGCATACCTCTGAATCTTTTGTTGTGCTGCCATCTTCCTGGTAAGTGCCTCTTTTTGTTTTTTTCTGTGGGCAGTTAGCTTCAGAGAGCCGGCAGAGCTCCCCACAGAAAACCAGTATTGGACGTAATGAAATGCCAATATGCCACCAGAGGCTTTTCTAGGTGAGCCCCAGAGGCTCACCTAGAAAAGCCTCTGGGTGAGGCTTGACATCCGAGGTCGCCGGTTGGTTTTATCATTATAGAACTGACTTGTGCGCGGCCCGGCTCCCTCGTTTCCCCAGGCAAGGGGTAAGGTGGGGACAAACTAGGAGGGGAAGATAGTTTCACAAAATTTTGGTTGTTTGCTTTCATTGTGGAGAAGATCTTTTAGCAATTTTGGGGCTGCGGTCTCATTTTAACCATGCAGTAGTCTGTTTTGATTCGTCTATCTTTCTGAGCGCCATCCCTTGGACGGTGGCAAAGATGATAAACTTTAAATGTAAAATGTTCATGGGCCATTGTTCCCTTCGGCTATCTGAGGGAGGGGGGGCAGGTTTTGACTCGTGGTCTCCAGTAGGCCAATAGAACTCCGCGACTGATGACTCCTAGTAGTATGGCACTGTTCAGTGTGGTAGCTTCAGGGAGCTTCTGGGGCTCACCCAGAAACTAGCATTTCATTACATTCAATGCTGGTGTTTTGGAACTTTTAGGGGTATAAATTAGTTACTAGTCATCTATGTATCCCCAAAGTTTCAGCTTATAATTTAAAATGCCAAATTTAATTCTTAATTGTACTGCACTAAGTGTATCATTGCCCAGACTTGTACCCAATACATGAAGGATATGATCTACAATAGCAGGGAATAAATTACCTACAATGTAATGTTCATATGTTGAATGTTAGAAGTGGATTACACTGCTTAATGTTTTTAACGTTAATGTCTTAATGTGCTGTGTAGTGTTAAATTTGATGGCCATCTAAAATAAAATATTTACATTTCATAATGTATGTTAACCTTTTTTTTTTCAGGAAAAGAGCGAGTCTTTAAAGCCATAGCAACAGCTTTGGATTGCCGTATTTGGGCAAGTAATGATAGGATAAAGACACTGAGCTGCATCCAGGATGAAGAGTTACAAGCCAGGCTTACCTCTGACAAGCTTTGTGCTCAAGTTCATGTTGTGCCTATGAGTGACTTGAAACCAAAGGTCAGTACATTACCTACAATCATCTTATTAAGGCAAGTAGCCAACAAGCCATTGTAGACCACATAACTCACATTAATGGAATATACATCTTTCAAAACAAAACATTTCCTCCAAAAGATTTGCATTTTCTCTGTTGAGGTAATATCTTCCATGTAATCTTGTTTCACATTAATCTGTGTTGTCAGAGGATGAGAAAGTATGATTGTAGGATAATAGTGATGAGGTTTAGTGTAAGAGTTATAGATGCATCAGTCTTATTGTATTGGGCAAGGTGTAGGGCAGGATAGTGAATTGGAAAAGTTCCAGCATGCAACGTTCGCTAAGAAACTGGTCATTTATAAACAAGGTAGGGTCAGTGGTAGAAGTACAGTGGTGCCTCGGTTAACGAATTGAATCCGTTCCGACACCGAGCTCGTCATGTGAAACACTCTTCTTGCGAAACAACAACAACACTGTCGTCGGAGAAGTCCGAGAACCGACGGGAACACTAGGAAGCACCACATGGTTTTCTTGTTAACTGAGTGGAAGCTCGTCAATCGAGACAAATTTTCTGCGAGCGGCTTGCTCATTACCTGAAATGCTCATAGATGGAGCCACTCATCATCCAAGGTTCCACTGTAGTTGTGTGGGGTCAGGTATCTGCATTAAGACAGCTGTGGAGAAAGATTGTAAGGTGTACATGACATTTATAGACAAAAAAAAGCATATGAGAATGTTAATATGGAATCAGGAGTAATGAGCATGTAGAGAGTTGGTCAAGTTCTATTAAATGAGAGATGTTTTAGGAAGTAATACATGTTTAAGTGATAATATTTGATAATATGAGTTCCTGGTTTTATATACTGTAAATGTAAATATATGCCAGGTTTGTGCAATGTCCTCGTGGTTGCTCAATGTATGTATGAATAGGGGTCATGAGGGAGGTCAAGGAAGGAATATTAGAAATGTGAACTTAGTGTTTGTATGGGTTAGGGTGAAGGCCACAGCTCACAGGCGACTTTACCATCAGTACTGCTCTGATATTTACTGGTGCCATACCTGCTACTGTTGCTCTGGTCCCAGTGTTTTTCTTGGGTGTTCTTTTGACTCCGTTGGGCCTCATTTGGGTCTCTCAGGCAGTGCTGCCCTTTGTTGTTGTTAAGTCAGCCCCAAGTGACTCGGTGGTTGCTCGAGTAGCAGTGTGGGAGCTTCAACTTTGCCCTCCTGGTGTATATCCTGGGCAGAGTTACAGTACAGTGCAAGATATTAGAGATATGAATTCTGAGAACAAGTTAAAAGAATTCAGTCTAATGACACTAATAGAGACCAGAAGCAACATGATCCTAACATATAAAATACTAAGTATAGACAAAGAGGATAGTGACAGTCTTCTCTTGGTGAGGAACAGCAGTACAAGGGAGCACAGTTACAAAATGGAAACAAAGATGAAGCAGAGAGGCATAGGAAAATACATACATGTAGTGAGGGTGTTACACAGAGGGAATCAGCTAAAGATGGAAGTGGTGGAAGCAACCTCCATTCACAGCTTCAAGGGCAAGTACAGCAGAGTACTGGAAAGTCAGTTGGTATAAAAGCTTCATAGCAAGTAGCTATGAGGCAGGGCTCTAGAACTAGATCCTGCTAATCATTGACACAACTAGCTAAGCATACAGTCTGCGAAATGACTTAAACACTTCTATGGATATTTTAATAATTAAACTTCTGTAGTTTAAAGGGTTGTGTGTCGGTATAAAAAACTCTAAATATCTCTTTATTCTTACAATACTTTTCCATTTTTCTTGAGTGAGTGCTTCTCCACCACTTGGATGTGGGGAACAAGACAATTATGAGGATAGTATGATTAGCACATTGTTGTACTTTTTAGAAACTGATGGATTACATAGAGATGATGAAGCCCCGTTACACCGTAGGTGTAGCAATCCGTCCTACTGGCTGGGAACACTCAAGTGGTGATTTGCTCAACAACCTTTCTTCAAAGCAGTTTGGTAATATTTATATATATGGTAAGTTATGTTTTGTTTCTTAGCTCTATTATAAGAAATAATATATCTTGAAGATTATATAATGAGTGGTAATGATGTACCAGGTATAAATAAATATGGCTGTAGATTGATATATTTATGCAGTAATTATATCAGGAGAAAAAGGGAAGGCCACAGGAGTAACTGAGAAACTTGTTCTAAATATATAAGAATATATATTTATATTCTTTACACAAGTATATCTGAGCTTAAACTGTTATGTTGTTTCCTTAGTCAAGAGTCCCCAAAGCCAATGTAATGTAAGGCAATGCACACAATGGGAAAACTTTCAGAGCAGCGGTGATGCTGACAGGTATCACTTTGTAATAAGAAAACACCAGCATACTGGAGGTCAAAGCATGTTACCTGAAAAACAAGGCTATGAAAAATGGCAACACCTTACACACAGAAATCACAGTAGCGTGATGCATCAAATGAACAAATCCATAAGGGCCGTGACGAGGGTTTGAACCTACGTCGGAGAGGATCCCAGGATTGAGGATTAAGGAGCATCTGGGATCCTCTCGGACTTAGGTTCAAACCCTCGTCACAGCCCTTGTGGATTTGTCAACACCTAAATGAAAAATAAAAAGGTAAAATCCCAGGACACCAGAAAAAATTACCAGGTGTCTTGAGCACCATGAGGTAGAAGAAAAACAGAACATCAAAGCACTAAAAAAAATTACAGTACCACTTAAAAGTCCATTGTTTTTATTGTTAATGGAGTTCATTAGTTCATTAGTTCAAGTCTGTTGTGACTTAGTAGTTGGGAGCCATCTCAATATATAGCTTCAGGGAGCCACATGAGGCTTGCCCAGAAAGAGGACTTTCATTACATTCAATGTTGGATTTTTAGGTAAATACAATTAAATTATTTATTGTGATAATGTGTATATAGGTGGGCTTCCACTGTCTGCAGACCATTCAAAGTGGGGCATGGCCTAGTCCTAATAGTGTCTGGATTTTTGAGGTTCAAATACATGATCAAAAGTGTAAATTACATTTTTTTTTTATGAAACAGAATAATATTGCAGACTATTTGTTTTAATGTGATATTTGTATGTATCTGCAGGGATTCCATACTCTGAGCACTCAAGTTACAAAGAACTGAAACGCTTTGTACAGTTTATTCAGCCTAAAAAGATCATCCCTACAGTTAACATTGGGAATCCCAGTTCCAGAAATATGATGGAGAAAGAATTCAGCAAGTGGTTGAGTATGCCTCGCACCAAGAGTATTGACCAACTGTGGAAGAAAAAGTGAAAGTTATGCCTATTTTTTTTAATCATTAGTTGCTGTTATACTAGTAAGTTTAGTTTCATCTCTTCCAAAGATCACCCAAGAACATTTTTCATTGAATCTTAATGTATATGTTTTAATATTACTTCTTTTTCCCCTATCTGAATTTTATCTGTAAATAGTTACTGACATTATCTTAACATATTAATTAAAAGTACAATGTACATACATGTAGGCCCCCCATCCTCCCCACCAATAACCCCTTTTAACTTCCCTCCCCCCACACAAGAGAGAGATCATGCCCACTATCATTGCTCTACACACCGATATTTCTGCTCTTGTTGAAAGAATGGTTTCAAATTTTTTTATCTGTAGGGTATTCAGTGTATATATTCTCGATAAGACAGCAAAATGTCACTTAAAATCTTGAAAATATTATCTGTTGTATCCTTTATCTGTGATAATAATAGTAATAATAATACTGCAAAAATAATAATAATAATAATGTACTTTAATAATAATAATAATACTGTTCTGTAATAATAACAAATGCATTGGTATATCAGATAATGTCGTAGAAATGGTGCTAAGTAATAAGTGTTTTCCTTGTTGGTAAAGTTGAGTATATAAAAGAATATATATTTCCATTTATAAATATCCAGACATTAAGTGAAGAAATATAGACAACTACAAGATTTATGGATAACAAAATACAGTACTGAAATAGCCAAACCATTAATTTAGAAACGAGCTAGAACTTCTCTTCCTCTTCTTAGTTACGCCTGGTCCCCAACAGGTGGCAGCACTCTGGGAGCTGCCAGCTCCTTTGCAATCTTACCCAGACATCCTGTCGCTGATGTCTGTGAATACAGACCTTTCCGAGTCACTGGCTGTAGCGAATCCACTATTTTCAAGATAAGTGTAGACTGTTCTTTGGACACTGTCCTGTGAGGGACTACTTGCCATTCATATAATTTCTGGCCTTTGTATTTGTTGCATAACTGTGTGTTTCAGGTAGTGATGGGACGATACTTAAAATTTTTAACAACTCCAATACCGATAATGATTTCACCTAAACGTCTCAATTCCAATACAGTATAATTATCAATTATGATTCTTTAAACAAAAAAATTGTTGGATACATATTTTCTGAACATTTTTGTATTTTAGTTTGCAAAAATGAATGATTTACATTATGATCATGGTAACTATAATATAATTGATTAATTTAAAGCTAGAAAACATTTGGTAAATTCAGCTTAATCTTCTGAAAGAAACCTGCAAAGTGAAAACATTTCATTATACATGCAGATATACAGTACATGCTTTAATTGTCTTCTGTATAGTAATAAATTTGTTAGCCTTATTTGAAATGAAGTTAATATTACAATGCCAGCTCAGTTAAGCATAGCTAATTCCGTTTTACTCAAAAAGTAATCTTTTATTTACAAAATAGAAGAAATTTTTACAATTTTATTTTCATGTCTTAATATGTTTTGACATGTATTACAGTATATCATCGGCTCTCAGGAAAAATATAAATATTTCGGTGATAAATAGTCAAAATAAAAGGGCATTTATTTGAACATCCAGAACGGGTCCAGATATACGGATACGGATCGGATCCAGATACTGGATATTATACGAATCCAGTATATGATTCGGATTTTGCATGTTGCAGTGTATAGTGTATTTTTACTCTTACTGTAGAGAAACTCATTCTTTGCCACTGAGTGATGCTTAGGGATCCACCACTGTGGATCCCTCTTAATGTACAGTATATTTGTTGTTGTTTTTATTATTATTTTTCCCTTTGTACATAAATACTGTACAAGATAAATATTTACAATGAAGAGTACAATTTAAAACTTAAAATCATGTGTAAGATATTTTTAAAATTTAGTGCACAATTGTTTTTATTAGCACTTGCTCAAGGTATTAGAATGTAAGAACTCTTGTACTGCATATATAAATAAAATAGAAAGTTTTTACAGAATTTATACAAAAAAATTGAATTTTGATTCTCCTTTATAATTGTATAAATGTAAATTTGCTTCTATCAAATAAAAATGTTATAGAAAGTTGGTACTTATATATTGCAACTACAGTACTGTATTATCCTTTGCTAGGTTCCGTTATTATCTGACAACTAAATTAAAGCCCATCCATTGTTTTGCTGGACAGTGCTTTTACAGACATTGTGTGTAAACACAAGATCACAAGCACTGACTATAGATGTTGTATTTGTGATCTGATTTAGATGAGTGATATGTTTAATATATAACTCATTAGGACCAGTTTAGTGGTGTCCCCTCTCGATCAAGTTTGAGCAATGGGTAAATTGAGAGCAAGGAAGTGCATTTGTATTAAACAGCTGCAATTTGAATGTGGTGTGAGAGTAGTTTAGGCAAGTGTGAAGGTAGACATCAGGTCATAAATGCCTGGGTATAGACCAAGGTCCTTCAAACTTTTTCAACCGCAACCCACGTTAGTTTTATGCAGTAACCTCGAGACCCACTAACATATATCATTTTCAAATGCATATTACTAGCACCTGCACCTTGCATAAAGAGAAACATAATATGATATATCATTTTCTTTCTCATTTGATACATGCAGACATAAAGTGTTTACACACTCATTTCGGTGAGATAAGACAATTCTAACCTATAAGATGACACCAAATACAAACTTTTAATAAAGTGCAGCAAGCAAAGTAGAGGAGAAATTTGTACTAGGCTTACCTATTCAGTGTGTTTGGTGGAACTACTTGTTATTTGTTAGCCTGGTCGAATCTGGCTTACTGGAGGATAAGGCCACATGTATATTGGCAGTGGTTTCTCTCTGATCTTGAGCTTTGATAGGGTTGAGAAGCCAACCTCACACAAGCAAGTGATCAAAAAAAGGTAGCAAGAGCAAGATACTATATACATAAGTTGGAATATTCCTTGAGTACACTGATCCAGAATGACGACAATGAGGATGTCTTGTGCCTGATTCTTAATGTATTAAGACAAATTAACTCTTCTTCCTGATTAGCGGTTTAAATTTAATTCAACAAGAGAATCTGCAGTTTCAAATGCAAATGAGTCTTAAATACAGTGTTTTCTTTCAAATATATCATCATCTTCTCTTGAAAAATTCTAACACGAAAATACACAGGCTTCCTGTCATTGACAATGAATTAATATGCAATGGTTCACATTTTTCAAATTACAGTATTGTAACTATTATCTACGGGGGATCCAGTGCAACAGAGCTAGTGAATTAACACTAAGTATTTAGATAGTAAGGGAATTTGGAAAAAATATGAATTATAAGAGCTTGCAAGAATTATATGACCGTACAAGACTTATAGGAACCTGCAATTACAGAACAAGACTTAGAGATATTCAGTATTCCTAGTATAACTAACAAGAATTATAAGAACCACAAGAAGTCCAGTAATTAGCAAAAATTATATAAAATTGAAAGAGCTACAGTGTTGTGCATTGGTGGTAGTAAGCTGTATAATACGTATTAACTTCTATATAAGCTCTGTATGGATTACAATGAAATAATTTTTCTATAAATTTTGATACCAGGCATATAGTACAGTTCTATATATTGCTCCAAACTCCTCTCAAGGCCATGTTTAAGTAATTACAACTGTCATATAAATGAAGCATTTTTATATTTTTTAAGAAACCAATTAGTAGTCATGTATTCTTTCAGCATAAACCAAGCTGCCAAATATTATATATACTGTATATGTATCCATCAAATAGCATAATAACAATTGACCAATAACTGAGCTCTTGTATAAATATATTTCTGCTTGGCTGGTTCTCTTTTTTTTTTTCTACACGACTGGGTTTCAAATGACTGGGTTTCATATGACAGGATTTAAATGACTGGGTTTCAAGTGACAGGGTTTCAAATGACTGGGTTTCAAATGACTGGGTTTCAAATGACATGGGTTTCAAATGACTGGGTTTCAAATGACTGGGTTTTATATGACAGGATTTTAAATGACTGGGATTCAAGTGACATGATTTTAAATGACTGGGTTTCAAATGACTGGGTTTCAAGTGACAGGATTTGAAATGACTGGGTTTCAAGTGACAGGATTATAAATGACTGGGTTTCAAATGACAGGATTTTAAATGACTGGGTTTCAAATAACAGGATTTTAAATGACTGGGTTTCAAATAACAGGATTTTAAATGACTGGGTTTCAAATGACAGGGTTTCAAATGACAGGGTTTCAAATGACTGGGTTTCAAATGACAAGGGTTTCAAATGACTGGGTTTCAAATGACTGGGTTTTAAATGACAGGATTTTAAATGACTGGGTTTCAAGTGACAGGATTATAAATGACTGGGTTTCAAGTGACAGAATTTGAAATGACTGGGTTTCAAGTGACAGGATTTTAAATGACTGGGATTCAAGTGACATGATTTTAAATGACTGGGTTTCAAATGACTGGGTTTCAAGTGACAGGATTTGAAATGACTGGGTTTCAAGTGACAGGATTATAAATGACTGGGTTTCAAATGACAGGATTTTAAATGACTGGGTTTCAAATAACAGGATTTTAAATGACTGGGTTTCAAATAACAGGATTTTAAATGACTGGGTTTCAAATGACAGGGTTTCAAATGACTGGGTTTCAAATGACAAGGGTTTCAAATGACTGGGTTTCAAATGACTGGGTTTTAAATGACAGGATTTTAAATGACTGGGTTTCAAGTGACAGGATTATAAATGACTGGGTTTCAAGTGACAGAATTTTAAATGACTGGGTTTCAAGTGACAGGATTTTAAATGACTGGGTTTCAAGTGACAGGATTTTAAATGACTGGGTTTCAAGTGACAGGATTCTAAATGACTGGGTCCTCTTTCCTGGTACCTGAGTGTTGCCGTGTACACTCCCTTTTTCTTGCTACCTGTTTTGGGGGCCACAGTCATTGGAAGAACTCTCCATGAAAGTGATCCAAGGTAAAACGTGAATGCCTCGGGAGTCAACTATATTGACTCCATTTGAAAACGTTTGTTTATTAACAAGCTTAAGTATACACAGCAATGTGCTGCTACGCTAATTTATTAGGAAAGATTACACGGTGTAGTGGCTAGGCTTCTCATGCTCGACTACTGTCTCCGAAACCTTGCTAGGAAGGGAACTTTATGTAAAAATTGCACGTTGATGGTCTCAGAGATGATGTGGCCGGGTAAACGGCAAGATGTTGCAAACATAATCCTCTCGAGAAATGCCGTTGCAGAAAGGATGAGTGAATTATCAGAGAATATTAAATCGTCTCAAAGTGAAAATAAAGACCATTACTGCATTTTATATTATTACATTTAAGTATAGATTACTACATTTAAGTGAAGAAGTGTGTGTGTGTATGTGTATTTACTGTGTCTGCAGAATCGAGCTATTGAATCCCACCTTTCTAACCAATCTAGTTTTCCTCTATTATATCTACTACATATGTTTCTAACACACGCGCACATCCCCAGGAAGCAGCTGTCTAACTCCCAGGTACCTATTTACTGTTAGATGAACAGGTGTATCAGGGTGAAAGAAACTGCCCATTTGTTTCCTCCACGGCCGTGAATCGAACCCCGGCCCTTAAGACTACGACTCCCGAGGGTCGTGGCTGCCCACTCAGCCGCGAGGACCCTAGATTACTGTACTCACCTATTTGTGCTTGAGGGGGGTTGAGCTCTGGCTCTTTGGTCCCGCCTCTCAACCGTCATCAACTGGTGTACAGGTTCATGAGCCTTCTGGGCTCTATCATATCTACATTTAAAACTGTGTATGGAATCAGCCTCCACTACGTCACTGTTTAATGCATTCCATTTGGTAACAACTCTTGACACTGAAAAAATCTTTCTTATGTCTCTGTGGCTCATCTGGGTACTAAGTTTCCACCTGTGTCCCCTTCTTTGCGTACCACCCGTGTTAAACACTTTATCTACCCTGTCAATTTCTGATAATTTTGTAGGTCGTGATCATGTCTCCCCTTACTCTTCTGTCTTACAGTGTCGTGAGGTGCATTTCCCGTAGCTTTTCCTCATAACTCATGCCTCTTAGTTCTGGGACTAGCCTAGTGGCATATCTCTAATTTTTTCCAGCTTCGTCTTGTGCTTGACAAGGTATCGGACGGGCTCCATGCTGGGGCCGCATACTCCAGGATTGGTCTAACATATGTAGTATACAAGGTTCTGAATGATTCCTTACACAGGTTCCTGAAGGCAGTTCTGATGTTAGCCAGCCTCGCATACGCCGCGGATGTTATTCTTTTTATGTGGGCTTCAGGAGACAGGTTTGGTGTGATATCAACTCCTAGATCTTTCTCTCTGTTCCATGAAGGACTTCATCTCCCATTCGGTATCCTATGTCTGGCCTCCTGTTTCTACTGCCTAGTTTCATTACCTTACATTTACTTGAATTGAACTTTAGTAGCCATTTGTTCGACCATTCATTCAGTTTGTCTAGGTCATCTTGTAGCCTCATACTTTCTTCCTCTGTCTAAATCTTCCTCATAATTTTTGCATCATCAGCAAACAATGAGAGGAACGATTCTATACCCTCTGGGAGATCATTTACATATATCAGAAACAATATCTGTTCAAGGACTGATCCCTGTGGGACAGCCCCCACTAACCGACCAGAAGACTTTCCAGCCAAATAGTGGATCCTCCTACCAGGCGACCCAGCCTTCACAATGGGGACCCAAGGCCCCCACAGGTTCCTTTGCAGCCCCCTGCATCACTTGCAGGCATTATCCCTGGTCTTATTCGACTAGCAGAGAGGCTTAATAATTGCCGGACCAGACAACCACCGATTCGTCAGTGTACTGAACTCATTATACCTTGCCAATGGCCTGGACCCCATCATAGCCCCTAGCGCAAGTCTCACTACTTCCACTACTACACAGGGGACTTCCACAAGGTCGATCTCATCTCAGACCCCAGCTCCACCAAAGATCCAGGCTGCACAAACAGCAGCACCCTCCACTCGAGCTCCCAACACTCCTACCATCACTATCTCTGCAGACACGTTAGCACACGTGCTGTCTACAAATACTAACAGCACCACCAACGACGCTGAAAAAGCTTCTACCACTAATCCACGACACCTGAGTCTTCATCAGGCTGCGAGACAAAGACAAAACTACCAATTACGGATGTTACGGACTCCTCACAGGAGGAAATCTTACTAGGAGCTTCACCGCCGCAGCCCAGATACAACACCTACTCTGTACAAGACCTCCTCATGGAGGTCAACTCGCAGCAAGTCTTAGCCAAAGAAAAAACGCAAGGCCTAGAGGTCTACACTCACCCACCAGCTCCATAAAGCGTACAGCTCATTTACATCGTTTTACATAAATGATGTAAATGTATATTAAATAAACGTGCCCATGCTACATTTAGGGGGAAGGCTTAATCGTTATCATACAATGAATCAATCGTTAATCCTTTTGATGATGTATCTGTTGATTAACGCAAAAGAATTTAAGGAATTTCTTGTTTAATTTTCTTTCGTAGCAAACATTCTCACGTGTGCATATATATATATATACACACACACAATCATGTACCTTTATAATTATAGTTGTTTTGTATGTTAAGGATAATGAATATTATCATCTGAAACTGAAGGAAGTTAAGTACCTTCAATGTACTGAGTCGATGACCGTGGCTGCTGCCCAACCTCGGGGGCCATTGCAGTCAGACTCGTGGCCTCCTGGCACTGACAAATAAATTAATTCCTCTGTTGCTTTTCAGACAAAAAGGGCCAATGTAGATTCATTTTGAGTGCTGTCTGTTTAATTTTAAGAGATGAGTTTTGTTCAGTGTACTAGGAGTGAAATGTTTCATTGCAGGACAAGAATAGTGTTGCTGTTTAATTAAAGACGATACGCAGTTTGCCTGGACGCTATACTTTGCTCCAGCTTTGGCAGCAAGAGGCGTAAGCCCTCTGCAACATGAATATACATATTGCAAACACAGAAATAATTATTTTGAAAAATAAACTTGACGTCTAATGTGTGCAACTGGCCCCATGTGTAGACAGCACCTCCCCTTGAAGGTGAATGACATAAAGGGAAGGATGGCGTGCGGTGCCATGTGTTTCATACCTTTAATAGGGTGTTTTTGGACTCTATATCCCAATTTATTGTAGGTGAAATATAAAGGTCGTATGCCACTTGGGAAGGTAGACGGCGCATGCGCACTCGACTTTCTTTTGTCCGAAAAACCCGATGGCCGACAAACATTGAGCTGCGACGCGATCGGACGAGGTGGAGGTCGCCGCGCTCCCACACCCGCGGTTTTTTTGTAATAATTCCACAGAAAGTAGCCGTTAAAACGCTCCCAATTGTGTTAGATATAGCGGAGGAGGCGCGTGAGGATGCCGTCAGACGTGGAGGAGGCGGAGTACCAAGGTGGGTGGTGTGTGGGGGCGAGAGTGGTGGTGAAGGCAGTGTTTGAATGGGCCGGCGTGGGGCCGCCCGGACACCCCAAAATGGTCCTTATTACTGTTGATGTTGACGTGCGGCGGGCCACCAGGGCCACCAGGGCCACCAACACCCCGGGGCCCGCCACACACACACCCGAGCCCTACAGCATGTCGAAATTGCTAGATTATGGTAGAACTAGGCCCAGGCAATTTCCCAAAAGAGGGTCGGCTAGTCAGCGACGAAGACCAGCTTCGTCTGGGACGTTACCACACCGTCGCTGATTAGCCGATCCCTCCTGCCTCCCTCCCTCACACATCTGCCGTGTTTCCTGTAGTAGGTGTTGTCCCTGAGGGGCTATGAGGGTGGTGAGGGCGTGAGGAGGGCCGCTGTACGCCTTAATAAACACGTTTGGCAGGAGGCAACGTTTGTGTGGCGGGAGTTGTCGCTGACGCCGACCCCGACGTTTATGGCGCCACGTTTGGTGGGGTTCCCTGTGTCCCTGCTCCCCTGGAGGGGCTCCCTTCACCCCCAGCACCCCTGGAGGGGCTCCCTTCACCCCCAGCACCCCTGGAGGGGCTCCCTTCACCCCCAGCACCCCCGGAGGGGCTCCCTTCACCCCCAGCACCCCCGGAGGGGCTCCCTTCACCCCCAGCACCCCCGGAGGGGCTCCCTTCACCCCCAGCACCCCCGGAGGGGCTCCCTTCACCCCCAGCACCCCTGGAGGGGCTCCCTTCACCCCCTGCTCCCCTGGAGGGGCTCCCTTCACCCCCAGCTACCCTGGAGGGGCTCCCTTCACCCCCAGCTACCCTGGAGGGGCTCCCTTCACCCCCAGCACCCCTGGAGGGGCTCCCTTCACCCCCTGCTCCCCTGGAGGGGCTCCCTTCACCCCCTGCTCCCCTGGAGGGGCTCCCTTCACCCCCTGCTCCCCTGGAGGGGCTCCCTTCACCCCCTGCTCCCCTGGAGGGGCTCCCTTCACCCCCTGCTCCCCTGGAGGGGCTCCCTTCACCCCCTGCTCCCCTGGAGGGGCTCCCTTCACCCCCTGCTCCCCTGGAGGGGCTCCCTTCACCCCCTGCTCCCCTGGAGGGGCTCCCTTCACCCCCTGCTCCCCTGGAGGGGCTCCCTTCACCCCCTGCTCCCCTGGAGGGGCTCCCTTCACCCCCTGCTCCCCTGGAGGGGCTCCCTTCACCCCCTGCTCCCCTGGAGGGGCTCCCTTCACCCCCTGCTCCCCTGGAGGGGCTCCCTTCACCCCCTGCTCCCCTGGAGGGGCTCCCTTCACCCCCTGCTCCCCTGGAGGGGCTCCCTTCACCCCCTGCTCCCCTGGAGGGGCTCCCTTCACCCCCTGCTCCCCTGGAGGGGCTCCCTTCACCCCCTGCTCCCCTGGAGGGGCTCCCTTCACCCCCTGCTCCCCTGGAGGGGCTCCCTTCACCCCCTGCTCCCCTGGAGGGGCTCCCTTCACCCCCTGCTCCCCTGGAGGGGCTCCCTTCACCCCCTGCTCCCCTGGAGGGGCTCCCTTCACCCCCTGCTCCCCTGGAGGGGCTCCCTTCACCCCCTGCTCCCCTGGAGGGGCTCCCTTCACCCCCTGCTCCCCTGGAGGGGCTCCCTTCACCCCCTGCTCCCCTGGAGGGGCTCCCTTCACCCCCTGCTCCCCTGGAGGGGCTCCCTTCACCCCCTGCTCCCCTGGAGGGGCTCCCTTCACCCCCTGCTCCCCTGGAGGGGCTCCCTTCACCCCCTGCTCCCCTGGAGGGGCTCCCTTCACCCCCTGCTCCCCTGGAGGGGCTCCCTTCACCCCCTGCTCCCCTGGAGGGGCTCCCTTCACCCCCTGCTCCCCTGGAGGGGCTCCCTTCACCCCCTGCTCCCCTGGAGGGGCTCCCTTCACCCCCTGCTCCCCTGGAGGGGCTCCCTTCACCCCCTGCTCCCCTGGAGGGGCTCCCTTCACCCCCTGCTCCCCTGGAGGGGCTCCCTTCACCCCCTGCTCCCCTGGAGGGGCTCCCTTCACCCCCTGCTCCCCTGGAGGGGCTCCCTTCACCCCCAGCACCCCTGGAGGGGCTCCCTTCACCCCCAGCACCCCTGGAGGGGCTCCCTTCACCCCCTGCTCCCCTGGAGGGGCTCCCTTCACCCCCTGCTCCCCTGGAGGGGCTCCCAGCACCCCTGGAGGGGCTCCCAGCACCCCTGGAGGGGCTCCCTTCACCCCCAGCACCCCCGGAGGGGCTCCCTTCACCCCCAGCACCCCTGGAGGGGCTCCCTTCACCCCCAGCACCCCCGGAGGGGCTCCCTTCACCCCCAGCACCCCCGGAGGGGCTCCCTTCACCCCCAGCACCCCCGGAGGGGCTCCCTTCACCCCCAGCACCCCCGGAGGGGCTCCCTTCACCCCCCGCGCCCCCGGAGGGGCTCCCTTCACCCCCAGCTCCCCCGGAGGGGCTCCCTTCACCCCCAGCACCCCCGGAGGGGCTCCCTTCACCCCCAGCACCCCCGGAGGGGCTCCCTTCACCCCCGGAGGGGCTCCCTTCACCCCCGGAGGGGCTCCCTTCACCCCCAGCACCCCCTGAGGGGCTCCCTTCACCCCCTGCACCCCCGCAGGGGCTCCCTTCCCTTCCTGATATTATGCACCCCCGCAGGGGCTCCCTTCCCTTATATATATATATATATATATATATATATATATATATATATATATATATTATATTAAAAATTTAAAATTTATTTTGAAATTTAAATTTTAAAATTTGTTTAAATTTTAAAATATATATTTATATATATATTTTAAAAAAATTATATCAAAATCAATTCAAAATGTTTATTCCGGTAATAAACATATTATATAAATAAATAAATATATATTTAAAAAATTAAAATTTATTTTGAAATTTAAATTTTAAATTTTTAAAATTTTTAAAATATATATTTATATATATATAAAAAAATTATATCAAAATAAATTCAAAATGTTTATTCTGGTAATAAACATTAATAAATAATAAATATATATATATATATATATATATATATATATATATATATATATATATATATATATATATATATATATATATATATATATATATATACGTCGTACCTAGTAGCCAGAACGCACTTCTCAGCCTACTATGCAAGGCCCGATTTGCCTAATAAGCCAAGTTTTCCTGAATTAATATATTTTCTCAAATTTTTTTCTATGAAATGATAAAGCTACCCATTTCATTATGTATGAGGTCAATTTTTTTTTATTGGAGTTAAAATTAACGTAGATATACTGTATGACCGAACCTAACCAACCCTACCTAACCTAACATATCTTTATAGGTTAGGTTAGGTAGCCGAAAAAGTTAGGGTAGGTTAGGTAGGTTAGGTAGTCGAAAAACAATTAATTCATGAAAACTTGGCTTGCTAGGCAAATCGGGCCTTGCATAGTAGGCTGACAAGTGCGTTCTGGCTACTAGGTACGACATATATATATATATATATATATATATATATATATATATATATATATATATATATATATATATATATATATATATATATATATATATATATATAATAAATATATATATAATAAATATATATAATTTATTTATTAATGTTTATTACCAGAATAAACATTTTGAATTAATTTTGATATAATTTTTTTAAATATATATAAATATATATTTTAAAATTTTAAAAAATTTAAAATTTAAATTTCAAAATAAATTTTAATTTTTAAATATATATATTTATTTATTTATATAATATGTTTATTACCGGAATAAACATTTTGAATTGATTTTGATATAATTTTTTTAAAATATATATAAATATATATTTTAAAATTTAAACAAATTTTAAAATTTAAATTTTAAATTTCAAAATAAATTTTAATTTTTAAATATATATATTTATTTATTTATATAATATGTTTATTACCGGAATAAACATTTTGAATTGATTTTGATATAATTTTTTTAAAATATATATAAATATATATTTTAAAATTTAAACAAATTTTAAAATTTAAATTTTAAATTTCAAAATAAATTTTAATTTTTTAAATATATATAATATTTATTTATTTATATAATGTTTATTACCGGAATAAACATTTTGAATTGATTTTGATATAATTTTTTTAAAATATATATAAATATATATTTTAAAATTTAAACAAATTTTAAAATTTAAATTTTAAATTTCAAAATAAATGTTAAATTTTTTAAATATACATATATATATATATATATATATATATATATATATATATATATATATATATATATATATATATATATATATATATATATATATATATATATATATAATATGATGTATGTTTTTTTTTAATGTATGTTTTTTTAATCTCATAGAAGTGGTGAAATGTTTTGCACTTAGCAGTTTTAATTAAGGGTAAATAATTGCATGTTTTCAGATGAAGAGGAGGAACAGGGAGATGGTGATGAGGGAGAGGAGGAACCAGGAGACTCAAATGAAGAGGAGCAGGATGAAGAATGGGGCGGAGGGAAGCGTAAACGAAAGAAAAGCAAGAAGAGAAAGTCGTCCCGAAGTGAACGTGCACGAAAGAAACGAAAGAAGAAGGATGAGAGTGAAAGTGTGAGTATTTTGCCAGCTTTTAATTTTCATTCATTTCCAGTAGTTTGCTATCAAAATGTTTTGCCACACATTACATAGTTTTGAGTGTTACCATACACATTGTAATAAGTGCTGTACAGTATTGTATTGTGCTCAATGGAACCGTCATTATCCAAGTTCTCGGATAATCGGGACATATAAATTTCCAGCTGTATTGTCGATGCTCTTCACTTTGAGTTCTAGGAATGCTACTAACTTTACATGTATGAGTGTATCATACATATAAAATCCAGACAATAATTGCTTAAAGCATCTTTTAATGATTACCGCAGTTCCTTCGAGATTGTTTTGGGGCTTAACATCCTGGTCCTCGACTAGGCCCGCCCTAGGGATCGTCAATATATGATAATCGCAGCCTAAGGGTTAAAATTCCTCGAGTAAATTAAATAAAATATTTTGTATTTAGTAAATATGTGATGAATATAATTAATATCATTCATGATAATGTTTAATTTTTATTTTTAGGAAGGAGAATTTGATGAGGATGGTGCCAGAGTTGACTCTGATTACCAAGAGGAAACCCAGAGAGGTAGGGGAAGAGGAAAGGGTCGGGGGCGTCCCCCTGCCACTCCAGTGCCAGCAGCATCACAAGAGTCAGGTTAGTGAGTTGCATGGTTATTTCTTTAATGATGTTTACTGTCATAATTGTTGAGAGATCTGGGATGATGTTTAAGTTCTCGTGGGTCAAGTGTTGAGGTTAAGAATTTGAACATTTTTGCTTGTAGGTGGTGGTGACCAGATGCCAACAGTGGCAGAGGTTTGTGAAAGCTTTGGCCTCAATGACGTTGAGCTGGAGTACACTGAAAATGACTACCAGACCTTAACCACGTACAAGCTTTTCCAGCAACATGTGCGACCTTTGTTGGCCAAGGAAAATCCCAGGGTGAGAAGCTTTTGACTTTAGAAGTCTTGATGTCCATTTTTGTATATGTAGAACAACTGCTTTAAAAGTCATTGAGTTACATCATAGATGTTTGTCTAATTCAGATTGTTTTTTGTGTTGAATTTGGATGTAAGTGGACTAGTGTATTTTTCTTTAAGATTTACTTAACACAACAATTACAAAACAGCATTTTAAGTTTTCAGTTTTATTTCCTGAGGTAATGATCTCCCTTCGCGATCAAAGTGGGTAACACGACAATAGTGATGGTGAAATTTTCCTAGCATTTGACAACATTTAAGTATGACTAAATATAACATTATACTATTTCTTCAGGTACCTGTGTCTAAGCTTATGATGTTAGTAGCTGCAAAGTGGAGAGAATTTACTGCACGAGGTCAGGAGGAAGAGGAGGAGGAGGAAGATGAAGATGAAGAGGAGGTTGTTGAAGATGAAGAACCGGAACCAGAACCTGTTCAGGTAGGGGGATTCAAATATTGTTATATATTTGTTGTGTATTTAATATAATATCATACCCAAAGGTTACCCCAAGTTGGTTCATTGTCCCCGCAGTCTCTTATCATGCCTCCTGGGTCATTGTTCTGGTCAACAGGCCGATAGATGCGGCTGCACATAGTGTGAAGTATGACTTGCAACCAGGTTGATCAGATACCATTTTGAAATATTTACAAAAGACTCTGATAACCAAAAGTGGCATGCTAGGCATGCTCTTTGTATTTGGGGAGTTTTGAGGTCTTTGACCCTTAACCCATAAGAGTGCAGTCTTCAGACAGATGCCAGTTGTATGCACAATTTAAAGAAAAAGTTCTTATTTTCAAATATTTTAAGGTATGGAATATATGGGAGAAATGAATTAAAATGGAAAGGAATAATGTTTCCATTCAACTGAAAGTAGTACATTATTAGACATGGAACATTATATATAGCACTCAAACTCTTAAGTTACATTTTCCTTAGAATTATCATGGGCTTCACCTTGATTTATGCAGGAAAAGAGCCACAAAAAGGTAAAATCATTAAAATTGCTATGTTTAAGGTTTTTGTAAAGTAATTTGTAATAGAGCACTGAAATGAATATCTTAAAATTATTAGGTATCTGTAAATTCTTTCCATTATTTCATTTGTTTGTCCAGAGTTTATATTCTTATTGTCATGAAATATTTGATACAAATATTGTATATAATTTTAAGCAATTTATTACTTTCTCCTTTTATGTTGTCATTTGTCAGGCTTTGTAGATTGTCCTAATTTGTCTTTAATTGCTTACATTTTTCATGATTTAATTATACTGTGTTAATATTTCATTTTATAAATTTAATTGCACCATCAATTTTGTTAAATATGGTACCTTTAGTCATTGACTGGTACACTCCAAGTTTAAATTTTGAAAGTGATAAATTACTGTTTGGGAAGAATTATCTTGATTGTAAAAAACTATAGTAATGGAGGGAAGGAGATTAGCTGAAAGTGACTGAATGTAACACCGGCAGGTAACCCCAAAGGGTAGGGGACGTCCCCGAAAGTCTAAAGTAGATGATGATGCTGAAGAAGAGTTTGATGATGACAGTGAAGGTGCAGGTAAGAAGAAACGAGGTCGTAAACGCACTGCTACTGGAGATAGTAAGACCAAAAAGGGTGGCAAAGTACCTACCTTGAAGATTAAATTAGGAAAGCGGAAGAAGGACACCTCGGTGAGTCTGGTGAGATGGACTATTTTGGTTGAATTTTGTAGTGAATTTAAATCTTTTTATTAAATCTTGTATGTGCAAAATTATGACAATAATTTATTAATGTTGATATTAATGCAGCAGGATATTTTGTTCCTTAAGTTTCTTTGTTTCATATAATCCTGCTGGGTTTAACTTTTCTTGACTTAGTGTACTCCCATTTACTATGGATATTGCTTTAAATTTAAATCTCAGACTCTACGTACATGGGCAAATAAGATAGCCGACTGTTGGTACACTTCATACAAGGTCATCATTATTTTACAGCGGCAGCTCAAAATTTATTGATAAATGAACATTAAATAAATGACTATAAGTGCATGCTAAAATGACTACTTAGCTCAGTCTAAATTGAGTCCTTGTTTCTCCTATCATGCAAATTTTTCATCACTTTTGGGTATTTGCTTTCACACAATTAACACAACTTACCTTCTTGAGATAGTCGAGGGAGTTCTAATCTTTTCAGAGTTATCTACAATACATATTGCAAAGGATAAATTTACATATCTAAACCGTATCTTAAGCTTTGCACACAAACTAATGAAATGAACACCAGAGGTTATGCATAGCTATGAAAACAATTATAGGATAATGTATAGTCAGCTTTAGAAAGGGTTGGAAATAAAGCTAGAAATTGCATGTTAATGATGAAATTAATGGTCTGGATTTCTCATAGGATTTGTGGGAAGATATAATTATGGAAGGTAGTTCAAGGCTTGGCGACGTGAATGCAAGAGTAGGGGACGAGAAACTGAGGTACCGAGTATAGGAGAATGAGGGAGTGCTAGGATTAAATGTGAAGTGTTATGTAGTGTTTTATGGAATAATACAAAGTTAAAAAACATTAATTTAATGCTTATGCATTGGAGTAAAGAGGGGGATTGAAAATTAATAAAACATTGAGATTGTGTAATATGTAAAAGTAGGTATGAAAGTAATGGCTGTCATAGACCTATTGCATGTTCCATAACCAAGAAAACCTAGATTTTATCTATTAAGTTTTACTTGAACACATTGGTAAACTGATTTTCAATGTTTTTTTCCCCCCTCTGTTGAACACTTAAAACAATCATATTAATTGAATAGTCATTAGGAAGTATATACAAAGTTATTTATATCAGAAGTAATATGCCTGAGGATTTTTGGTTGGAAAATTCAAGTCTTAAATGTCTAAAGTTAGCTTCAATCCCATTATCTTTAGTTTCTTCTGATTTTGTTGAAATTTTCACAATGCTCAGCATAAGACGCTATAAAAGTAAACACTTGCTCAAAATTAATCTCAAAATGCATCTCTAAATTATTTTGAAAGGTTAACTACTGTATAGAAAAAGCTGAGATGGTAATTTAGTTTTTAACTAAAATACTGTACATACAATTCCTTTGTGTGTTATGTTTGATTTACTTGTTCAGTACATTGGGAACATTGATGGCTTGGTATTAGGTTATCTTGTTAGATTTATTTAGTGTATTTAAAGTGCCTCTAAATTAATTGAACTTGTGTGGCCATTTAAACTTCATAATAGTCAAGTATTTTGGAAATTTTCAGATGAAAGGAGTCCAATAGTGATAATTATAAGCCAAATTATTTGTGCTATAGCTTGCATGATAGGTAAAGAAATCAGGTTTTACCCCCAGAATTCCCAGACATTTTTAATTACTCCAGTTATATGCAAATTTTGTTTATTTAGTTCCTGAACTGATAAATTGATTGAACTTTATCAGACATTATATTAGCTATTAGGCACATTTTCCTCTAGCCTAACAAAATTTCTGTATCATGAAAGAAAATTGGCTTTAATATTTGCAGTTTGTAGTTGCAGACAGGCATTTAATTAAATGCTTTATCATCCAGTAACCTTCTAACACACTTCCAAAATGCTTAGCGCGTGCAAACAAAAAGTTGCGTGTAGTTTAATCATAAATTTTGGTACAAAATTAAGGCTCGTCAAATAAAGGAAAGGCTCAGGTAATGCCAGGTTTAGGTATTGATGTTGGACAATCCTTAACACACCTGAATGTAGATAATTCACAATGTAATGAGGGGAAAGATAATTTGTATGGCATTACTGTACTACCAAATGCAATGGATCAAGCTTAGATAAATACAGTACCATAATAAAAATGTATTTAGGCATGCTGAGGGAAGTTATGGTAGCTGATGCCATTAATAAGGAAGGCAAACTGGAAGGTTGACCGAAACCCATTAAAATTTTCCATAAAAACGTATATTGTCACTACCTTGCTTCCTACATTTGTGGGATGGGGAGGCATATCAGCCCAGAGAAGATAAGGTGAGTAATTAAGAAAGATTACATATATTAAATAATAAAACATAAAAAAGTATTACTCATCCATTCATTAAATCATCCACAGTACACATTTATATTTATAATTTATAATTTTTTTTACTGTATTATATAATTACATAAACATAACGACATTTCACTGTAGAGAACATTGACGTTGCAATACCTCCTTTGTGACATCCTTCTTTTCTATGATTAGTCGTAAATACACTGCGCCCATACTGCTTTTCCTCAGTGCCAAGGTCCTCCTTAAACCATGCACTGAAAATCACTTCTTTGCTTTAAAACTTGCTTGTCCTTTAGCGCCCATTTCACGCAGGTTCAAGACAGGGGGTTGAACAAAAACTATGAGCCGGTCCAGCAGGAACACACGAACGTATGTTTCCCAGATCTCCAGTATTTGGCATGTCCGGTTTTATGATAAGGTTTCTTTTCTTCTGCACAAATTCTTTTGTAGACAAGTACCCCCTTAAGGTGGCAACTGTCCCCACTTGAAGGAAAGTCAGGTTAATTGCACCCATCTTATTGGGTTGTGGTCTGTGATTGCTGCCTCTTATCACTAAAATTTCTTTGAAGACTTTTAATTCGTAATTTTGGATTACTGTACATGGTAAATTCACTGCAAAACTCAAAAATGCATATAACTTTGCTTCTAGTGAATATGTAAAGTGAGTACTCCTGGTTATAATTATAATGGCCAGGCTATACAACTTGAGTATTCAGGAGGACTTAATCATAATACGTATTTCCTTTCCCCAGGAGGATGACTCTAGTCAGGACAGTGATGCAGAGTTTGAACAAATGCTTGCCGAAGCTGAAGATATGAACAAGGCTGAGGATGAAGCCGAATTGGCAACAGGATCTAAAAAGAAAGCCAAGGCCAAGATTGGAAGTAAGAGCAAAAGGAGAAAGCGTATAAAGGCCAAGGATGAGGATGGCTATGAAACAGACCATCAAGTAAGTATTGACAAGTCCTGCAGCTGAGGCTGTTTATGATGTTTCCAGGATGTGTGTTTTGTCAGTACAGTATGTAGTTTAGGAATATTGGTGAATTCACTGCTGGTAATTTTGACTTCTATATCCCTGGTCACCAACAGTGTTACCCATTTTTTACCACATTGTTTGGATTCTCTCAAATTGCCAAGTTTATAAATACTTCGTCAATGCTAAAATTTTATTGCTTTTAATTATTTTGATAAAATTACTCTTAATCATGTTGCGCAACAAAAGATTGCTCAGTAGCAAATAAGGGACAAGTGATGTATGGATTTTTACTTAGATAATTATATGGAGACATTGCTGACACTTAGGTGTTTTAATCTTTTGAGGATGAGTGTTTTGTCATTCAAATAAGAGTTTTTTGTATTAAAATAATTGTTTTATGAATTTAAGAGTAGGAGTACTGTAGTATTATGCAGTAATTTTCTTCAAATTAATGAAAAGATTCAGCAATGTAGGCTAGGTGATGCACTTTCCATTTCTCTACTATACCTGTACTTGTGAAAATGCTTTTTGAGGGTTGTGATCTTGTCCCATCTTATTTTAATTTGGCATAAATTATTGTAAATTAGTGTTCATTTTGATTGTTAACAATGTTTCAGAATGTGGCATATAGTACTAATGTATTGTAATATGTTACTATTTGTGTATAGCATGAACTTAAACTTAGTAAAGAGTTTTTTTATTTACCAATCAATGTAATAATTAATTGTTTGAATAAATTAGTTTACATATATGATTAGCAGTCTACAGTATATGATTTTTTCCAGGAAAATAATAGGAAGAGAAAAGTTAACTATAATTAAAAATATGGATGCATTCTGGAGACCAAAGTCCATTATCTTTTGCACAATAAAATACCTCTCTGAATGTTATTAAATTCTACCTGGCATTTTTCAGCCACTCACACGTTACATTATGATGTACATAATGCTTCAGAGGTGCCATGATGCAAGAATGGAACTGTGTGTGTGTGTGCGCATGTGTGTAAAACACACTTAAGAATGAGATAGCACAGTCTGAATGTAATACTTGGTCTTTGCATAAAACTTTTATTTTATCCAAACCTCTTACACTGACTAGTGAACTTGTGTTGTCTGGCATAAATAAAAAATTTTATACTAAGACCAAAATTGGATTAGAGGACAGACAGGCATCACCTGTTTTGTTATGGCTATCATTAACCTTTCCAATGCATATACTATTGCTGGATGATTATATATATATATGCAATGTGTGCAAATACCATGCCTGGATTTTAGAATGTGGAAAAACTGGTGCAATTCAACAGATGTAAGGTTGTGCCTGGCCCACAATAAACATAGAGACCTCTGGTAATGTTATGAATAATGATCTAAAGCCTTGAATGGGAAGTACCAATGGGGCATCACACCTAAAGTTTGATAAAAGTTTGAATATAACTTCTTCATAATGTGTGTTTTTGTTTGTCATTTTCAAGGGCAAACCCCCCTTTTAGCACTGTCACGCAAATCATGGCAACAATTTTGTTTTTTTAATAATTTTGCAGTATTATTTCTTTAACCTCAGTAGTTGAAATTGAATTGAAATAAGTTTATTGAGGTAAAAATACAAAGGGATGAGATAGCTCATGCTATTCTCACCCCGTTCAGTATGTGTTCATACATATATAGACACGTCACAAACAATAAACATTACCAAACATCCTGAGAGATAAACATACACGTTTCTTCCTTTACACGTGTAGTATGTTGCCAGACGTACAGTAGTCCAGTAGTAGATGGGGATTGCTGTAATAATTACACAGCAGAAGGGTTGATGATTGGCTAGAGAAACATATTGGTTATGTAATTTTAAAGAAACTGAAAAGAATGGGATGGAGTAAATATTGCCACAAATAATAATTTTATTTAAACATACAAGAAAAGCTGGTAAATGGAATCTTTAAAATGTTATCATTGACTTAGCATCACTGAACTGAATGGAACTGCAGAAGGCATATTGGCCCATGTGACACAACGGCTATTTATTTCCTCCCAAACTCTTTCATATATGGGCCCATTGGCCTATACTAAGCAGCTGGAGCCGGTCAGTCGAGCGGACAGCACGCTGGACTTGTGATCCTGTGGTCCCGGGTTCGATCCCGGGCGCCGGTGAGAAACAATGGACATAGTTTCTTTCACCCTATGCCCCTGTTACCTAGCAGTAAATAGGTACCTGGGTGTTAGTCAGCTGTCACGGGCTGCTTCCTGGGGGTGGAGGCCTGGTTAAGGACCAGGCCATGGGGACACTAAAAAGCCCTGAAATCATCTCAAAATAACCTCGAGCTCCTATTTATATATGTTATAAATAGGCGCTTCCTCATGGGCCAATAAGCCTTGAGAGTTTCCTTAGTTTTTGTGTTGTTATAGATACATTCATTCTTATTATATTAAATACATAATAAATATATACATTAGTGCAAAAACGATCGTCTAGACATCCAAGGTCAACACAGATTTGTCTGGCTCAGTTTCTGTGAATAGCTGAGGTCAGGTCAGGTGTTGAAAGTTAGGTACTGGGCTACCACATGTTCAACTTGTACTGCACCAAATTGGGCAGTGTACATAGGCAGTTTATTTCCAATTTTCCATCCAAATTGATCATTCTATAAGAAATTGGGAGGGGGTATATATACGTGGACATGTGCATATTCATAGTAGCATATTGGGGGGTTAAAAAATAAATTAAGAGGTTCTTTATTATATGGAGAATTATGGCTTTAAAAATAGTAAGTTGAGATTTTTCTTGATCTTAAATACTAATAGTTTTTTATACTTAACCAGTCTCCCCCCAACCAGGACTACTGTGAGGTATGCCAGCAGGGAGGGGAGATAATCCTTTGTGACACCTGCCCCAAGGCATACCACCTTGTGTGTCTGGAGCCAGAGTTGGAGGAGGCTCCAGAGGGCAAGTGGTCGTGCCCCACGTGCGAGGCAGAAGGGGTCAAGGAGGAAGATGAACATATGGAATATTGCAAGGTTTGCAAGGTCAGTAAGCATCAGGTCAGTTTCTTCTGGCGGCATTCATTGTTCCATTTGAAATTACTTGAATTGATTCTATATGTTGCTTAATATGAGAAAATAAATTATACATTAAAATTTACTATTTAGAATGGCATTATATATATATTTTAATTTAATTTTATTTTTAATTGTGAAGCAGAAGCGTCGTTCTAATAAAATATATAATTTTACTAATGCGTGGAGTTTCTTAAAGGATGGCGGGGAACTACTCTGCTGTGATTCATGCGTTAACGCTTATCACACTTACTGTTTGTCACCACCACTGTACCAAGTCCCAGAAGGAGAGTGGACATGTCAGCGTTGTGCTTGTGAGCCACTTCCAGGACGGGTGCAGAAGATTCTTTTCTGGAGGTTTGTATTTCAGAATTGAGCCATTACTTTAACAATGCAAAGCTTATTTAAGTTATTGCAGACATTAAATTTCTGTAGATTACACTCAAATATCCTTTATCAGCTATTAAAATTGCATTGACCATCTATTTAATTAATAGATTTTGTTGTCTGTCTTAGATTTGTGGATCCACCCAAGCCTCCAGAAAATTGGAAGGAGATCGTCGGTGACAAAGCTGAAAAATACCAGTCAAAGCAGCTACGGGAATTCTTGGTCAAATGGGTGGATATGTCCTACTGGCACTGTTCATGGATTTCAGAGCTTATGTTGGATGTTTATCATCCTCAGGTTAGTTCTAAAGAAATGTTACTTGCTTTCTAAGAAACACTTGTCCTCAGGTTGAAGTTATAAAAATAGTGAAATCTCAAGTTGGCAAATCTCAGGTTGGTACACAACCAATCAGGCTGTGGTGGATATGTGAGCCTGTGGGCCGCTCCAAGCCTGTTTGACCAAGCTCTCACAAGTCAAGCCTGGCCTCGGGCCAGGCTTGGGGAGTAGAACAACTCCCAGAATCACATCAAGTAGGTATCAAGCACAATTTTCAGGTCGGCTTTACGATGAACTCTGGTTAGCTGAAATGGGGGATGTGCGGATTTTCTTAGGATGTTGGGACAGTTCACAGACTTGAGGAAATATTTCCCATCATTTCACAGGATAAAATTTTAAATTACCTTCATGTGACAGATTTAAATTAATATTTTCCTCTGTGAAATCTCTCCCCCACCCTCACTGCCCTTCCTTCCTCCCATATAGTTCACTGAATCGAGGGTCCACTGCACATTCCTTTAGTTAAATAATAATAATTTATTCTAGTTAATAGGTTATGTGCTATGCTGTTCCAGTTGAATATAATTTTCTTTTTACTGTGTAAAGATTTTTACTTAAAAAATTTAAATTAAAATTATTTTGCTTGTCATTGATGAATGTTTCATATTTTTTATGATGTATTGCCCATGTTAAGGTGAAAGAATTGCTTTTTCAGATGTTAAGATCATACTTTAAAAAGTTTGACCCCGACGAGCCTCCTATTCCTGGTATAGATGACGATGACGAGCTTGGCTCCCAGAGGCGGCACAAGAAAGAACCTGATCCAAACTCTTTGGAAGAGAGGTAATTAATAGTCAGTCATAATAGTCATTATCTTTGTTACTTATTTTGTTTTAAGTTTTGCTTTACATTTTCTTAGTCCTGAGAAGGATATTTGGTGTTGAGACCAGATTTGAATATGGGAAGAAAGTACTGTATATTGTATTGATGTTTTGGAAGAGAGAAGAGTCGAGACATTAATGGCTGGTTGTGACATCTTAACAGCGCTTAAAATGTGGTGGGAGACAGACTTGGGTTGCAGTGGTTGGTGTGGACGGGTTGGAGTAAATGTGTACTATTTTGACCATATAGGAGGAGCACTGTAATGTTGCATTGTATATTTTGCTGGTGTCTGGTATTGTTACTACAGTGTGTGATATAAATAATTGGAGTTTATTGTGTTGATGCTTTCTTATGAAGTATTTCTTCTAGCAGAATGAATGGCAAAATCTAATCTAAAACTGCAGGTTAGTTTAGAGTATTATTAATGCATATGAAAGCTTTAAAAGATAGTGTAAAGTAATGAGTCTGTATTGTTGATGTATATGAGCGATTTAAATGATATACGAAGTAATGGTGTCTGTAATACCCATAAGAGTATTAAATGTGGTAATGATTAATAGTTAACACAAGTGAGATTATTGATTCCTAAAGATTTAACTTAATTTTTACTTGGGCTGTAATATATATAATCTCATTGTTTGTTGTTTACCAACAGATATTTCAAATTTGGTATAAAATCTACCTGGTTGAAAATTCATCGTGTACTGAACCACCGTACATTACGAGATGGTACAACTCAATACCTAGTTAAATGGCGAGACTTGCCCTACGACCAGGCTACGTGGGAGGATGAAGATGAAGAAATTGTTGGCCTAAAGACCGCCGTCGAGTTCTACCATGATCTGCGTGCTGCCTGCAATGCTGATGCTTGTAGTAAGTTATGTGAAATTTTTTAATTAATACTTAGAGAAATTTATTTTACCCATTAAAATTGTTTATAGGCTTTAGATTAATAGAAATGTTGCTCGAGCAATTTTAGATTGAAAAAAGGCAAGGCATATTTGAATTGATACATTCATCAATATATTTGTTATCAAAATAGAGCAAGAATTAAGTGTCCAAGTGTGTGTCAGAGATAACACCAGTATCGAAGCTCCGTCTCAAAAAAAAAGTCTTTTAGAGCCTGCAACAGTGGTTTTTACAGTTCTTGATGTATATAGGAAGTTCCAGGAATAGGGTGTCTGGTGCAGAGTGCACCATACTGTTTATGGATTCAAAATCAAATGGAGTTAGGGTGACATCTGATACATGATTTGATGTTGGAATCCCATTCATGAAGAATTCGTTTGGGTTATAACACATCAGTGTGTTTGAGGGCTCGCTGAAAATGGAATTGCATTGTTGTCTCAGTATTTTGCTCATATCTCTGTTGTGGGGTGCCCACAAATTTTTTCAGAGATTGTGTTTGTTTACTGGAAGCCGAGGAAGCAAACGTTAACCCGATTTGTACATATATGGTGCGATCATCCCCATCCCTGTATGACTCTTGCAGCAGAAGGGTTAGGTGTAGCATCCTTTGTTAAATTAATACTTAAATATAATAAATTATTTCGATAATTTATCCTACTAAATTTTCTCTGACCACTGTGTATCTAAGATATGATATAGCCCTTACAGGTGAAATATTTACATATACAGTCAGCTATCGTGTTGTTTCTCTGCATGAGATGTATTGGTCCAGGGAGATGTATTTTTTGACTTCCCTCATACAATCCAACATAACCATATTGCTGACTTGTATAGTTTTGGGATCAAATTTCATTCAGTATTATGCAAATATTTTTAATTGTTGTCCTTAAAATTGTGTTTAGTTTCTAAAGGAAAATTGTAACTTTTGAGTTTGCTTGATAGTTATTAATTTTTATTAGATAAAAGCAAGAAAGGCAAGAAGAAGGGAAAATCCCGAGCCAGGGAGCTTGGTGACGAAGACAGGGAACCTTCGTCGCCACGGCGCTACACTCCCCCTCCTGAGAAACCTATTACGAACCTTAACAAGAAGTATGATAAGCAGCCAGATTATATTGATGGCACTGGACTCTCTCTCCATGAATATCAGTTAGAGGGTGTCAATTGGTTGAGGTAAGAAATTACTATTAGTTTTACTTAATTTCATGATGGATTACACAAGATCTTTTCAAGAATATTAGTAATTAATCATTTCTAATTTTTTCTCGGGACTGTGTTAAACTATATAAAATATTGTAGTCCTTATTAGTTAATATACAATTTAGCAAATTGAGTTTCTTTAAGAGCATTTCCAATTTCCTTGGCACTAATGGCACTATAAAATTATTTTTTGGTGGTGTCCTTCAATGTTTTTATTTGCTAATTTATTGCAGCTGTCTATATTTTTAAGGTTAAATACTGTACTGTATTTTTAACTGATTAGTGTTTATTCAAAATGTATGGGTCATCTTTAGCTTTTCATTTGTTTACAAAAAGATTATCATTATTCTTACTGTTATCTACACATTTTCTAAGTTTTTAAATATTTATTTCAGATACTCGTGGGGTCAAGGAACAGACACCATTTTGGCTGATGAGATGGGTCTGGGAAAAACCATTCAGACAATTGCATTCCTGTATTCACTTTACAAGGAAGGTCATTCTAAGGGACCCTTTCTTGTGGCTGTCCCCTTGTCCACTATTATAAATTGGGAGCGTGAATTTGAGATGTGGGCTCCCGATTTTTACGTTGTAACCTACGTGGGCGATCGCGACTCTCGAACGATGATCCGTGAGCACGAGTTGTCATTTGAGGAGGGGGCTGTTCGAAGTGCTTCGAAGGCAACTCGAATCCGCACAAACAACGTAAAGTTTAATGTGTTGTTAACATCGTATGAGATGATCTCAATGGACCAGGCCTGCTTGGGCTCCTTGGAGTGGGCATGTTTAGTTGTGGATGAAGCGCACAGACTGAAGAGTAATCAATCAAAGGTTAGTCATATGTTGTTTGTAGGATGGCAGTTAGGATTATTATCTATAATGTTGAGGCCATTTGACAATTGAACCACTGTCTTCTGTTATAAAACCTTATCATTTATAGTGTCAAACATTAAAATATTTAGTAGTAAGCAATACTTAATTGATGATTATAAAAATAACATTAATTATTTTCAGACTGCTAGTGTTTGTAATATATTCATTTTGGATGGCATATAAGGAAAACCTTTATATTTATGATTATAATGAAACATTGAGCATATTTTTTGTTAACAATGAGTTCATTTTTCCAGTTTTTCCGTGTGTTGAATCAGTACAACATTGTTTACCGATTATTGTTGACTGGAACACCTCTGCAGAATAATTTGGAAGAACTTTTCCATCTACTTAACTTCCTTTGTCCAGAGAAGTTTAGTGATTTGGCAACTTTCCAAAATGAATTTGAAGACATTGCCAAAGAGGACCAAATTAAGAAGCTCCATGACTTACTGGGACCCCACATGCTCAGGAGGTTAAAAGTGGATGTGTTAAAGGTACAGCTCATGATTTTTTGCTTACATATCATTGATTTTAATTTCAAAAACTGCTCTGGTATTTGGATTTAGTGAAGATTGGTTTTAAAGAGTTGCTTGTATGTAACCTTTGGTATTAATGAATCATCTTTGTCACAGAATATGCCAACGAAGTCAGAGTTCATCATTCGTGTTGAACTGTCACCTCTGCAAAAGAAATACTACAAATACATCCTTACTCGCAACTTTGAGGCTCTAAACTCAAGGGGTGGTGGACAGCAGGTATGGCCAGGTGACGTGTGTGTGTGTGTGTGTGTGTTCTGGGTACTGTATATATATTTTGCCTTCAGAAAGCTTTGACAAAAGTTGCAAAGATATCTATTGATGATCTGACCTGTGTGCAAAGATATTCTTGTATTTAAATTTCTGCATAGCCCTTTCATCTAGAAATTATATCTTTAATGTAATTGATAAATTAAAACTCTTAACATGATAGATAATTTAGTTCAGTGTTAATAATAGTTAACTGTGTTGGGTTGCCCTGTTCTAATTTTGTTAGCAAGAATATTTGTGTATTATCTTGTGTTACAGTTGTTAACTTGTTTTGCATTTCAGGTATCTCTCCTTAACATTGTGATGGATTTGAAGAAGTGTTGCAACCATCCTTACCTGTTCCCAGCTGCTGCTGAAGAAGCCCCCAAAATGCCTAATGGAATGTATCTTACGAAAGATTTAGTAAAAGCCAGTGGGAAGTTTATATTATTGGAGAGCATGTTGGAGAAGCTCAAGAGAGATGGTCATCGGTAAGTGCTGTGTAGTGGTTTTGGTATTTCCCCTAATAATGTTTTTTACTCACGTCACAAACATTTCAACAGCCGTTTCCTGTTGAAATTTTGAGGCTCTGTCTACACCTGATGTGTCTACAACAAAAACACAAATACTCATAAATAAACAATTGATGTAATAAAGCCCCTCTTTCTGGTAGAGCCCCTGTGGCTTCCTGTAGTTGTCTAGGCAAGATTGCTCCAAGCTATCAGTTGCAAGAGTTCATTTGGCCTTTCAGGGAGCCATAGCCTTCACATGAGGCACAGGGAGCAAATAACATTCTTTCAATTTACCAGGAAATCATCCAGAAAGTTAGCGAACTTTACAGACAACTGTAGGGTTCACATGACTCCAAAACCACTAGACTGCCAACTAACTCCCCAAACAATACAAAATAACAAAAACACAAAACTAGCTAGAACCTGTTAGTACCGAATACTGCCACCAGGTGGCCCGGAGTCAAGTCCATCAGCCAACAAAACGGTTCAAGATCGGATAAACACTTCAACGAAGTGACTAACATGGAAGGGAGGGAAGGAGACCGGGAGCTACTGCGGTGCTTCCAGAAAGAGGCATTTCAGTACACTCAACACTAGGTTATTGGGGCTTTTATTTCTCTGAATTGTGTTGTATTTTTCTTTTGGTTGTGTATTAATTCCAATGTAAGTTTCTAGTGTGTTGCTATTAAATTGTGTTTTTCCTCAAATTATGATGTGTGTGTTTAATTCAAAACTTGATTGCCTCCAGAGTGCTGATATTCTCCCAGATGACCAAGATGCTAGATGTGCTGGAAGATTTCTGTGAAGGTCTTGGCTACAAGTATGAGAGAATTGATGGTGGTATTACGGGCTTACTGCGCCAGGAAGCTATTGACAGGTAGTTAGTTTGTTCCCTTTCATCTAAGTAGTAAGTAAAAGTAGTCATGAGCTAAGATTAACAGTGAGAAAGCAAAAGTTTGTAATTAGAGTATCAAGAAGAAAAAATAATAGTACAGCACTCTAGCCTTGGTAAATGGAAACAAAATTTATCAAATGATTGTAATTTTCATTCCGGTTGCAAGTCTCTAGCCTTTCAAAGGGTAGGTAAAGCTGAACAGTGGTGTCTGATCTTTTATTTGAGGCTTTAAAGCATTTTTATACATTTATGCTTATATGCTCTCCATAGCATAATTATTTTTGGCTCTTAGTACCTTCCTGTTTACCTTTTCTATATAATTCTGTGTTTTACAGATTCAATGCCCCAGGTGCTCAACAGTTTATGTTCTTGCTTTCTACTCGTGCTGGAGGTTTGGGAATTAATTTGGCCACGGCTGATACTGTTATCATCTATGATTCTGATTGGAACCCTCACAATGACATCCAGGCTTTCTCTCGCGCTCATCGTATCGGTCAGGCAAATAAGGTTAGTTGAAGATGGAATAAAATTGTATTTTATCAAGTTATTGTATTTTAAAAAATGGGAAAGTAAGGTTGTGAAGTTAAATATCAAAACAATTAACTTTTAATCTAAGAGCAAACAACAATTAATTCCAATAGAAAATGGCATTACAGTAGTTTTGTTTAAAAGGAATGTGTTTCACTGAGGGTTATGTGATTTCAGGTCATGATCTACCGATTTGTGACACGTAATTCTGTGGAAGAACGTGTGACTCAGGTTGCCAAGAGGAAAATGATGTTAACTCACTTGGTTGTACGACCAGGCATGGGTGGATCAAAGTCTACAAATTTCTCAAAACAGGAACTGGACGACATCCTTAGGTACGTTTCACATCATATAATCGTATACAATCACATACATCTGAGCATAATTTGTTTCATGAATTCTAGAGAATTACTGTCCTTTTTACTCTGTAATAGAATATATTATATATATATATATATATATATATATATATATATACCTAGTAGCCAGAACTCACTTCTCAGCCTACTATTCAAGGCCCGATTTGCCTAATAAGCCAAGTTTTCCTGAATTAATATATTTACTATAATTTTTTTCTTATTATATATATATATATATAATATATATATATATATATATATATATATATATATATATATATATAAATATATATAATGTCGTACCTAATAGCCAGAACGCCCTTCTCAGCCTACTATTCAAGGCCCGATTTGCCTAATAAGCCAAGTTTTCATGAATTAATGTTTTTCGTCTACCTAACCTACCTAACCTAGCTTTTTTTGGCTACCTAACCTAACCTTACCTATAAATATAGGTTAGGTTAGGTTAGGTAGGGTTGGTTAGGTTCGGGCACATATCTACGTTAGTTTTAACTCCAATAAAAAAAAATGACCACATACATAATGAAATGGGTAGCTTTATCATTCCATAAGAAAAAAATTAGAGAAAATATATTAATTCATGAAAACTTGGCTTATTAGGCAAATCGGGCCTTGCATAGTAGGCTGAGAAGTGCGTTCTGGCTACTAGGTACGACATATATATATATATATATATATATATATATATATATATATATATATATATATATATATATATATATAACTGAAAACTCACACCCAGAAGTGACTCGAACCCATACTCCCAGAAGCAACGCATCTGGTATGTACACGACGCCTTAATCCACTTGACCATCACGACCGGACATAATGAGGTGATAGCCGAGGCTATTTGAACCACCCCACCGCCGGCACTCGGATAGTTATCTTGGGCATAGCATTTTACCAAATCAAATTTTGATTTGATTTTACCAAATCAAATTTTTTTTTATTATGTCCTGGGGACCATTCAGGCTTGTTCGCATTTGTGTTCCTCACGTGTTGCCCCAAAGAATGAGGTGATTTGGTAAAATGCTATGCCCAAGATAACTATCCGAGTGCCGGCGGTGGGGGGGTGGTTCAAATAGCCTCGGCTATCATGCCCAAGATAACTCATTATGTCCGGTCGTGATGGTCAAGTGGATTAAGGCGTCGTGTACATACCAGATGCGTTGCTTCTGGGAGTATGGGTTCGAGTCACTTCTGGGGTGTGAGTTTTCAGTTGCATATGTCCTGGGGACCATTCAGGCTTGTTCGCATTTGTGTTCCTCACGTGTTGCCCCAAAGAATGAGGTGATTTGGTAAAATGCTATGCCCAAGATAACTATCCGAGTGCCGGCGGTGGGGTGGTTCAAATAGCCTCGGCTATCACCTCATTATGTCCGGTCGTGATGGTCAAGTGGATTAAGGCGTCGTGTACATACCAGATGCGTTGCTTCTGGGAGTATGGGTTCGAGTCACTTCTGGGGTGTGAGTTTTCAGTTGCATATGTCCTGGGGACCATTCAGGCTTGTTCGCATTTGTGTTCCTCACGTGTTGCCCCAAAGAATGAGGTGATTTGGTAAAATGCTATGCCCAAGATAACTATCCGAGTGCCGGCGGTGGGGTGGTTCAAATAGCCTCGGCTATCACCTCATTATGTCCGGTCGTGATGGTCAAGTGGATTAAGGCGTCGTGTACATACCAGATGCGTTGCTTCTGGGAGTATGGGTTCGAGTCACTTCTGGGGTGTGAGTTTTCAGTTGCATATGTCCTGGGGACCATTCAGGCTTGTTCGCATTTGTGTTCCTCACGTGTTGCCCCAAAGAATGAGGTGATTTGGTAAAATGCTATGCCCAAGATAACTATCCGAGTGCCGGCGGTGGGGTGGTTCAAATAGCCTCGGCTATCACCTCATTATGTCCGGTCGTGATGGTCAAGTGGATTAAGGCGTCGTGTACATACCAGATGCGTTGCTTCTGGGAGTATGGGTTCGAGTCACTTCTGGGGTGTGAGTTTTCAGTTGCATATGTCCTGGGGACCATTCAGGCTTGTTCGCATTTGTGTTCCTCACGTGTTGCCCCAAAGAATGAGGTGATTTGGTAAAATGCTATGCCCAAGATAACTATCCGAGTGCCGGCGGTGGGGTGGTTCAAATAGCCTCGGCTATCACCTCATTATGTCCGGTCGTGATGGTCAAGTGGATTAAGGCGTCGTGTACATACCAGATGCGTTGCTTCTGGGAGTATGGGTTCGAGTCACTTCTGGGGTGTGAGTTTCAGTTGCATATGTCCTGGGGACCATTCAGGCTTGTTCGCATTTGTGTTCCTCACGTGTTGCCCCAAAGAATGAGGTGATTTGGTAAAATGCTATGCCCAAGATAACTATCCGAGTGCCGGCGGTGGGGTGGTTCAAATAGCCTCGGCTATCACCTCATTATGTCCGGTCGTGATGGTCAAGTGGATTAAGGCGTCGTGTACATACCAGATGCGTTGCTTCTGGGAGTATGGGTTCGAGTCACTTCTGGGGTGTGAGTTTTCAGTTGCATATGTCCTGGGGACCATTCAGGCTTGTTCGCATATATATATATATATATATATATATATATATAAAGTTTATATAAAGTATATTATGCTTGAATCAATCATTTAACAGGTTTGGTACTGAAGAACTCTTCAAGGAAGAGTTGGGAAAAGAAGATGAAGCCATCCACTATGATAACCAAGCCATAGAGGAACTGCTTGATCGTAGTAAAGAGGGCATTGAGCAGAAAGAAAACTGGGCAAATGAGTACCTTAGTTCATTCAAAGTGGCTTCTTATGTTACCAAGGAAGGAGAAGAGGTGAGTCTTTGAGCAATAGCTGTTTGTTGAATAAATTGTTAAGGTTATTTTCAGAGATGGATTTTTGGGGACAGTATAAAATTCTGTAGAAATCACAAAGTGGTTGTTTATAGCAATGTTGTGTGAGGTTCACTCCTATGCAGAGCAATGGCCGAGTCTATTCTGCGACTTGCATCTGCCCAAGCCTTGGATAAAAAAAAATTTGCGTGGTTTTTATCTGGGGAAAATTCAGCTGCAAAAGCCAGTCATTTTAACTATTGATGCACTGAATGATGGTTTCTTCTACCACGTCTGTTAAAAACTATTTCCCATTTGGTTTACCTCTTATTGAATACAAGTACTTCTTAACATTTCTCTAGCTCATCTTTCATACTTGCAATTGGCCCCCCCTCTTTTTTTTTTTAAGACTTAATATTATAAGATGTCAATGATAACGATAAAGAAAAGTGTTCCTGTAATAAAGAATGGTGATTACAGTTTTTGTTTTTGTGATACAGGAGGAAATGGAAGATGTTGAAGTGCTGAAACAAGAAGCGGATAACACAGACTCTCAGTATTGGGAGCGTCTCCTGAGGCACCACTTCGAGCAACAGCAGGAGGACCTGGCGCGCACTCTTGGAAAAGGCAAACGTGTTAGAAAACAGGTATTTATTCTTTGTTTGATAATGTTTGGAAAGTTTGTCTGTAAATAGAATAAATGTAAATGCCTTTTTGAGATTTTTATTTTCTGGAATATTTAGATTTTGAGCCAAGTTCTTTTAAATCAAATGGAAATGATTGTATGTACTTTTGTTGCTAAATAAGATAGTTTTCTTTTGCTTTACAGCCTGATTATATAGTGTAGGTTATTGGAAGTGTCCAGATACAAAGTTTCTTAAACATACCTTCTCGTATAATTGTCTTTGTGGTGTTTATCAGGTAAACTACAACGATGCCGCAGATGGCCGAGAGGACCTGACATGGCAAGAACAAGGATCAGACTACAATTCTGACTTCTCCATGCCATCAGATAATGACAACGATGATGAGTTCGACGAGAAGAATGAGAGTAAGTGGAATGGAAATAAAATAATTTTACATTTATACCTTTAAAGCACTAAATTCTGGAAGCTCCATTTTCTTGGCTGGTGGATGGCCAAGTGTTGAATCTTTACCAGGTACATTGACTGTAACAAGTGTTTCATTTGTACCGTAAGCTCCTAAGATCTCCTTAGGATTTTACTCCCTTTTAATCCTTTATTTTTTGTATGTTTTCCATCTTTCATTTGTTATTTCTGGATCTTGTATCCTGTACCTTAGCTTATTGGGGGTTGTGTTGTATTATGTCTTCATAAGGTCCTATATTGTAGTGCTAACATGATTTTCATTTTTTTTTTATTCCTGTCTGGTATGTTTTGTCGTTCTGATAACTTACAACCCTATGTAATTAACCTTTAAACGGCCTGGCTAATTATCCTGCATTGTGGGGTGCAGGACAAAATGTATGTCACAAAATAAATGTAAACGAAATCACATTGGCAGTTCAAACACAGGGAGGTAATTGTAGGTAGTGTTTGATGCCGTTTAAGGGTTAAGGACAATATGGGATGAATGTTTAATCTTGTTGTCCTGTCCGTGAATCTTGACCGACCTAACAAGTTGTAGAATCGGTTGTAAAACATGGACAACAAAAATTTAGAGACTAATAGGAGCCTGGGCAGAGGATGGCTCAGGCATAAAGGCACTCTAGCACATATAAAATGCTGTACAGTTTTAGAAGTAAATAGGTAGTTTTATTGTTGAGGAATGGAAGTTGGAGTGACTAGATGCAACCATTAAATTTGCTGGAGGTTGAGATGTGAATTGAATAGCTTTTATTCAAAATGTTTTCTTTTCCAGAATAAGAATATAAGTAGTTTTATCAATTTTATTTTGGCCTTCATATGTTTAGAAATGTTTTAATAAAGAAATGATTTCATCAAACAGGTGAAGGAGGTCGTCGATCACGTCGTCGTGTTGACCGTAATGATAGGGATCGACCATTGCCACCTCTTCTTGCCAGAGTTGGTGGAAACATTGAGGTGAGGAGAAGGCATTTGTAATAGTTTTTCTTGTTTGTGAAATTAAATGCAAAATTTATTGACATTTCAGTTTCTATTGCTTGGCAGTAACTACAGAATGACGTATATATGCAGTTATGCATATATTAATGTTAGATAACACACATTTTCCTTCTTAAGAACTTTTAATTTTTCATTTTGCAGTTACTCCTCAAAACCTCACTTACCCTACTGGTAAAATAAATGTCTTGATAATGCTTCATCAAATTTTTGTTTAATCTTAATTGATAATGGATTTAGCTTGTTTCCAATTGGATTCATTCCTTCATTGATTCATTAATTGAACTGGTTATGCCCAGGATTTTTTATTTATTGAATTCAGTTGTTACCCCTACTAAGCGGACTAGTACCGAATTCTTGGGTTAATTATGCAGTTGACTTGGGCACTGACTGCATCCTTATTAACTGGGGCATCTAATTTTACCAAATAAACCTATACAAACCAACTTGTCATAAATACAACAAAGACAGAAGGAAATGCAGTGTTTATTAATGCAGGCATTTTTTCATATAATGAAAAAAGTTGTAGTTTGTGCGCGCGACGGCAGGGTGGCAGTTTTCGCAGTATTTCCAAAATGGCTACCATCCACCTCCTTTTGTAGTTTTGTAAATCCATACATATACTTCAGAATTTGGCCAGAGTATGTACTAAAGCAATTTCTTATTGTGAGAGATCCATTGTAGCCAAAATTTGAAACACTTGCATTGTATTACTGCTTTTTTCTATCTGAAGAGTGTTTTATTTTGTACCTGACAATCAGTAGGATGGATGCAACTTCACGGCTGTTAACATTGTTTTACAGAATTGTAAAATATTTCTACATATTTCAGGTTCTTGGGTTCAATGCTAGGCAGCGAAAGTCTTTCCTGAATGCTGTCATGCGCTACGGAATGCCACCCCAAGAAGCCTTCAATTCACAATGGTGGGTATATTGTGACACTTATGAGGTGTGAGAGATTCAAATAATTCCTACATTTCTAGCTAAAATGTATAGGGGAGGGAGAATGGTGCTGGATACTTATGATTACTTTGTTCTTCACTGTTGCCATTCCTATTGTGTATGTAGTCTGTGTCTTAGTCCACTGTCTTAGCTATATCTCTACTTTGAAAGTTTGCCTGCATTTGGGTAGATAGCTCTTATACTATTTCTCTCTACTGGGTAGCTATCTTGCCTCTTGGAGGAAAGAAATTAACTGAAGGTTGGGCAAAGATGAAAACATGTCTGGCTAGATTGTGCCTCGAGTATGATGATTTCGGGGATTTCATTTATGACTTGTCTGTTTTGCTTGTACCTATTATTTTCATTATTTTCTCTTTCCACTTGTGGATGGACATTGAGTGTGTGAAGTAGCAGGAGGTTGAATGACGTACGAGATATAAGACAAGGAAAAAAAAAAAGACAAGGAAAATGCTTTCAAGGAGCGAACGTGAAATTGTGGTGAGGTACTGCTGGAGTGCGGTGGTGCTAGTTAATCCATGTAACTACAGTACTGAACGTAGTAGAATGATATGATGGAGGTGCCTTCCATTTGTTGACCACCTGATTAAACTAATGAATGGCAAGCTTGTGCTATGTATTTGATGCTTATTTCTAGCACAGAATTTGAGTGATTTATGGAGTAGACATATTGCAAGGTAGTTGAACATCCACTCATTGATGGACATTGAGTGTGTTAAGTAGCAGGGAGGTCTAGCCTGGTCTCAGGCGGTGCTCAGGGAGTAGAGCTCTTGAGACCCTCTCTAGGTAAGTGTTTGTGAGAAAACTTGCTAAAAGTGAATGTGAAAAGAGATGAAAATGTTGGTAGTAGAAAAGCAAAATTTTATATGTGAAATTAGGATGAATTTAGTAGTTGATAATTTTCAATACCTGTGGTGTATTAATGCTTGCTTTATGTATGGATGAAAAAATAAAGGTGTGGTTTGTGCAAGAAATTTTATTTGAATGGCATGCAAGACAAAAGAGAAGATAATCGACATTCTGCCCAGAGATGGTTAGTTACCAGTTTATTTTTTTAATAGCATTATTGCTGAAAATTTAATTTTTTGTAAAACTACAATATTTGTTTACAGCATGTAGATTTATTACAGCTAATAGTGTAACCTTTTGCTCCTATATATACAACAACAACAATGTGACTTAGATTTCTAAATTTGACTACTGTACTTTCAGGCTGGTTCGTGACCTACGAGGGAAGAGTGAAAAGTGTTTCCGAGCGTACACATCTTTGTTTATGCGTCACTTGTGTGAACCAGGCAATGATAATGCAGAAACATTTGCTGATGGTGTACCCCGTGAAGGCTTAAGTCGTCAACACGTTCTTACCAGAATTGGTGTCATGTCTCTCATACGGAAAAAGGTAAATTGGTTCATTGTTATTGCTGGTAAAGTACATACATAAAGTATTATTTTTGTGAGAAATTCTTTGGATTTTGCCGTAGATATATCACATTACTGTGATTTCATTGTGTATTAGTTTTCTGTTATTCCTGTAAGCAGAGCATTAAACCATATACATGTCATATATTATATATCATCATTAGACAGATAAATATTCAGTTATGACATTTCCTGCAGGTATCTGAATTTGAAACGATTAATGGTCACTACTCCATGCCTGAAGCACTCACTAAGCCCCTAGAGCCTTTACCTGGAGATGGGGGCAAGAGTAATGGCACTTCTGCATCTGGTAAGTTTTATTCTGTTGGGCGTTGTCTCCTGCTACCCTACTTGTTCTCACAATCTTGTCTTCATTTTATTTGGGTATCCTTAGAATGGATATTTATTAGTTTTTTGTTTCTTGGGGATCCCCTTGGTGGCTCCTTGTAGCCATCTCACTGAGATTGCTCCATACTACAAAAGTCACGTCAGTTGTGGAAGTTCTGTTTGGCCTACTGGGGACCAGAGCCAGAATATGGCCCTCCCTTCCACTCAGAGGTGCAAGGAGTAAATGATATTCTGCCGTTTCGCCGGGAAAGCATTCGGAAAATCGGCAAAGCCTTAGACAACTGCTGGGTTCACAAGACTTGAAACCTCAGAACTGCAACTCTCGTGTACAAACACCAAGTGATTCAGTCGAAACAAATCCCTCAAAACTACTGTAGTTAGAACCTGGTCTGAATTCTGCCATGAGGCTGTGCAGAGCTTGGTACTCCATCAGCTGGTCCCTAGGTTCTGTCACTGATGCATGGCCCTAGAACAATGCTGTAGTGCTCCAGATGTAACACCATAAATGGTTTTATTTAAATTAATATAGTCAGTTTCACAGGAAACTGTATCCAGTCTGTTGGTCCTTGAGAATTCAAAAGTCATTCCTGAGAAATGTTAATGTTCATATATTGGACAGGTGCCAGGTTGAGATGAAATTAAGTTCCATTTTTCTCTATTTCAAGACCTAGTTGCTGTTGAGCATTCAATTATTTTTTGTATATACAGGTACTCCAGCTACAAGTGTAACACCCTCTCCTGCTCCTTCAATCAAGGGAGAAGTAGAGGAAAAGGAGGATGAAAAGAAAGATGAAAAGACAGAGGAAAAAGAAAAAACAGAAGTGAAGGAGAGTGAAAAGCAGGAGGGAACAGACAAAGAAGAAAAGAAAGAGGAACAATCTTCTGAAACTGAAAAGGTATGTTATGTTCAGCGGCCTTTACGTGATGTTTAGATTTTTGTGTAAATGGTAGTTATTTTAACTATGGAACATCACTATGCTAATCATAGTTTTCTAAAGCTTATGGAGTTAATTTTTCTTTGTATTTTTACAAAGAATATTATATATATAATATACAGTATATATTATATGTGCAGTGGAAGGATTAATTCCTTACATGGTGAACTTGTAATTTTGTTTCTTTCATATGGCTGGACATCATGCTGCTTTCATGTGCATTTAAACAAAAAAATTATGACAGGCTAAAAAAATTGAATAATGCACAAAGAAACTCTTTTGCAGAAAGAAAAAGAGGAAGAAAATGGAGATGCCGAGAAGGAAGAGGAGGCTGAAGTGAAGAAGGAAACGGAAGAAGGGGAAAAAGTTGAAAAGTCAGAGGATGAAAAGAAAGAAGAACCTGAGAAGATGGAAGTAGAGGAGAAAGATGAAGATAAGAAAGATGAGAAAAAGGCAGAGGAAACGACAGTTGACGGGGAAGAAACTAAAGATGGAAAGGCTAACGAAGAGAAGTCGGAGGAAGATACAGTCAGTATTATCATCGATTAAATATATCTTAAATATTATTTTTTTTTTATTTCAGATTATATATTTCTATCTAATTTTCCCGTATGCAGCTGCTCATTACATTTGATGAATGCTACTTCTTCAACCTACCAGATGTTGGTTAAGGCAAGGATTTGTTTAGATTGGAAAGAGGGTGAAAGGCAAAGGGACTCGCATTGGCTCTAATCCACCTGAAATTCATTAACTGTGAATGCCGTATAGTTGTGAAGTGGAGCTATATATAGAGGATCCTGGTAATTTCAGGCTGACATGGAATGCAGTACTGTCATATACTAATCCAAAGAAAGACCACCAAAACTTATTCCCACTGTTGAAATTAGGTGGAATTGAGAGACTATTGGCGAGGATGATTGTACACCTTAACACTTTCGCTCGGGGATGACGCAGCATTGCGTCATCCGTTTACTGGCGGTAATGCCGGGGATGACGCAGCATTGCGTCATCCACTTTAAAAATTCGCCAAAAATCAGGTTTGTATCCGATTTTTTGGGGACTGGTTTTAAAATGTGCGACGATGTCTTCCCATTTCCTTTGTTGAGCCTCGTGGCCCTCAGGCGGCTTGGCACACGCCGTGGGCCCATTGTCTTTGCTCCACTGTTGTGACCAATGTCGTCTCCCCTCGCATCTCAAACGTGTGAACATTTCGGCTATTTTCCGTGGCTATATTTCTTACTGCGGCTTTAGAAACGATCTACGCTTACTCCACGATGGATAGTAATCATGAACAAGGCCCTTCCAGGAAGAAAATTGCGAAAGAAAGGCTTGAAAAGGGTGGGAATTGGGAGTGTAGTAGGAAGGCCTCTGAGCGCTCACTCACGGCTAACGCGTGGCCCGTCTTCAACTCGTCGGCGGTTGGAGCGTGACCAGGTGTTTTTTTTTATATGCTAATGTTCCTCTAGAGAATTTTATTACGAACCCATTGAGACCAAAATGAAAGACCTAGGACAAAAATTGAGGTGACCAGAGTGAAAATAGTGAAAACATTTTATCCCGTTTGCGCGCTCCCGGGTAACTCGTTCGCACTTTCTCTGTTTGCTGCGGGTAATTAGCCGGGCTTTTGGAGTTTATATGCATTTAGTGCTGTAGAGAATTTTATTGCGAACACAATGTCTCCGTGGTAGCAGTCTCCGTGGTGTAGTGGTAAGACACTCGCCTGGCGTTCCGCGAGCGCTATGTCATGGGTTCGTATCCTGGCCGGGGAGGATTTACTGGGCGCAATTCCTTAACTGTAGCCTCTGTTTAACGCAACAGTAAAATGTGTACTTGGATGAAAAAACGATTCTTCGCGGCAGGGGATCGTATTCCAGGGACCATAGGTTTAAGGACTTGCCCGAAACGCTACGCGTACTAGTGGCTGTACAAGAATGTAACAACTCTTGTATATATCTCAAAAAAAAAAAAAAAAAAAAAAAAAAAAAAAAAAAAAAAAAAAAAAAAAAAAAAAAAAAAAAAAAAAAAAAAATGATACCAAATTTATTCTCGTAGAAGGAGAATTGAGGTGACAAAGTTGAAGAGAGTATACACTTTTCGGAATTAACGCGCGCTTCCGTGACACGCTGGGGCCCATATCGCCCTGTCGAGGGGTGGCGCGCGGGGTGAGCGAAAGTGTTAATTGGTCCAGAAGTAATTGGGTACCTGGTTGTTAACCGATTGGCGGGTCGTATTCCAGGGAAACTAGTGTGTAAGGTATACCATGAGCTGTGGGATGGAAAGCTCTCAGCCTGCTAACAAGTCGGCAGTTCTTGTAGCTACCCATGTTAAAAAAATTCTGTACTTTTATTCTTGCAAGTGTGAAAATCATTCCGAAAGCTTAAGACCAACATTAAGCCCACTACAAAGACTATCACCATCACTGTGATACCAACCCCAACAGTAATATCCAGTATAATCTATATACTGTAACTGAGTTGATATAAACAAATATGGCCACAGTCGTGTGTTGTATGAAATACAACAAAAAGGGAGTGTACCCAAAATACATAAATTGCCTAATGTGTTCAGCAGTTGTGCGCACTAGCTGTGTCAAACTTCCAGTTATTTAAATAAAAAAGAATGGTAAATAACTCATATATTGGATGTGTTATAAAGATAATTGCTTCTATCTGAAGATAGCAAATTTTCTGAAAAATATTTCCTCTACAAAGGATAGAAACTCCCTTATTACTGTGTGTTCATAAATTGCAGAGAATTTGAAGCTTTTTGGATGGATGAGTATTCATATTAGTGGGCATTCATATACCTGTAATGGGACTCCTTATACTTTAAATCATCCCTCTTTGACTTGTACAGTGTGGTCAGATATGCTGCAATTATCCCTGTTTGACACACACAGCAGAAGGGTTAGAGCTGCGAGATATTTTTGGAAAAAGGACATCCCTAAAGCAAGTAAATATTTTGTGTGGGTGAATAAATGATAAACACCAGGTCTGTAGAACATGTTTATAATAATCTCTCTCTTTCAGGCCACATCAAAGACTGAAAAGGAGGATAAGGAAGGCAACAAAGATGTTGTAAAGGAGGAGGATAATAAGGAGAAAGACGATGATAAAGACAAAGAAAAAGACGGTGACAAAGATGAGGATAAAAAGGAAACTACGAAAAAGAAAGAAATTGAACCAGTTTCCAAGAGAAAGTTCATGTTTAACATTGCCGACGGGGGCTTCACTGAGCTACACACCCTGTGGCAAAATGAGGAAAAAGCAGCAGTGCCTGGCCGGGAATGTGAAATTTGGCACCGCAGGTAATGTATAAAATGATGTAGAGTATAGTGTATAGTATAGAACAACTCCATAGTCTCCTATGACTGATGGATGTCTACTACTCCTACTATATGTGTAAGACTGGTTTAGATGTAAGTTATCTTGGTGTACCTTTCTTTATATTGCACAGAAAAGTCACTCCTGCTTGGCCATTTACTTGTAATAGTCTTGCAAAAAGTATTGCTAGATATTAATAGTTTTTGTGACGTCTGAAATGCCTCTTTATTAAGATTTTAAATTTTAATTCTGAGTATTTGTAATTTTAAGATTATATACAAACAATATATAATATACATTACAAATATTATGCAATATATATAATGTACATTACAAATATTGTACATACGGTATATGCAATATGGTGTAGGAATGTACATAATATATATTATTATTTTGGTCCTTTAGTATTAGGTAGTATGAGAACCTTGGCTCTTGCTTCCCTTGCATTTGTGACTGCCTTATTTATGAGATTCAGGCAGTATTTATGCATGTATTTTCTGTTTTAGATGTTTCATTTAATAATGAAAGTATATTTGTCCCTACAGACATGATTATTGGCTACTTGCTGGCATTGTAACTCACGGGTATGGGCGCTGGCAAGATATTCAAAATGATATTCGGTTTGCTATCATCAACGAACCATTCAAGATGGATGTGGGCAAGGGAAATTTCTTAGAAATAAAGAATAAATTTTTAGCAAGAAGATTCAAGGTAAACATTCAACATTTTAATTTATATAGATTCTGTGATTGTCTATTTTGTGATATAAGTGTTGGCATATTTATTTTGTACTGTATATACATCTACTGATTGAAAGTTGTTGGTGTCTATTCCTTTAGGAATTTATTTTGTACCTATAGGAGTTTATCATTTATGCTTGTATTAACGTATTGATGAGCATAGGGAATACCTTCACTTATTGCAGTTAAAAATGCCTATGTATGAAACTGGTTTGAGTCAAAATTGTGTTCCATTTGATAAGGGAGAAGGAGAGTTTGTATGGAGCAGCTTAAAGAATTAAATTACGGTGAAATCCAGGAGTTACAGAATAATTGTGATGGTTGATCTGAATGGTAAACCGAGACTAGACCCTTACGTCATTTTGCACCAATTATGTTCCAGGAATAAACAATAATGGCTGTGGATTGAAAGATTTATGCAGTACAAGTGTTGTACCAGTATATAGAACAAGGATGTATATGAAATTTTATGAAGAGTTTAATTAACTGCTTGTGGAAAAAACTAAACTGAATTGTGTGTAAGATACAAGAGTAGTGAAAGGACTATCTAAAGGTTTGGCTGGTCACAGGAAAATGTGTGGCAAAATTAATTGAAATATACTTAGGAAAGGCATGAGCTTGCATGGATTTTTGACTGCCATGTATGTGGTGTCCAGGATAGGCCTGGAACTTGGCTTGAGAAGTGAGGAATGTTTCATGGACTGGACACTTGTATTTTTTCAGCTTCTTGAGCAAGCTCTTGTGATTGAGGAACAGCTAAGACGAGCAGCATTCCTGAACCTGCAGCAAGATCCCCACCACCCTGCGTGTACTCTAAATGCTCGCTTTGCAGAGGTGGAGTGTTTGGCAGAGTCACACCAACACCTCAGCAAGGAGTCACTGGCTGGCAACAAACCTGCTAATGCAGTGCTCAATAAGGCAAGTTTGTAAATGTAGAGGCACAGGACAGTGACAGCTGTTTACCAGGTCATATGATTTTCATTACCGTCATACGTAAGTTTGTGATGATTATTTTTTTAACTGCGCTGTACTTAATCTATAAGGCCATAAATTTAGTCCACATATCCTTCACAACCCATCTACTATGAAGCTTAATTCCTCCTTGTAAACATAAAACTTTGTTGTAGCAATATTTCTTAGTTATATTGCTGGAGGAAGGTTGGACTGCCATGGGTGTCTGATGCTCATATTGTCTGATTGTACTTAAAGTACACCTACATGACAACCAATGTCATTGACAACCAATAGAATCAGTGTAATGTATACTGCCTCCCATATTTTCTCTCAACATGAAGTGTTTCATGAAATGTATATATTATGTAATCTTTATTGTTTCAGTACCAGAAAGTACATTGAGGGTTTTGAGAGCCAGTATTTTAGGTGTTTTACTGTGTACATCTAGTTTTGCTTGGGTTGGATAAGCTATAGCTTTCAGTTCCTGTCATGCAACCCTTAATAGACACTTGTTCAGGTTCCAGAGCCAATTGGTATATATTTAAATTATATATATATATATATATATATATATATATATATATATATATATATATATATATATATATATATATATATATATATATATATATATATATATATATATATATATATATATATATATATATATATATATATATATATATATATATATATATATATATATATATATATATATATATATATATATATATATATATATATATATATATATATATATATATATATATGTATATGTATATGTCGTACCTAGTAGCCAGAACGCACTTGTCAGCCTACTATGCAAGGCCAAATTTGCCTAATAAGCCAAGTTTTCCTGAATTAATATATTTTCTCAAATTTTTTTCTTATGAAAAGATAAAGCTACCCATTTCATTATGTATGAGGTCAATTTTTTTTATTGTAGTTAAAATTAACGTAGATATATGACCGAACCTAACCAACCCTACCTAACCTAACCTAACCTATCTTTATAGGTTAGGTTAGGTTAGGTAGCCAAAAAAGTTAGGTTAGGTTAGGTAGGTTAGGTCGTCGAAAAACAATTAATTCATGAAAACTTGGCTTATTAGGCAAATCGGGCCTTGCATAGTAGGCTGAGAAGTGCGTTCTGGCTACTAGGTACGACATATATATATATATATATATTATATATATATATATATATATATATATATATATATATATATATATATATATATATATATATATATATATATATCAAGATCAAGATATATATATATATATATATATATATATATATATATATATATATATATATATATATATATATATATATATATATATATATATATATATATATATATATATATATATATATATATATATATATATATATATATATATATATCCATCCATCCATCCTATGTTATGAATATATATCTTTCTTCCTCCTGATATTTGAAATAAACACTGCATCACTACTTTCACAAGATACATTGTCAATACACATTGATCACTCATTCCCAAGGAGACTTCAGAGTCGACTCCCTGTTTCTGACTCATTCACTTGTTCATAGTTAATATGGGGGTTAAGCCTGGCTGGTTCATCTTTTTCCTTCATTCTTGTGGGTACATTCATATGCAATTTATATTTTAGATGAAAGATTGTCACAATGTGTGAGTTTTTGGAAAGCATTTTTTCTTAAGGGAAGGGAACTGGCGGAGGAAAGTGCCAAGTTATTACGACTATGTAACACCGAGAAGGGATCAAGATAAGGATTTGGAATGGGATGAGGGGAAGGAATGGTAATAAATTGGCACCTAAAATGTTGGGCCGTGTGTAGGTAAGTGTGTACAGTCATGTTCTTGTATAAAGTATCTATGGAGTACAGGGTACTTAAAGATTTACAGATATGTGGATTGGTGTTCCAGATTATGCTAATAATGCTTATAATTTAATTCTTCTCAGGTGCTGAATCAACTTGAGGAGCTGTTGTCCGATATGAAGTCTGACGTGACCCGACTGCCAGCGTCTCTAGCCCGGATTCCCCCAGTGGCACAGCGCCTGCAGATGTCCGAGCGTTCCATCCTATCTCGCCTAGCCTCTGGAGCCGGTAATTTGGACAAGACCACTCAAGGGGCAGGTGAGGGGTCAAATGCTGCTAGACTAGACACTTTCCTCTTGAATATCTTTCTTGGTGTGGTTTTCCTATTTTTTTGTGGGTCTTATGTTTTCTTTAATATGAATGGAACATATAATTACTATATTATATGGTACCATTTGCACAGGATGTATTCCCCTCTCTTGGATATGCAAACTTATCTCAAGTAACTCGAGCATGTTAAATGAATAAATCCACAAGGGCCGTGACAAGGATTCAAGCATGTTAAGTTTGGATCCTCCCCCCCACCCCCACCCCCACCCCTTTCCCCTAGGAATAATTACTTTAAAATTAGTTCCTCACTAAATACACTTATGATATTGAAAATGCCCAAGTTTTTTTAAGTTATTCTTTTTAGTTTCAAATAAGTTCATTCATTACTGGAATACAACTTAAGTGACACAAGCAAAACCTTTTTGGTCTTGTAGTACATAATAAGCTTAACGCTAGGGGCAGCCTCGGCATTAAATAACCCGGGTTTGAGGAGACCTCATAATTGTTTAATCACTCTTCACTCCTAACACACTTGTGAGTTTATTGTTGTTCAACTTCACTTAGTGCTGATGTTGATAGTTGGTTCTCTAGTTGGCTGTTCCTCTTCACCACATAGTTTCACAATGCTTCGTAGCATGCTATTTACTACTGGATAATTGGTGCAAATTTTGAAATCAGTCCTTTTGATTTTGTGGGTAGGGATGTGTATACATGTATGTCAGGGTGAAACTGATATACTAAATCTTAAGACAAAAATGTAGGATAAATAGCTCAAGTATGTAAAAGAATGTAATTATTATGAAACTTCATGTCTGACTCCTTTGTTCTCCCATTTAAATTATACTGTGCTATATCCAGTTACAAATTCCTCTCCATCACTTTACAACTGCAGTGTCTGGTATAGTCACAATTGCCAGCATAGTACTTTCCATGAACAAAATCATGAAATAGTACTCTCCATCTTGTAACCCTCCCTCACTTCATCCATCCCCATTTCCCCAGCAAAAATATATTTTAGCACTTGGTACTAATATACTCTGATGCCTTGTGGTGCACCAGGATATGTAATAGAGGTGGAAAGCCTGGACAGCTGGTTTGTAGTGGGAGGCTGTTATTGCTTTACCTTTACTATCTTAGAAACATTCAAGGAAATTGCAAAAGACCTGTTGGCCCATATGAGATGGCTCCAGTGTATATCCATCCAAACTCATTCATCTGTGTGCTTAACCTTCTTGTGAAACAGTTGAACGATCCCACATTTATTATGTTAGTCAGTAATTTGTTTCATAAATCTAACTGAATTTGTCACGTCTGAGGATAAATACTCTTCATTGTCTTAATCCGCAATTTCTAGTATGTACAGTATTCCCCTCGTCACCCTCACAGTCCTTGCCAGTCAGTCATAAAACTGATGCACAAATATATCACATCAACTCCTTGTGATTACTTTGTGACACAACTTGAGACAAGGATACCACCATGTGTGGTGAAATAAATTACTTCCTTTTGATATAGGAGGCAGGGGCCAAAGATGGAGGATCATTAGTAAAATGTTCATTACAATTAAAGCTACTTATTCATTTGGGAGGTATTCATCATACTTAGGGAAGCAATTGGTAAGGAATAAATGAAAACCATAAATAAAATAAATGAACATTTAACTGCACTTTACCTTTATTGAGGACTCTTGTTGGCATATGAAAGACTGACGAGGAGGGGAGGTGGTGCTAGTGTTTGGGAGGAAAGTCCCCTTCCATTATAACATCATGCAGTGATGACATTTCTGGGATACTTTCTCCTACATTTTGTAGGCATACAACTAGTGGACCTGGTTGTGGCTCACTGGTGGTTTGTTTCACTAAGAATCAGTCTAAAGACACTTTTTGCCTACGTTTTAATAATTGTCTTTAGCGAGACATCAGTCATTAAAAGATTAGCGCAACGGCTAGCTACAGCTGTTGTAGCAACTCATCTTGGCGAGTCTTCCCATAGTGCACATTTTCCTAGCCATGCACATACCATCTTCATGATTATAAATGAAATCCTCTTCCACCTGGCCATATTTTCAGACATTTTCGTAGCATAGCAAGAAATGTGTATTTAGGTGCAATTGTATACACATGCAATGATGGCAGATGCATTGTTAGTTAATCCTGTTTCTAGTGTTCCTTGTTAGAAGCCTCACCTCACACAGATCACCCACAAGGTGGTTTAATTCAACTAGCAAGCTGTGTATCCTTGCACTCGTGACATGTATCATCCTGATGGCTGGCATCTGGGTTCAGGACTTCTGGCAGTTTATAGGGGTATTGGACCTGCATTATTTATCATATGTACCTAAGGCTGTGTTGCACTTGGCCATGTGACATGCATCTGAGGCTCTCTTGCCCTGGGCCCTTCTATCTAGCTTTTCTTCTTGGTTAAGCCCAATTTTCAGGCTCTATTTTACCAATCTTTCAAGATCATGCAGGTCTTCTTTATATAGGCTCTTGTGAGTGCTTGGGAAGCCAGTAATCTGACTTGAATGTAATAAAGCTCCCTTTTCTGATGGGCTTCCAGTGACTCCCTATCACTGCTGTTTTTCTCTGGGGTTAAATGCTGGGGGAAGGGGGACCTTGCTGGGACCATGGGAGACATTGGTTGTCATCTAGTGGAGGTGAGCTACTTCGGTTAGAATGGTTATCTCACAGAAATGATAATTTGACTATCTGGGGGGGGGGGGATATCTCGTGTCTTATAAGCAGTCGTGTGTTTTGTTTTGTCTTCTCTCCACCTCCCTCATTTTTTTGTATTCAGATTGTTTCTCTGCTGTTTAGTGTTGATTGTTATATTTTCTAAAATCTTATGAATCATATTCTCAAAATCCTTATATGCTGTATCGCCTATATATTAATACTAGTTTTAGTATTGAAAGTTCATCCGTTTAACTATACCCATTGTACACCATTTACTTATGCTATCACATCTTCCCACCTTCTGCATGTTACTTGCATGTCTGTATTATTGGGGCTTGGGTCCATTTTTGTAGCTGTGGTGTATATTTAGTAGATTTTAAGCCTTTCAAAGCTATTCAACAAGTTTCATAGTCCATCTTTATTTAAGATTGAGAATGCATTTTTGACTAATTATTGCTTGGTGCCTGATGATCTGCCACTATACTTTTTCTGTTTCTATTTGCCATGCATGGCTTTAAAATTGCCCCAAAGTGGTGAAAGAGCGATCTTGTTTTTTATTTTTTTGTAGTTAATACTCGTAATTTTTTTGTAATTCATTTTGGTTTTTAATTAATACAGTACTGTACAGTATTCAGATTAACTAACACTTTATTTAGAATTTGAATAAAGACATTGCTGAGATTGTATTATGTTTGGATGTTCTAAGACTTATGATTTAGTAGAGATACTGTTGTATAAGAGTGTGGATGTTGCTGTGATAATGTTGGTGTATATTAGTGAGCAAGGTTGAGAGTAACTATAAGCCCTGCTGTAAAGAACTGAAGAGATTAAATAGTCACTAAAAGATCTGTGTCCATATATTAATATATTTATTAGTGTTATTGTCAAACTTTCTAATGCTGAAGATTTTATGCTTCTATTCATGTATACATATACTGAATTAGACCTTTGATGTATACAATAATGGTAAAGTGTATGGATGCTTTAACAGTAATTGAATTTTGTTTTTAATAGAAATTACAGGTACGTATATTTGCTGCCTTTACAGGATATGGGTTGCAACCAGTGTCTGTATATCTGGCCGCAAAATATCTCAATCAGGGAACTGGCTGATAGCTTGTTAGGGTTTGAATGTTGATATTTTAGTTCATAATATGAGCATTTCTTTACCTTACTAATTCTGTGTAGTGGTATGTGCCGGTCAGTGCCTAGGGGGAGCTCAAGCCTGGTCATGGGCCTCGCATCCTTGCTATTACCTACTAACAGTAGTTAGTATATTTATATAGCCTAATGTTCTAAAGCCTTTTGGTGATAGGACAATACTAAAATTCCTAATGATTCGATACAGATTCCTCTAAAATGTGTGTATTCCGATACAATCATAGATTCCAATATGGATTCTTTTTAAAATATAGTTGGATACTTATTTTTCTGAAAATGTTTTTATTTAAATTTTGGAAAATTAATGATTTATATTAAGAGAAGGGAAATGTATTAATAATTGATTTAAAAATTTAAAACATTTGTTAAATCTAATATAAATTGATAAGTCCAATGATGTATTTGCTGCTCTGGTGGTCCAGCAATGGTAAAGGATGAATGCATAGCACTGTTAATTTCTTCCTGTATCAAGTCTCAAATGATCACACACATCCTGTGCAATATATTTTGAAACATTTTTGGAAGGAATTTGATATCTTTGGGCAGATATTGTCCAAGAGTCTTAAAAACTATCTTCTACAACAGAGAAAGGTTGTAAGTCAACTGCTATCTTTTCTCTAATATATTTACGACTTTTCTGTACTCTGGCCATTCAAATCCAAAATTTTATGTTTATCAATGGTTTTTTTTAAGGTTGGTTGCCAGGTCATAAAAATTAAACTTTTATATAATAAAGTATAATACTTTATTCTTGATAATTTTTTTAAATTAAATAAAATTGAAAAAATAATTTTTTTATTAGAATCATGATAAATTTCTCTATTGCAATACCGATTCAGATTACCAAAAAAGGCTCGATTCTTCAGATTCTTGACACCGATTCCGATAATCGTCCCATCACTAGACCTGTTTCTTATTTGCTTCTAGAAGTTGATTTGTTGGTGTGGTTGTGAATGTTCAGTGATGCTGTTTAATAAGAAAGGTAGAGTACAGTATTGCTAATATGAGTATTTATTTTAGCATGTCTAACCCTCTTCGCCTTCAGTGCTCATCCATCATCTCCAGTCCTTCTGACCGTGAAGGTAGTAAATTTGCAAAATGAGTGGTTATTTTAATCCATGCAGCAATCATTACTTTGTTTCCCACTCCAATGAGGTGAGGAGGCTTTTGATCTTCAGCAAAGTGATGGGTTGAGAATTACCAGCCCATGGCTTTTTTCTTTTCCGAATGGTGGGTGGTGCTCTCAAAAATCCCTAAGCTTTTATTACAAAATCAAATGTGTGTTGACAGTGGCACAAAGGATATATTCTTTATAACTAGACAATTTATTACACCATGTTTTTTTACTACAGTAATTAAATGAAACTAGAAGGTGTGCAATGCTAATGTTAAGTTTGATGGTGGCATACAGTATATGATATTTACATTTTTTATAGCCTACGAGACATTGTAAACCAAGTACCTGTATATGCCTTTCATCTATCTGACCAATAAAAAGTGCCCATCAAGGTTAAATATATAGTGTTTTTATATTTATATTTGAACAATGGGACTGTTCAAACAAACTGCCATTATGGCTCTAGGTTGACTAGATACAATCAAATGTACACAAAGATTTTAATGTAAAAAATATAATGGCTGAGCATAGTAATGCTTACAAATGGCTGTAAGTATGATAATGCTAAACTATTCTGACGTGGAAGAATTCATACTTTCACCTTGTATAAATTGTCGTCTTAAAAACAGTAGATGGGGCTGCTTTATCTGTGGAACTGAAGGAGTGCCTCCTCACCCCATACACGTGGGAAATGGAATAATAATGATTGCAAGATATAAAAACATTGACAGTTATACTAATTTTGTCTTTATACCAACAGGTCAAGAGACAACCCCATTTCCCGTGGGTTATTCACCTGCAGGTCAACTCCAGTCCCTGGGTAACACCAACTTCGCCAACTTCCGACCCCAGTACTCGCTTCCCGGCGCTGCAACTGCCCCAGGTGCTGTGCAGGCTGCCTTCCCAGGTATCCCTCCCATGGCTGCCAACCCTGCCTCCAAGTAGAACCATGCTGATGCTGCTGATGCTACTCCCGCTGCTACTGCTGCTCTGCGTGGCCCAGTGTGACACTAACCCAGCTCGGTGAGTGTGGCTGTCACTGGTGGTCAGGAGTAGCCACTACTCCAGTAGGATGCCAAACCTACCCATGGTGGAGGCTCGCTGATTGGACTATTTTCTTTGCCATCACTTAACCTTTCCTAGCATTGGAGATGTTTCAGTTCTGAATAGATCAATGCCAGCAATTTGCTAGCTAGTAATAATAGTATAAATAATATTGAAATAATTTTTACACATCATTGCTAGGAAATGCAGAGCCATGTCATTAATCCTCGGTTTAAAGGATTTCGAAGAACTAAAGTTAGCTAAAATGCTCCTGACTGCCAACGCAACTATGCGGCCTATAACCTCTGACCAAGGGAATGTGATATTACATAGCTGTGTGTCTTGCATGACTGTACTGTTGGTTGCTTGCAAACTTAAGCCTGCCATAATGCCTTACTCATCACTGAGCATGTTCACTTGACTGGCTAGGTATTTTGGAACAGGGTTTATAGCCATCTCAATCCTGTGCATATTTATGCATTAAAGCATTTTGAAAATGTATGTACAGTCTTTATTGCTTTAGTAGTATGACAGGTGTAAGATTGATTCATTTTCAGTTGACTAAAATGCTGTATAGCAAAATAATTCATGGTATAGGTTTTAATTAAACAATAATTGTAGAGGAAATTAGGAAACCTTATTTGATTTAATGAAAATACCATGTAATGTACTTTATATCATTCATCTACCGTCTGTATTGTATATCTTTGAAATTAAATTGTGTTGGAAAGTGTAAAAGTGTTTTAAACAATTCACACGTGTAAATATTTTTATACCAGAATTCCTCGTGCTCGCTCACTTGCTTAATTTCTTTTCAGTGTTTTGTAAACATAACAAGTGAAGGAGTTGTCCCTTGAAAGAAGCTGTTACGGCTATGCATTAATTTTCCTTATGTTTCTTTCTTTTATCCAAAGTATTGTACCTTATGTAGAACATCAAATTACTTTTTAATTGACTTAAAAATATTTACAGAAGAATTTAGTATATTAGACTTGAAAAATAATAAGAATAAAGTAGTGCAAATTGGTACTTTTCTCTTGCACAGTACTGAGAAATTAAGGTAAAAGTACAAGTTGTATGAATGCTTTGTTATAGCTATATGCAGGTCTAGGGAGGGGAAGGGAACGGCTGTGTATGCAGTCTGGTGGTGGGGGGGGGGGGGGATGGTTGTGTACACTCAAAATCATCAAGCAGGCTAAGGCTGAGAACCACAAGAGCGACAGAAAATCCTGGGTGCCAAATTGAGCCCAAAAATGGTAGAAGTGTCAAACCCAAAACTAATCAATACTTGTACAGTACCTTCTATTTTCACCCATGATTTTCCCTCGCATATCGTTTTATTTTCTTGAAAAATACAAAACATCCTGGCATATTTCTTCAAAAAATGCAGAAATGTTTTTTGACCATCAACCAGCAGTCATACTAAGAGAAACATGATGAATTTGATGCAAAAAGTTAGAGATTTTAAAATGTTTCATTTAGCATTTTGAGAAGTGTCCTGTGTGCTAAATACAATGCGAGGTAACCACTCTGATAAATTGAAGGCTTAAAGAAAGATCTTTGCTTGTGATGCTAAAAGTAAGCATGATATAGTAATGTGAAAAAGTACTCAGTGATGCTCAAGTTAAGTGTTGAAGCTGTGTGTGTAAGAGTGATCTAGTTAGAAATGTGATATACTAGAAACCAGTGCCAGTATGGCTGGTTCAGTAAAAAGCAAAGCGGTTATCAGCAGCATATAAATATTATGTATGGTTAAGAAGGGGCTTTTAAGATTTGTCATGGTTTTGAAAATAAAGGGGTCTAAGACAATCTGCTGATGCTATAATTATTCCTAATATTGAGTTAAGGCATTTTATGTATTTTTGTTTGACAAATAATTCTGCCCTAATTTTCCCTACATAGATTCATTTTCTTAATTTTTGTTGTATCCTTAATCAATATAGCCCTCATAAAGTTGACAAGTCTTGAACTGGAATTAATTATTCCTGTCATTAGACATTTTCCTCTGTTACCACCAAATGGATGCAGTTAACAGGCCCAAACTTCGTTTCTGAAGGCCTGTTATCTAAAGCAAAATTACAGGAAGTTATAACTACTGTACCACAATGTATCGATGCTTTTTATGGAAGTGTGCCAGTTTTAGTTTCAAAGAAGAAAAAATTAACTTTTTGTTCATTGTAGTGAAAGGATTAAAGTATTTAAAGAGGTGTTATGGGGATATTTTCACTAATCTTAAATTATACATACAGTATTTTAGTCAAATTTGCTATCATTGTTGTTTACAGTATTTGCATCTGTTGCTTTCCTCCTGTATGGAACTGGGAAGTGGCTAGGCTTGACATTTTGCAGCTTGGTATCTTGTGTGCATCGTGCCCAGTGACTTGCATATACTGACGTTTGTTTTGTCTCTTGTGCATTAACACTGCTTGCCACCCCACCTGCTTATTTGCTGTCTGCCACCTGGGAGGGATTTGAATTGTTTGTTAATGTGAAAATTTTGATATACTGTACTGTAATGTTTCAATTATTCTTACATTAAAAAATACTATTTTTATATGTATGCATAGAACTTGAAAAAGTAACTAGTTTTGAATTTTGTCTAATACATTGGTCCTTGACTTTCTTTTCATACATAATTGGCTCCTGCTCCATTGTGAAAGGCTGGCAAAGGTAAGTAAAGTGGCCTCTGTAACAGTGTCATTCCTCTACAGGTGTGCCATCTGCTCAGGTCAGCCTTGCGAACTTAAGTGCCAGTCTACACATGCTTGCTGCCTCCAACCCACTCTTGGACTCAAGCTTGCAGCAGCAACCACCTACCTCCCATGCAGGCACCATCTCTGCTGCAACACGAGCCTCGCTATTACTGCATCAGCAGCAGCAGCAGCATCTTCAGCAGCAACAGTCACCCGACACCAAAAATCTTATCTATTTGGATTGAAGCTAGAATTTGGCATCATTTTCATTGATGTCTTTAAATTTTCTCCCTAACAAGGACCAGTCTTAGTCATTCCGTGCAGTTTAGAGTTTTATTTATGATTTTGTGTAATCTCTTCAGTGTTAATAATGTGCTAGATTTCATAAGTGATCTCAAATAGATCTTAGTAAATTAAATTTATATTGAGCAGATTTCCCTACAATCTTACTATGAAGGTCTGTAAGATTTTTATGTATTGCCACAGTGGTAATAAAGATACCATATGGCCAAAATGTATTGTCTGTAACCTTCGACTTTTACTATTTGTTAATGAATTGTATAGGCATTGTCCAGGAAAGTTTGAAAAATTAATAATTTTCATTTACTTCTGGAAACTTGTTTATCATACTCTGTAGTATATTCCCTTGACATTTTAGATCAGGTGGTGTCAAACATGCGGCTCTCAATGTAGTCATTACTACTTCTGCCCCTTAAGAACCCAGCTAAATTATTTGAAGTTAAAAGTAATGTTCTGCATATGTATTGATAAATTACAGTACTGTTTTTGCCTTGGATTCATTTAAAAACAGGTGCTTATAGGTCCTGTAGTATATGATGACTGTGAATGTTAGTCCAGTAGATATCAGTTATTTATGGTTCCAAGTGAACCACCACAAGAGTTGAAAATTCATATGGGATGTGAAAGCTCGAATCTGAAGTGGGCTTTGTGCTTGTGTGGTGTGTCCCAGATGGCAGTCATGCATAGTTGCTCATAATTGTTGTAACCTAATTATTATTTAAAAAAAATTGTTCATGTCATTTATTTTAAACATTATATTGGCAGAGAAACAATGTAGATCGTGTTGTACAGGAAAATTGTACCTTTTGCTGAAAGAAAAGCAAACACGTTTGATTTTAAAACAAATTCCCAAGAATACAATGTTCGTAGGCCCTTTGAAGCTAAATGCTAACTTTCATAGTGCATTTTAGAACTGGCATCCTGTAAAGTATTGTAGCCACCCTGAACTGGCATTGGGGTCCTAAATGTTCATAATTCATGCCAGTCTTTCAGTTGCAGACCAACTGTACATTACCATTTTATTGCTCTTCAGGCTACAATGTTGCACAATCCACAGCTTCATTCATATCCCCCATACTTAGAAAGTTTAAATGTTTTTTGACACCACACCCACATTCACAATTTTACTTTAACTCCATGTCAGCCGTTTCCTTCCCCAGCCACAACCGGGTTCATTTAATAACTTATCTAGGATGAGAAAGTTCCTCTTACCCTTGCCTGATGTACCCTGACAGCTGCTGCAAGACATGGTTTTAACTCTCAAATGTTGTTATACTGCAGGTACTGTAGTATTGTATATCTGAATCGTCTAATATTCAAATATTTTTACAAATTTCAGATACTGTATATATCGAGTAAATACTTGAACTCTAGTACAGTACAGGTATATTCAGGTTTCTTGTCCAGTAGAAGTCGCATGAACTCAAAATACATTTTGGGTAAAAAAATTTTTTTCTAAACCTCGAATATGAAATCTTGTGGATCACTTGGATTTTTGAGTTACCCGACTGCAGATTACCGAATGCCTACTGTACTGTACAGCAATAGCTGAAATAAAGTAATAATTCCTGTTATAAAGTAAGTGCTTTAGTTGTAGCTCAGTCTGCATGAGAAAAATAGAAAATTTTGGGAAAAATGTGATAAGCCTTTCTGAAGGGACATTAATTCATTATGTCCACATATATTAAGATTTAATCCTGAACAGTCAATACATATTACATTAAACACAACATTTAATGGTACAAATAACATAGGAAAGAATATTTGAAGATGTTCGTCCGTTGTAAAAAAAAATTACCACGACCAATAAATGAACTAATGTCGTTGCTTGCGCTTGCCTAAAGCAAGGGAGAGTTGCACAAATAGTCAGCCTCACACACTCGTCCCAGCAGCCGGACAAGTCGAGATGGCAGGAGATAGGTTAGGACACTGCTGGCCATCAGCTGCATCCTATGTATCTCACTGTGCCCTAGCTGAGCTCCACAATGCTTTGCTGGGTCTGCCTTCCTGTCTGTTGAACCATTCTGGTGGTTTCCTCCGTGCAGTCTGCCGGGTTCAGTCTTCTCGTGCATAGGTAGACAAGCTGTAATTCACCGAGGGCCTCAAATCTTCGACTACCCTCGTCTAGTTTTACCTGCCATTCAAAGCTGTTTACCGGGGTGTGGTCACTGTTGCATGCTCATATATTTAATGTTGAATGGAAAAATATTTAAAAACCCCAAGAAATATTACACAGTATTTAGTTAATGTGTATCACAACTTGTGTATATTTAGACCTGCTCATAATTAACAAGCCAACACTAAAGAAATTCTCTTATGATCATGGTCACTACAGTAATCACTTTATTAAAGCTATGCAGAGTATTCTGAAAATTGTTAATGGGTTGGCATAAGAAGACTAGTTACAGTACTTTAAATTTAATGTTGGTAACTCTTGGCAATATTCTTATGATTCAGCAATTACTTTCCTAAATTAATAAAATGTTGGTATCAATGTCCCATAAAGAGCAAAATAATTATTTGACATTTAAAATCTAGGTATTGACTAGTTTGTGTATTATGCATATAACAGGTGCAGCACAATTGCATTTTTTTTTTTTTTTTTTAAGACAAGTATTCAATTGTGACAGCACTCCAGGTGAGTGACATAATCATCCATACAAAGGAACTGTTCATCACATAATGGACATAGTACTTCCAACTGGGCCAAACTAAAGGAGTCATCAACAATATGACCTGACAGACTGGATGCTTCAGAATCAAGTTCCATGATTGTTGAGAATTCTGCTGAACAAACTTTACCTGTGCTAGAGTTAGCATTTTCAACTGAAGGAAGAGATGCCGTAGTACTGATCAAATTTGGTATCTGTTGAATAATTAGGTCATTGTCCATTGCTGTATTTTCATTTGTACTTGGTAAAACCACCAATTCCACTCGTTTCTGTGCTTGTAGAGTCCCTGTATAATGGATACTGATATCGTCTCCTGACAAGGACACATCAGTGGTTTCAGAAGGAATGGTGTTGCTGTTTATATTTTTAGAGTCATATTCTGTCTGGAAGCTCATGCTCTCAAGGCATTGTACATTAAAATCTAGCATTTCTAACTGTTTAGAAGACTCTCCATCCTTGTGTAACTCACTAGAACCATCTGAAAATGTGTGGTGACTACAGATTCCAACATAAGAATTATCACCAACTTTAAATAACAAGAGAGAATCGTCACCACTTTCACAGGTAGGTATAGCACACCTGCCGTTACTAGATACAATAATACAGGGATCTTGCTTGTCAGTTATACTCGCATTCTCACTCGTAATATTTTTATCTGATAGCAATTTAACCGAGTCAAATTTACCAATTTGAATTAAATTATTATGAGAACTATTTATTTTGCCTTGAGACTGAACAATAGTTTCATGGCTAAAACCAGAAGCATCACAGACTGTTGGCAACTGAGTTTCTCCACTTGCAGTATTAGATTGTATTATAACATTGTTAAAGCTTGCTTTGTCTAGCATTGGTAACTCATGTTGCAGTTCAAGTCCATCAGATTTAGCAGGCATAACACACACAATATTTAATGATGGCAAATTTGAAATTGACTTCACATTATGACGGGCCACTTCGGAAGAAGCATTTTCATTCAACTTTTTCTCATCATTGTCAATTTTGTGTTTAGATTTGGAACCAGAGGGACTATCCTTAACCCCCTTTTCTTTGTCTTTCATTTTCCTACATAACTTATTGTTTGATGCCCGACTACTACTAATCGAGCTCTGCTGGTGACAAGCGGACTCTGCTTCATTTGTTGAGGATCTTAACTGATGCTTCTTCTTATGGGTATACAATGTATTTCTATATGCAGTTGCATACCCACAAATATTACACTCAAATGGTTTCTCACCTGTAAAAAGAGAAAAAAAGCCAACATAAATGTTAAAAATGGCAATTATATGCTGAATTGGTTGTTTTATATACATTACCAGTACTAAGTACAGTGGTACCTCGGAATGCGAGTGTCCCTGTATGCGAGTTTTTCGGAAGACGAGCAGTATTTACTCCAAAAATTTGTCTCGGAAGGCGAGGGTTACCTCGGGACGCGAGTTTGTTGATACGCGTACAGGCCGACCTAGCGCGTGGTGGTTCGGCGATCGTCGCCCCGCCGCCCCTCAGTTTACCATTGTCTCGCGCTCAGTGACTACCCCCACATCAATTCTTCTCGCGGATTTTCAGTGTTTTGTTGGATTTTTGGTGATTTGTCTATACAATTTGTTATTATATATCTCACCATGGGTCCCAAGAAAGCCAGTGGTAAGGATAAAGGCCAGAAAGCTCATGTGAGGATGACAATACAGGAGAAACAAGAGATCATTCGGAAGCATGAGAACGGTACACGTGTTGTTGAACTTTGTAGGCAGTACAACAAAGCCACATCAACAATATGCACTATACTTAAGAAGAAAAATGAGATTATGGGTGCTAAAGTGGCAAAAGGAGTAAGAACAATAACGAAACAAAGACCACAAATACTTGAAGAAGTGGAAAAGTTGTTATTAATTTGGATACACGACAAGGAGTTGAGGGGTGATAGTGTTTCGGAGGCCATTATTTGTGAGAAAGCCAGGGTGTTGCACGAAGACCTTCTAAAGAATACCCCTGCAACGAGTGATGCAGATACGAAAGAGTTTAAGGCAAGCAGGGGCTGGTTTGAAAAATTTAGAAGGAGAAGTGGTATCCATAGTGTTACAAGGCATGGGGAGGCAGCCAGCTCAGACAAACCAGCCGCTGGACGATTTCTTGACGAATTTAAAGAGTTTGCAGAGGCTGAGGGATACCTACCGCAACAAGTGTTTAATTGTGACGAAACAGGACTGTTTTGGAAAAGAATGCCCAAGAGGACATACATTACCAAGGAGGAAAAATCCTTGCCTGGACACAAGCCTATGAAAGATAGGTTTACGCTTGTGCTGTGTTCAAATGCGAGTGGTGATTTGAAAATTAAACCCTTGCTAGTATCGTTCTGAAAATCCAAGGGTTTTCAAACAGTATAAAGTGCAGAAAACCCATTTGTGTGTGATGTGGAAGTCTAATAAAAAAGCATGGGTGACTAGGCTTATTTTTTCGGAGTGGGTGAATGAAGTGCTGTGCCCTGCCATAGAAAAATATCTGCAGGAGAAACATTTGCCACTCAAAGCCGTGCTTCTCCTTGACAATGCTCCTGCTCATCCTCCAGGCTTGGAAGATGATTTGTTGCCTAGATACAATAAATTCCTCACAGTTAAATTCCTTCCTCCTAACACCACTCCTCTAATTCAGCCTATGGACCAGAAAATCATAGCGAATTTTAAGAAACTTTACGAAAGGGCACTTTTCCGGAAATGTTTTGAAGTGACTGAAGCCACAAACCTCACCCTCAAAGAGTTCTGGAGACAGCATTTTAACATTTGTAGTGCTTTAAAACTCGTTGACAAAGCCTGGCAAGAAGTGACTCAAAGAACCCTGATCTCTGGCTGGAGAAAATTGTGGCCTGAATGTGTGAGAGAACTAGACTTTGAGGGGTTTGAGCCTATAAATGATGCGCCTATTGTTGAGGAAATTGTTAGTCTAGGCCAGCAAATGGGCTTAGAATTGGATGGTGATGATGTGGAGGAGTTGGTGGAAGAACACAACGAAGAACTGACCACCGAAGAACTCCTAGCCCTTCAACAGGAACAGCAAGCCAACGCAGCAGCGGATGATTCTGCAGTGGAGGAGGAGGTGGCAGCAGCACCAGCGAATGTCCCTTCTGCAGTAATTAAGGTGGTGTGTCAGATGTGGGAAGAGATTCAAACAACTGTTGAACAGACTCACCCAGAGAAAGCTGTAGTAGGCCATTGTCTTAATCTTTTCAATGACAATGTGATGCCTTACTACAGAGAGAGCTTGTGAAGAAGGGAAAAGCAAGCTTCCATGAACAGATTTGTGGTGAGGAAATCGAGCAGTGAGCCTCAACCAGGACCTAGTGGCACTCAGATAAAACGTCCCAGGGAGAGCACACCAGAAAGGTCCTCACTCCCTGATGTGATTATGGAAGGGGACTCCCCTTCCAAACAGTAACTCCTCTCCTCCTCCTCACCATCTTCCATACGCCTACAGCACTCGACAGCTAGGTAAGTAATAACTGGAACATAGTTTTGTAGGTTTATTTAGATGAATTAGGTAAATTAGGTATAAAAATTTAGTTTGATGTGGGGTTTTTGGGGTAGTCAGGAACGGATTAATTCATTTCCCTTTATTTCTTATGGGGAAATTAGCTTCGGAATGCGAGTTTTCGGAATACGAGGCGTCTCCAGGAACCAATTAAACTCGTAAACTGAGGTATGCCTGTAATTACTTTTAAAAAGACGGGATCAAGTCGGAGGGACCATGTAGTACTATCCGTGTCACTGGATATTCAAGAATATAAATATCACTGAAGATGCAAATATGAGAAAAATGCATAAGGCAAATGAAATCAAAGGTAACCAATTCACCAAGGATTCTATCGAGGGATAAATGACCACGAGGGACAATTGGGAAGCAAGACACACGAACGTCTTGAAAATTGGGACATTAAACAAGGTAGTTTGGACAATAAGGAGGAAAGCAGCATTCAATTTAGGAGCCCATACACGAGATGAGTAACAAGAGACCAACGATCCTGCCACTGGACACAGATCAAAGAATGAAGTGCTCTTTCACCAGGGAGCACTGGTGGCTCCCTGTAGCTATCTCATTAAGATTGCTCCAATCTACGAGATGGAATCTACTTCAATCTACAAATCGCATCAGATGCATGGGTTCATTTGGTCTATGGCAGGCCAGTGTCAAAGCCTGGCCCCCTTAGACAAGGCACATGGAGCAAATGACATTCTACCAAGAAAGCCTCCACAAAGTCAGCAAAGCTTTACAGACAACTGCTGGGTTCACAAGACTCAAAAGCCACTAAACTGCCAAATAACTTTCCAAACAAAACAAAATAAAAGAAAACACAAAACTAACTAGAACCAGTTAGTACCGAATGCCCCCACCAGGGGGCCCGTTCAACAGATAAAACAATAATGAATCGACAAACATGGAAGGGAGACTTATTACATTACCCCAGGGCTCTTTTTACATTCAGTGCTGGGTTTCTGTGGGAAGCCTATGGTGTCTCCCTGTAGCTAAATAACCACAGTAAAATTAGAGGAACTTACCAGAGGAGAGGCAGTAGACACCAAGTCGAATTAGAGACAAATGGCCGGGAAACAACACAGGACTGAAGAGGACCAGGGACATTGATATTGAATACCTGGCTACATGACCTTGTTAGGCCACCAAAACCCCATCCCCCAATCACGAGTTCAGCATATCTGCATACATCATGGGCCCAGAGCTAGCCAGACCATAGCCTAGTCTTGATGACACTGCAGACAATGTGAGAAATACAAGCCGGAAATGGAAAAACGGAGCTGAGGAAGCATCGACCCCAAATGCAAGTTGCATCAGCTCCGACAGTGCTGCACAATACAAGGTGACAGTATTCAGCATGAGATGCCATTCAAGAAACAACCAGGATAGAAAGGAAAGAAATACCCACTTAGAAACCGACAACAACATGTAAGCGACAGGAAATGATGAAACGAGTGCCAAGAAACCTCTCCCTCCCTCCCTCAATGGTGCCCTCCGCTGGTGCCCTCCCTCTCCCTCCCTCCCTCCCTCAACGGTGCCCAACGCTCTTCCTCCCTCCCATGCTGCCACATCAAGGAAATCCCAGGTGGTTGGATAACAAGAACCTTCCAAGCAAGAGATGCCACACCAGTGATGATACTTTTAAAGACATTAGTGCTCTCTCAAATCGAATACTGTTGCACACAAATAGCCCCATTCAAAACTGGAGAAATTGCTGACCTGGAGAGCATGCAAAGATTTTTTACTGCTAGAATCCACTCAATAAAACATCTAAACTATGTGGACTGCCTATAAATTTTAAATCTGTATTCCCTAGAGCACAGGCAGGATAGATACATAATACTGTAATTTACACTTGGAAATTATTAAACACTGAAATGCCTCAACTTCAGAGGCGGGATAAAAGAGGATCAGAACCCATGGGTAACAAACCCTACAGGATTTGGGTTCATAAGCGTCCAACCCAACAGGCAGTATAGCAGAGGCAGAAACAATGATTGTCACATGTAGCAAAAATGATGAACAGCCTTCAAAATCAAAGTGAGAGCGGGATCAACAGGCTGTCCTCTATGCATAATTTACCTTGCCAGAGAACTGCTGGATAATACCAAGTCCAGCTGGTAATAAGCCAGACAGGTGCTCCTAGGCACTGCGGATGCTCACCAAAGAAATGGAAATCACAAGCAGCCCCACTACCTATGCTGCAAACTGGCACCTGCGGCATGCCAAATAAGCAGGCTCGTAAGCTCATGTGTGTCCCATTTGAATCCCACACAACCTAATGAATGCCCGTAACCAAGGGCCTAAGCAGAGAGATCAGAAGGCCCCTAAAATACCCGAGGTAAAGCGCTCCACCTTGGTGGTCTGGCCTCAAAAGGGTGAACCCCCGAACACACCAGATGAACTCTTGTCATTGTAAGGGCAGTGCTTACGAACTCCCAGGGAAGAAATCGCTGGGCACATGCAGTTCGTAGCACAAAAAACCAAGTCCACACAACTAACTACACACAAAACACGCATGTGAAGTAAATACTATATGTAATGGAACGATACACTAGCAAAATAAGCCCCTATAAGATGAGTCCTAGGATGGCTGGCACTTAGCTTAAAAGCTTTGGGACTTGCTGCAAGATGATGTGACAAAGGAGCACTACTGTATTGTTCTCGGCTATGCATCAGTGGATGAACTAATCTGAAAGATGATGCTTCAGGCTGCCTGGTGGTGGTATTCAGTACAAACAGATTCTATTTAGTTTTGTGTTTTCTTTTGCTTATTTTAGTTTTGTTTGGATAATTATTTGGCAGTTTGAGTCTTGTGGATCCAATAGTTGTCTGTAAAGCTTTGCTGACTTTCTGGATGCTTTCCTAGTGAAATGGCAGAATATCACTTATGCTCTGAGCCTTGTCTGAGGGGCCAGGTTTTGGCATTGGTCCTCCAGCCAAATCAATTTGTGTAAATGAGGTGATTGGTAGATTAAAGCAATCTCATCGAGATAGCTACAGGAGCCAATATGTGGCTCCCCCAGAATGTACAATATTGATACATATCCACCTATGAACCAACCTTTGTGACTGCTTTCATGGAATGTTAACTGGTCCTTAGTTTTGTAGCATTTGCCACAAAAAGAGCACTGGAAAGGTCTGTTTGAGGAATGAGCAGAACGGCGATGCTTGTTCAGGTGAGACATACTCAAGTACGTCTTGCCACAGTCTACACACACATAGGGACGAAAACCTGAAAAACCCCACAACAGAATGGAATTACAAAATAAATATTTATCTGAACTTGATGGTGGTGTAGCAGATCAAAGCTTAGACAAAAATAGAACATATGTCTGCATGACTGAGGGAAGAAATTAATGGTATTTCTCACTATGAGGCAGTTTAAAAACTGTCATAACTTGGCTTGTTGTGGCAGACCCAGTTATTACAGGTATTATTGTATGGAAATATTATTTTGCTTTATAAACAAAAAGTAAGGCTTTGAAAATAGAAATTTACTTCCTCAGTAAGTCACTCAGTTGCTCCATCAGGAAATATCCTTTCTCTCCCAAAACTATACCCATGCAATAGCCAAGAGTAGGGACGAGAGAGAATAGTTTTTCTTACACACAGATGGTTACAGGAACAGACGACTGCTGACTTTTTATGACTGCTATATTTTATGTGAGAGAGAGAGCAAAAGCGAGAGAGAGAGAGAGAGCAAGAGAGAGAGAGGGAGAGAGAACAAAAGAGAAAGAGAGAGAGAGAGGGGATATAATTTAATTATTAAATCATTTTTATTTTAGCCAAAGTTTTAGCAAATGCAGTATTTGTATACTGTACTGTTAATAAGGACTTTGGGTAAATGTTCTGTGAGGAGTTAAGAGGGGCAAAAAGCAATATGAGTAGTCTCAAACACAACACAGTACAAAGTGTAAATCTTCAATGTTCAATATCCTTGTTTGAGAGAGTTTTCCTTACCTGAGTGTGTTAGACGATGTTTGTACATGTAAGATTCTGTAGAGAAGCCCTGGCCACACTCATCACAAGTAAACCTCTGCTTCAGATGGTATCTGAGGAGGCATAAAAATAAGACTTAAGCAAAATTAATAGCTCCTTTTTCAGTAAGCCACTGAGTTGCTCCCATAGGCAATCTCACTCTTTACCATGTACTGTACCTTGTGGACTTCAAGCAGGGTCAGTGTGATCTTCTCATCCCCCCAATGCACCAGGGATTTCTTCAGACTATGGACAGGGAAAGAGAGACTAGATAATTCTCCATTTAGCCCTGAATGATGATCAGAAGATATATTTCCCTAGGATCAAAAAATAAAATAAAAGAGGAACTGTAGGCCTAGATCACCAGACGTCTACAGTAGGAAGGCTCGGGAGAGAGAAGGGCCAGTGCCCCACACTGATGATGAAAATGAGGAAGGCAGTTATAATGTGGCAAATGTAGTTTTACTCCAAAACCCCTGGGAATATGCCTCTTATACTGTCAGCATCATGAAACCTAAAGATATTAGCTTAATTTGGTTTCCCATTGACAAAGGCACTAAAGCCATTAGGCTTATCGAGGACTCCCTAAGCTAATTACTGACCTTTCCCAAGATGCAACCCACAACAATTGCTTAAATCCTGGGTGCCTGTTTACTCCTAGGTGAACAGAAACATAAAGTGAAAGGTAACATTGCCCAAATGTGTCATAGCCATAAAGATGACAATACGTCCTCATTAGAAACTCCAGATGTGAAGAGCGAGAAGTTGGAAGTAGTGAAGCACACTGCCGGGTTGACTCTCTAGAAGAAGCGGAGCCATGGAAAAATGGCCAAGTTCAGTTACTGAGCAAGCAGTACTGGAAACCAAGGCTGGGCCAACCACCAAGGAGACAGAAGGATCACCCTCCTATTGTAGGACTCCAACAGCACCAAAACCTGGAGCAACAGTTGGACCAAGGGAACAAGGTCCAGAAATCCTCCACCTTGACCAGTCCAGCCAAGAGGTGTCAACTGCAAGGGCCTCACAGTTGGGGAATGGCGCCACATAAAGAGGAAGACACCAGGATAAAGCTGATACGAAAAGGTCCATGTACGGTCGAGACAATGAACCACGGGGAACCAGTTCGAATGGAGTCGAACTACGGAGCCCCAAGGAATCCATATCCACCACAGCTGCACAGCACGTGCCACACAACCACAAACTCCTGCAAGACAAAGATCAATGCCCCTGACCAGCATGATGATCGCTGGGAACAAACCCCCAGCTAAGAGCCGAGGCATCCATAAAGACTTCAAGTGCAGGTAGAGGAAGGCACCAGGGGATTGAACCCCGAAAAATCCAAAGAGGCAGCTAATGTAGCAATGTAGGGCCAACGGCATCCAACCCCAACAATCACTGCAGTGATCGTTAATCATTTTGTTCACATTATAGGGGAGGTCTTTGGGTGATTTTGAGGTATCAATATTTCTAATAGCTAACAGTGCTTTGTTTTGTTTTGCCGACTCTGAAGGTTCTTCCCTAGTGATGTTGGACAAAATTAAAATTCACTGATAATTTTATCATAGTGCCACTGCTCTCTGCACCTCTAGTTCAGACTAGATTCTGGCCCATGGTCCCAGAGAATCCTTAAAGAACTCCGCGACTAATGGCACCTTGTAGTCTGACACTATATCAGCACTGTAGCTTCAGGGAGCCACAAGGGGCTCCCCCTAGAAATAAGTAAAACAGGAAATTTCAAAATACTCACCTATAGTGTGACCTCATGAGTGCAATAGTGGAGAAGACTTTGCCACACCCATTATGAGTACATGGGATTGTCTTGGGTTTATGCACTGATAGTAAATGGTGGCGAAGGGTGTGGCGGTCTGGGGAGAAACAATAATACTGTAATAATAATAATACTGTAATAATAATAATAATGATGATAAACAGAGGAATCACATTAACAAGATATATATATCAATCAGAAAATCAACTAGAGCCCTGAGGTGACTGACCCACTACTGAGAGAATCCCAGCCGCTGACGCTAATCACTAGACCTCCCTGACTTGGTAAAAGTCATACAATCATATCTCTACTGAAATCACAGGAAGTCAAGAGGCCCGTCCTGAAGCCAGTTTACATTTTACGTACGACCCACAAGAAAGATACCTGGCTAGCAAATATCTGGAAAAAAAAACAGATATCTGGTTCTTTCCCAGACTGGTGTGAACCGAGAGCCTCACCAGCCAGTCGTTGAGGTAGGCCAAGACCCGAAGACCTAGCAGATGAAAACGGGCCACCACAATCCGAATCAGAAGCGCAAGGTATCAGATACAACCCAAAGGAAAAGCCTGAAAGTGATAAACCTGTCGCCCCACCACGAATCTGGTTCCAGAGTGACATCGACCTCTTGGCACACTACATTAGTCAAAAACTGACGAATGGTGGCCTGGCCGACCCGGGCCGGCTCCACCCTTCCCCCACAATGAGGGGGGAGGTGCAGGTAACTAGCAGGGGGCTGGTTTTACAAAGTTTTGGTTGTTTATTTTCTTTTAGTAGAGTCCTTTTGATATTGTGGTCTTGTGTCTTGTATTAAACCATGCAGTGGTTTGTTTTGAGATGCCTACCTTTCTAGGTGCTTCCCTGGTCAATGGCAATATGATAAACTTTACATGTAAAGTGTTCATGGGTCATTGCTCCCTGCACCTCTGTGAGGTGGCTAAGTTCTGGCTCATGGGCCACAGTAGGCAAACAAGAACTCCGTGACTGATGACACTCGAGTAGTATGGCACTTAATCAGTAAGCTAACTTCAGAGTGCCTCCAAGGCTCACCCAGAAATAGGCATTTCATTAGATTCAACTCTGGTTTTTAATCTTTACAAACTAAACAATTTAAAAAATAGACCAAACAATTTTACCACATTTTTAAATAGTGAATAATATGCATACAAAAATAGGCAAATTAATTGTACCTCCTAATGATTTCAAGCAGAGTTCACACTGGTATTTTATCTCTGAAGCAGCCCTGTGTCTCCTCTTGATGTGGTCCATATAAGAGGCTCTTAGTGTGAATGACATACCACACACACATATGAAGTTTGGCGTGTCTGAGTGGACTGCTTTGTGGGTTCGTAGAGCACTGAAACATAATAATTTACTGTAGTGAAGAGAAAAATTAGAAAATATATTTTTATTTATGGATTCATATTTCATTACAAGTAAAATGATACATATGTGTACAGTACTGTATATATATATATATATATATATATATTCTGAATCAATATTTCACAGTAAAATACAGGAAAGTAATGTATCATTGTCACACAATTCCGAACACAGTAAGTGGACTCAAGGTAAGGTATTTATCAGAGAAAGCGCTTGAAGCCAATACTGTATGACTATACCAACCCATCCTCCTGTTTAGGAAGTCATCATAGTGACGATGAGGACCATCGTACATATACTACTACATCGTACATATACAGCACCCAGTGCATAGGTTTGAACCCTCCTCACGGCTCCTACTGATTTACTCATTGATACATCACGTTAACGTGATTTCTTTGTGTATTATTATTATTATTATTATTACTGAAGTAATTTCCTACAAAATGCTTTCATAACACATGTTTCATAATCATTCTTTTAACAATTTCTGTCTTTGAACAGCAAACATGTTTCTGCCCAGTTTTCTGTAGATTGTACTTTGACGTTGTACCATTTATGAAGCAGTCACATACCACTGTGATTATGAACCCTAAATAGGAGTGTCAGGTACCCTCTCCCCCCCCTAAGCTTGTGCCCTTGATGGCCCTGTCATACATTATATCCACCAACCTTGTGCTCTTTAAGATTGTCATTTATCTTCACCATTTTGCCCCTCCAACATCCATTTCTGATGACTATAATTTCCAGTTAATTGTTCTTAATTCTTCAATGACTTCTTCACCTGACCAGATAACCCTGCTACATCTTTATTCTTACTTTTGTTTATTAAAAATTCAATCCCCATGCAGACAAAAATTCTCTTAACTATTGCTAAAGAAATAGTTTTGATAGGAAAACTTTGCACTCACAACTTAAAAATGAAGGTTTTACCGCACACATTGCAGACGTTGTTGCGCTCCTTTATGTGTTTAGCAAGGATGTGTCTTCTTCTGCTCTCTCGGGTAGCCAGTCTCAACCCACATAGCTCGCACATGAATGGTTTTCCTGTCAGGTCGACATGTTAGCTAATTTCTATTACAATGACTGTACCTAAAGTATATATATTGCAGAAATCATTAAAAATAAAAACAAATATTATCCTTATAAAACTAAATGCTTTTTATAAGGCACATCTTAACACTTTCACATGTTGTTGTTGTTGTTTAAGATTCGCTACCTGGAACAAAGTTCCAAGTAGCACGGGCTATGGTGAGCCCGTAGTGGACTACACTTTCAGGATTTGGCCCCTCGGTGGGCTCGGCACCAACGTGTCCACTTTCAGGGTCCAATTCAACAACACAAAATGTTTAGACTTCTTTTAATATGATTTCTGTTATCTTTTGGATTATAATTATTAATTTTGAGTCTAAATTTTCAGAAATAATTGTTATAGAGTACATTGATGAATAGTAATGATTGGTATGTGCATTACTGTATACAGTATTCTCTGCATTGAGTTGTTGGATATGCTTAGGTTTATAAATAATTAACCATTCTTCACATTATTTATTGTAAATAAAAATAAAGCTAAATGATCAGCTTATGTAGCTGTAAAAAGAAGAAAAACTTTACATGCGTACATTTTCATCAAGTAATTTGCAACTTGACGAGAATTTATGCTTCAACAGAGTGATTACTTTCATCACGTTGAGTAACAGCATGTTTGGCCAAGGTGATCTCCAGTTGGTCCCCTCATATATTAATTGGTCCCCCTGATAAGCTCTGCCCACACTATGATCATGTATTTCTTCAAGAAAGGGTAACTAGAATGGTTAATGAAGTGATTTTTGGAAAATTCTTTATCATATAACACATTCTAGCATCATGGAGACACTAAAATGTATTATCAACCTGCAAAAGTATTAACTGAAAGTATCTCACACTGAATGATCCATCGTTGAGTATTATAATCATACTAAACTGCAGGCTACAACAATTTCTTAATGCTAATGCCATGTTTTTTCTCAAATATGTAAGCTACAGTTATTCTAGGGATGTTGCAATAGTTTACCTAAAACTCACCGGTGTCGTTAATTGTACAATAAAAATTGCCAAATGACACTTCTCTCTTCCTCGGGAAGAAAATCTAATGGACTGGAATATAGTTTTACTCTAATCTGATGCAAGATTTTATACTAAGAGGCCTCAAGATAATGTATTTTGCATAAAGAGAAGTTTCTATATACAGTATTGTATTGTTCATAGCATAATAATAAATTAAATGTTACCTTTAGTTGCAGGGAAGGATTGGTAAGTAACAAATTTGGGTTTGGTAACTCCTCTAGTTAATCGAGTATGGGCCGAAGTTCTCAGCAAACAATAACCCGAGCTGCTCCTCGAAAGAAAAGAAAATAGAAAGATAAGTTTCAAGAATAACATACAGCAGAACTATAAAATAGGTAAAAAAAAAAGATACATTTTGTAGCATTGAACTTGATAAAGTATGTTGTATGGCACTCAATTCAATAATTAAAAAATAAAATACCATGAGCATGTGTAAAGCTTCTTTCTACTGCTCACAAAGGCATACTGAATCCCATGGGTCAACAACACAAATCAAATCAAATTTTGCAGAGCCCTGATGCACACAGTGTTGATCCACTACTTATCCTTAGGATCAATGGACAGTTGAGCATGAGATACACCTGGCAATGATGTAGAGAATATAGCAACCCTGCAGAACCATGATAAGTTACAGTACTTTTTTTTAAGTTGCAGAACTTTTTTAAGTGGTAAACATTTATATTAGAGTGTACTCATACACTGTAACAGGGGCAGAAGGGGTGACTAAAATATTAATTCCACAATTTTCTTACGAGCTCACAGGGAAGAAGTGAAGCAAACAGTTGTCAATGGTAATTTAAAACAAATTGTGTAAATATTTTTCCCACCTCGTTCGTACAATAATTCCTTAGTAACCTGGTTTCTTTCTCACCTTTCTGCATCTACTATAGCCTCAGGATCATCAGGATTCTCCAAGATGTCTTTCTCCACCTGTCTAGCCAGTTCTCCCCTGTCTCTGTCAGTTGCCTCATCCACTTTAGATTTTGACAAACTAATTTCATCTCTTTCTTTTACTAAAGGCCAGCAACTGGGAGACTGAGAGCCGGGGCTCTCATCACCAACCAAATACTCCTCCAAGTAGATCACGTCTTCCCTCTCCAAGCTTCCCATGCAGCTGATAAAGTAATCGATGTTGTCCAAGCTCTAAAATGAAAACAAGTTCAACTTCACATTTACTCAATTACATTGCATTGTATAATGAAGCAGCTTCTAATACTATATACAGTATAGATAAGATGCAATTCAGTGACATTCTTTAGTATTGACAATTCATTACATAATTATATGGTCATTTCATTTTCAATATATCTTTGTTCATGACAACGTTATATACTGTACTGTACCTCATTCCATTCACTGGAGCTCATACTGCTGAAGAGACAGTCACCTGGAAACAAGAGTAAAATAAACAGCAACTCATAATTTCTTTTACCGAATGACATATTATACCAATTTTGTTTACAATGAAAGAATGGTGATCTCTCAGCTAGACTTGTACCCCATGGTGGTAGTGCTGTGAAATCCTGTGCACTGAGCAGTGGTAAATTGCCCTTATCCTAGGACACAAGTATCTCGTGTCAGGTGTCTATGGATTGGTGATCACACAGGCAGTTCAGATATCGTGTGTGGTAACATGATGTCTGATTATACTAGCAGATGGCAGTTTATACCTCTCGCCGGTATAATGGGTGGATTCCGCCACCATAACTTCAGCTGTCAAGTGTAGCAGGTAGAGGAAAAGGTCACGACTGACTTAACTTTGCCAATGGTACTGATAAACGCTTCCTCCACTACTCTCAGTGATGTCAAAGGAACCAATAGTTCACCCAATCACATGCTAGTGACAGTAGAAATTGCATTCCGATTGGTGTTTTGTGTGGAAACCTCTCCACAACGAGATATATGGCCGCGAGTTCAGCCATCATGATTCGAGCTCCATATTGTGGTCTTGTGGTCAAGATCTTGTGCCATTGCTCTAGGCAATTTTACATTGTTAATAACCTCTGAGAGCAGCTTGCACACCTGTCCTAGCCTAGCTGCACACAGAGGTTATCCAATATTAATCTCAGACATACAATAACAAAATGTTCAATATCCTAAACTGCAATTACCAAAATACTGTAATATGAATCGACTTGAGAATGGTCCAGGACAGACCAAAACGTCGTCGTCCCTTCACCTTCTAGTGTGTGGTCTGGTCAACATACTTTAGCCACGTTATTGTGACTCATTGCCTGCACTGCAATATAAATTTCATATCACAAGTGATATATTGTAATTTAAAAGACACAATTATATACTATTTGTATAATGTATATTTAACAATATCTTGTGTTTCATTATGTATAAATAAAGTGCCTCAAGGCAATGGAGGTTTATTGTGGTGCAGAACTGTCTACAGTTCCACAGTTTAAATCAAAGACCCCTATATTTTGCTAGCCTCTTATGAAAGGCACAGGAATTTGGCACCACCACATTCCATAGTTCTCAGATCAGGCTACAGAAATCCCTTGCTAGCCACATTAGGCTCGAACAAATAATGCTAATCAACCTCAGCATTTACGAGCGACTTATTTTAAATTGTAGTGTACGAAGCTTGACTTGATGATGATGACAAACTCCTCTAAACACTTAGCTTGGAGCTTGACTTCATAATTGACATTTGCCAAATGAATCTTTATAACAACCTATATGAAGGTTACAATTTACTTGAAGGTGGTTCTCCTGACAACTGCACTAGCAGTATTGTAGACTTGACAATTAGGTAACACTTTTGGGGGTTTCCCTGATAAATAGACAAAGATTCTTCTAGCAATTTTCACTAGCTATCAAGTCAGCAGACTTAAATAATTTTTGTCAACTGGCAATAAAGACAAGTACGAATTCATCCATAATATACATAAGACTTCATGTGATAATTTAGCATGATGGATATATGTAGAATAACAGTAGATGTACTGTATCAGTTAATCACTTCTATTGCTATGAGAACAACTGAGGTTCTCTGGTTCAATCTCTGGGCAGAACAGAAATGGTTAAGAACCTTTCCTTTTGCCTGATGCCTCTCTTTACCTAAGAATGCTAGTGGTGTATTTTGGGCATTGCAAGAATGTAATCACCAACATATTTATTTTCATAACCAAATGTAAAGTCTTGTATGTAAATAAATCAATAAATTAGGGAACTGCTGTGGAGATATATCCAGAAGATCAGTAGAGTGACCTTGAAGGGATCTTGAAATATAAATATACAGTATATACATAGGCTTCCTGTATATACTGTATATATATATATATATATATATATATATATATATATATATATATATATATATATATATATATATATATATATATATATATATATATATATATATATATATATATATATATATATATATATAGTCGTACCTAGTAGCCAGAACTCACTTCTCAGCCTACTATTCAAGGCCTGATTTGCCTAATAAGCCAAGTTTTCCTGAATTAATATATTTACTATAATTGTTTTCTTATGAAATGATAAAGCTACCCTTTTCACTATGTATGAGGTCAATTTTTTTTTATTGGAGTTAGAATTAACGTAGATATATGACCGAACCTAACCAACCCTACCTAACCTAACCTAACCTATATTTATAGGTAAGGTTAGGTTAGGTAGCCAAAAAAGCTAGGTTAGGTTAGGTTAGGTAGGTTAGGTAGACGAAAAAACATTAATACATGAAAACTTGGCTTATTAGGCAAATCGGGCCTTGCATAGTAGGCTGAGAAGTGAGTTCTGGCTACTAGGTATATATATATATATATATATATATATATATATATATATATATATATATATATATATATATATATATATATATATAATTTGTAATGGTTCTTAAGAGGCAAGGGATGGTTATGTTGAACACTGTTGGGCTAAGTGTTATTGGTAATGTATTAGGGGTAGCCACATGTTACGGACCCGAGCCCGACGTCCGAGCACGGAGCAGTGACGACCGCGCCATCTGTGGGTCAGCTCCCGAAACCCCCTCCAAATGGCCGCCGCCACCTAGTGAGGACGAGATATACGAGCCACAAGGGCTAGTTTCCCGTCCTGATCAGCTCATAACACAGCCGCTGCTGACCTCTGGTGAGGTGGAGCTTAGACAGCAACGCCATCTATGGAGTAGATACGTCGGGCGTTTGTGTCTAAGCCTGTAAGTAAGGTGTCCTAGTGTGTCCCTGTTACTGATGACGTGTCTGATTACAGAGTCGACCTGGGACTGCTGTAATGGAAGATGGATCAGTCTACCCAAGGCAGTCGTCTCGTCTCCAAGTGTTTGCTGCAGCAGCTGTGAGTCGCCCCCGGATGAACACTGTGGTGTTAACCTGCCTGTGAAGTGGCAGTTGAGGGATTGTGATATCCGGGACTGACTGGTGGAGACGCTTAACCACTGGGCAGTTGTGGCAAGGAGAGTGATCTGTAGTATCACACGAGGCTCCTGACTAGGGTTCGCTACCTTAGTATCGATCGTGGAGTGGCCTAACCAGCGTTGCTGTTTGGAACCTGCCAGCTGCCGGCTGGACTTGTGGTTGAAGGCCTCCACGACGGTGCCCCCAGTGGAACTGTGACTTGGCTGGCCTGTGGCCAGGGTAGACTCAAGATTCTCGAAGGATTCGTCGTGAGGCCACAAGAGCACCAAGAGCTTAGCATCGTGAGCACCGTGAACGTCTAGAGTCTTCAGAAGAAGACAACGTTGTGTATTATAGTGTCTAACCCCCCCCTGTGTAACCTTCTTTATATTATTTATGGTGATGGTGGTAATTATATTATTAAGTTTTTGACTTTATTTCCCTTCCCCCTTTAATTTACTTGCGTTACGGATCACATCCCTTGAAAGCCACTACTAGCTTGGGGCTGGATACCCTATCTCTAACAACATCTGAGAAAGAACCCGGTTGCGACCCGAGAGGGCCGTAACACCACAGTACATGGCAGTACGTGGTTTTTGTTATTAAGGGTAGCGACAGAGGTAAGCTGGATGTGCCATGCCAATCCAAATTTTAAGACAATGAAAGTAAATTCCTTTTGTGAAAGAATGTACATCAGTGGGAGGTCGAGTCACAGCTGATGTGTTTCAATGTAATCTATACTGTACTAATTTGTATAAACCCTTAAATACAGACTATGACGATGCTTATGAACTGTGACTCGTCCTCTCCCCTGACTGCTATATTCCACAAGGAAATATACTCTCAGCGTCTACTCCAAATTTAGACTGGCAGGGCACATAAGGCTTAGTTTCGTTGGCTATACGTCATGTTGGCGGAAAAATTACTTCGCCTTTTGGCATAATTCGTCTTGATGATACAGTACTTAGAGTTGCATGAAGAGTTTACCCTCCAGATGACCGTCTCAGACCCTCAGGGAACGAGTCAAGATCAACGTCTGCAAAATGTTGTCTCTTCTTGTTGATTTAGGAGTAACGACGACCTAAGGAGCTTCCTTAAGGCACGTGTAGTCTGCATGAAGAGCTTCTCCTGAGGAGGGCAGGAGGAGGAGAGCATCAGCTGGCCTCACTGTTTGTTTACTCTGCCTCAGTCACAACAAAACCCAAAACAAGTGACTAACTTTATATATCGAAATTGAAATTGAAATAAGTTTATTGAGGTAAAATACACACAAAGGTAGCTCAAGCTATTCTCACCCCGTTCAGTACATCGTGTTAATACATACATATAAACACATCACAAACAATAAACATATTACCAAACATTCTGAGAGATAAACATCTACATGTCCTACTTTATATATCGATAAATAATAAAAATAACATTTATTTCTATTATATTTAAAACTTTAATATTTTGCTGGATTTTTTTCTAATCATCGTAATATATGTGAAAGTCTAAAAAGTATTAATGTGACCGAAAACTATTATTGTTGAAAACCGTGAAAGATAAAAGTGTATATTAAGCAATATTACATAAGTATTATATTTTATAGTGAACATTTGTTTAATAGGAAAAATATTTAATATTTAAATCGTCTGTAACAACATAAACACGCTAAGAAATAACTACCAAACATGCTGCTGTACAAACTTGCTCATATACGGTACACACATGTTAATAAAATTAAAAAAATAACTTTTTTCTCTGTAAAAGATCAGCCAATATATATAGAATCAAAGTACTTTGCGTTTTTCTACAGTGATGATATAGGAGACGTTGTGAGGGAGAGACTGGAGCCGCCGCCACCACTCGGCCCGACACTCAGACACTCCTCACCACAATGGTAATATTTAGTGACTCCACAGGAGGAGAGTGTGTCTTATGACTTGATAGTGACGTGACATGATAGTTGTGGAGCAGGTGTGTGTGTGGGTTATAGCAAGGTTGTGTAGCCTGGCGTCTCTGGGGCCCCCTTGTGTATGGTCTCCTAACAACACCTCCACAAAGCTCGTTTTCTCATAATATAAATAGTTTTCCAAGCCATTTATGTTATTAGGTTATGGTGCATTAGGTTAGGTTAGTTTGGGTGTCAGCATTATAGGTTTTTGTCTCACAATCAGGAATCCCGGATTCGAATCTTGGGCGGGACAAATGATAGGGCACATTTCCTAGCGCCTAATGCCTCTGTTCACCTAGCAGGCATCCCAGGAGTTAGTCGACCGTTGTGGGGTTGTATCCTGCAAAGGGTCACTAGAGAAACCTTAGGGAGAGGGGGGCAACCTCGATATAAGACTAATGTGTATATACGCAGGCTACCTGTCCCTGACAAAATGAATAAAAATCTGTTGGCAAGCCGTGTTGTATATGATGCATGCGACTTTTATCCTTTCCAGGGTGGGGGGTAAGGTAAAATGATAAAATTGTACAAACGACAAAGATGGTAGCGATTGTCAAAACCCTAAACTGTACAGTACAGTATTGTTAAATTAGGATGCATTAAGTTGAGCTGGTTAGGTAAGGATAGATAGGTTTTAATATCCACTGGAGAATCATGTTTACGATGTGACTTGGGAACTTTCCTAAGCATTTCAATACTTGTTAAGTAATTACAAGGGTTCTAGAAGGAAAGTCAGCTGACTTAACACTGTAATTCTTGTTATTTACAAATTGCTACAAATCCCAATTTAATTTTGTTAGGTTTGAGGCTTTAGAGAAATGCAATGTGTTAGTGACTTTGCAAGAATCTATTGCAAGCTAATGATTGTTATCTGTTATTGCTTAGGAAAACACTTCTAAACATAGGCCTTTATTTAGCAATCTTTTGGGTAGCTTCTCAATCCTTTAGCCACATAAGCCACAACACAGCAGTCTTGCCACACATGATGCTCTTGAATCAATAAATTACTGGTGCATATATCTCCTTACATGTTCATTTATTTTTGAGAACACACATTTCTTTTCATGTATTCACCCATACCTGTTATAACCCAAATATATTCATTAAGTCTGAGACTACACTAACAAATGCTTTTTCTTTCAGTTATTCTACTCGTTTTTCAAGTCCCTAATTGGGAAAGACGTTGTGGTTGAACTGAAGAATGATTTAAGGTGAGTAGTCAGTTTTGTTGTTCCTGTGGAACAAAAGTTCATTGTCTTGTTCAGTATGTTCACATTGAATCTAAATGAATACTGTTTACATAATAACTTAAGTGTAGTTGCAGGATGAGAGCTACACTCGTGGTGCTCCATCTTCCCAGTACTCTGTGATATGACATTTTGGAACTACTGACATTTTGGCATCTACTGCATTCACTTAACTTGCAGGCGGTGAGTCACAATAACGTGGCTGAAGTATGTTGACCAGACCACACACTAGGAAGTGAATGGACGACGACGTTTCGGTCCGTCCTGGACCATTCTCAAGTCGATGTTCATTTAACTTGTTTCAACCTTCTACCACTCTGTTTGCAAAAGAACACTTTCTAATATTTTTCTGAACAAATCCACAAGGGCCGTGACGAGGATTCGAACCTGCGTCCGGGAGCATCCCAGATGCTGCCTTAATCGACTGAGCTACGACATGGTCGTTCCTCATCACGGCCCTAGTTGATTTGTTCATATGATGCATCACGCTATTATGATTTCTGTGTATAATTTTTCTGGACCTTTCCTTTCTTCACTTAAATCTTTGACCTCATGTTTTTGAAGGTACACATTTCAAGAATTCCTCTTTACAATTTTGACAATTCCTGTTACTGTTGTGTATGTAGTGATCATATCACCTCCTTTTTTTCTTCTGTCTTTATCAGAAGATTTTCTTCTTGTTTATCAGTTCCAGAAACCATTCGGTAGCATGTCTTTCCACATTTTCCACCTTACTGATGCGTACTTAAGAGCCATGAAATGCAAGTCAGTTGTGTACACAAGATAAATACAATTTACTCACCCAACCACTTGGGCTGGACAGTAGAGCAACAGTCTTGCTTCATGCAGGTCGGCGTTCAATCCCTGACCGTCCAAGTGGTTAGGTGCCACTCTTTCCCCTCCCCCCCCCCATCCTATCCCAAATCCCTGTCCTGATCCCTTCCAAGTGCTATATAGTCATAATGGCTTGGCACTTTCCCCTGATAATTCCCTTCCCTTCACTCTCCAGGTACGTCACATATTCACATGCACTCTCTTCCTCTGTAGCCAATGTTGAATTGGGAGAGACATCTCTCCCGGTGCACATTCTCTCAGAACTCAAGATGAAACTCCATCTGGATCAACTGGGTCAACGGCAGTCTCCGTTGTGTAGTGGTTAAAACACTTGCCTGCTGTTTTGCAAGCGCTTTGTCCTGGGTTCATATCCTGACTGGGGAGGATTTACTAGGCACAAATCCTTAACTGTAGCCCCTGTTTAACTCAACAGTAAAATGGGTACCTGGTTGTTGAACGATTTTTTGCGGGGTCGTATTTCAGGAACATAGGACTAAGGACTTACCCAAAACACTAAGCGTACTAGTGGCTGTACAAGAATGTAGCAACTCTTGTATTGTATATATAAATAAATAAAAAAAAACTGCTTCGTTTCTTCCTAGCTCCCCGAGTAATTTTTCCACTTCATATCAAAACACACCTATGTACAGTATGTTACTCCCTGAAATTGCCAGTGTGTCTGGTTCTCTGAAAATCATTTCACCTACAGTATTCTCATTATACCACTCTGGTATGTCAGTCCATGATCACCTTCCTTGATTGCCATATGTGTAAAGCATTTATATTTTACTCAGTCTCTTTGTAATAATATGCATTGTTTTTCTGAATATGAAGTAGTCAGCTGGCTTTTAATTATGTGACTGAGATAAATACATCATGTTCCACTCTCATTGCTCTCAAGATGATGTCGTGATGTGATATACCGTTATCATAAAAACTGCTCTATTGTGTACTGTGCTTGGGTATGAACACTGTTCAAATATGGCTTTCTTTATTTATATCAAAATTTAAACACTGTACTGCATAAGTAAGTACAGGTAAACAATAATTCTTGTTATTTTTTATCATGAATTCATCTCATTTGATTTCTATTTCTATTGAAATAGAAATTCATCTCTATTTCCAATTTGATTTCTTCAGGTGGTTTGTAATGTACAGTTCTCTGGGGTTTCTCTCATAACTTAGAATTATCCTATTCTTTGCAGTATTTGTGGCACGCTTCATTCAGTCGACCAATACCTGAACATCAAGCTTACTGATATTAATGTCACCGATACAGAGAAATACCCACACATGGTAAGTCTTTCTCTTAATATATTTTATATTTGTCATATACTCATGACAAAACCAGTGTAGTTGGATGATATGATATTTAGGTTTATTTCTCATGGAATTTGTGTACTGGGATATAGTGGTTAACAACTTAATTATACTGTAATGGGAAAATATTAAATGTTTGTATTCAAAAGTAATATTTGAACTCTTGAAGAAACAATGGGGAGCGTGTACTTCTTGATACAAACTAATGGGAATGATCTGGTCAACAGGGGTCATTCTGCAGGTAATGACATAATTACCCGCAGTTACATAATTGTCATTCTACTTGGTTCTAACTATTATATAAGTGTATTAATAAGGAGGAAATATATACTATGACTTAAAATTGTAAAAATGTCTAAAGTATTTGCCGGGGGCTTTCTATTTCTTACATATCACTGTATTTAAGATGGCATAGAGCATACATGACCAAAAGCAGCAGTACATGTGTCACGAGGCCTGGTGGATACCCCTGGGGCAGACTGGCACAGGTTTAGCAATGTAGTCATTCACAGCTTTTTCCACGTCATTTATGGATGCTCGCATTAATAAACGTATTTCTTCCATGTTTACACTATGGGGAAGGCCCCCCATTAAGTGGACTGTTGTCTGAGTAATGGTGATGGACTACTATTAGGTGGAAAGAACTGGATAATACAAGAATCCTAAAAATGTGGATCTAGATAATGAGGGTTTCACTGTACTGTACTCCAAAATTATGGTGATACCACTGATACCAATTAATACCTAATAAGAACATGTCATAATAGTAATGTAACTTAACTAATTACAAAATTACTTGAAAAGAAATATTTTAAACCAACTGTTATAGATTATTCCAGAAAAAACATTCATGTAGTGACAACATGTATAATAATAATATTTGTATTATTAGCAGTCTACATGGCGTAGTGATAAGACGCTCGCCTGGCGTTCCGCGAGCTTTTTGTCCTGGGTTCATATCCTGGCTGGGGAGGATTTACTGGGCACAAATCCTTAACTAGGATTTGTAGTTAGTAGCCTCTGTAGCCTCTGTGTAACTCGACAGTAAAATGGGTACCTGGTTGTTAGACGTTTCTTCGCGGGGTCGTATTCCTGAAACTTAGGATTAAGGACTCGCCCGAAATGCTACGAGTACTAGTGGCTGTACATGAATGTGACAACTGTTGTACAGTATATACAAATAAAATAAAATTGTAATGTATGTGATGTGACATCTTCTATTTCCAGTTGTCTGTAAAAAACTGCTTTATTCGTGGCTCAGTGGTTCGGTATGTACAGTTGCCGGTCGATGAAGTAGACACACAGCTGCTTCAAGATGCAGCAAGGAGAGAAGCTCAACAGCAACGGCAGTAGTTTGTAAATTATGTGTATTATTATTTTCAATGCTATTTAAAGGTGTAATAACATCTTTATATTCAGATAACGTGTTCTAATGAATTTTATTTCTTAATTTTTTTTTGTAATACAGTACACAAGTTGGAAATACTGTACTAGTACTGTACAGTATTTTCCAGTACTGTGTATTTCCAAATACAGTACAGGTACTAGAAAAAATGTTTCCAAATTGGAAATATTTGTCTTGGATATTACTGTTTTCCAGTATCAGTTTTTATTTTATCACACAATAAAGATTGGGGGGTGATTTTGCTACATAATTTTCTTGTAAATTAGGTTGAATAATTAAACAGGCCAGATATAGGTGTTACCTAGACTGGGTTGTATGTGTTGATCTTACCACAATTGATAAATTGTTTTAAGTACAGTATAAATAAATGTTAACTTGGGTTTGCCATTTATGTAAGTTATGAATGCTGCTTAAAAGAAAAGAGTTTAATTAGTTGTTGATACAGTAATAAAATTTGTTGTTCATATTAGTAAAATCTTGTAATTACAGCAGAATGTTTAGAAATTTCCTAATATGCTTTGTAATTACAAATTTTATTGATCATTTTGGGTGCAAATTTAATGTGCATTATGCAGTGGTCAGTACTTATTCTGATAAGTAATTTAATGATGCTGTTTGCAGTACAGTACAATACTGTATTAAAAAATATATATATATTTTTATTTGCCATACTCCCCGAAGTGCTAATATCCAATACTGTACTGTACTTTGTACTGCATTATATCAAAGTTGTAAATTAGGTTGTACAGTGGAACCTCTATATTTGTCAGCCCCTATATTCATCAGATTCAATATTCTTCACATAATTGGTGACAAAAAACTTTCCCTATTTCTTACCATCCCTACTACCGACATTAAGGAAATGCTGTCCAATTAGGCTAAAATGCAAAATATGGTTGAAAATGACACCCAAACATTGCCATAGGTAATCAAAACATAAATGCAGGCAGTGATAATGTGATTTTCTACTTCAGGAAAGTTTAAAAAACAGACAGACAACATTGGACAAGTTCTTTGCTAAACAGTGCACTAGTGAATTGTCGGCAAAGGGAATCAAATAATGATCACCAGAATTGGAGTTGCCTGATGTTTTAATGGGAAGTGACTCCCCTTCTAAACAATAATTCCTTTAAAATCATAATGAAATAATTTCTTTCCTCCTCTTCAGCTTCTACCATCATCTCTCCTTAGTACGGTAAAGGTAAAGTTATGGCTAAATTGTTATTTATTTTTGTATTTTGGGGGGCTGGGATGGTTTACAGTAATTGAATTTTAGTTATTTCTCATAGGAAAATTGTTTCCACGTTCGTCATGCCCTCGGGAGCAGATTAATGACAAATATAGAGGCTTCACTATAATTGATTGGAAATGCTGATAATAATACCCAAGGTGTGGCTGCAGGAAATGCTTTGACCCTCATCACTTGGCCAAAAAAAAAAAAATAGATAGAAGTAATGATGACAAGTGACCTTGATACAAAGAGTCAGAACCCGTCACCCTGTGTTGCGTCAAATTGGTTAATAAAAAGTCGGAAATTCTCTGGATCGAAAAATGTTGTTTGAAGGCATCCTTAATTAATTACTGAATTATAATGTCCATTTGGATAATCTGTGTAGGCTCACAACCAGTTAATGTCCTGTTTGAGTCACCAGAGGAACGTGGGGAATTGTTTATCATTTTCCTCATTAACCTTTGCCAGTTCTTAAAACAACATACCACACGATGAGTCACAATAACATGGCTTGAAGATATGAGAACTAAACCACACGCCAGAAGATGAGACGACGTTTTGGTCCGTTCTGGACCATTATCAAGTCGATAATGGTCCAGGACGGACCAAAACATTGTCATCTCATCTTCTGGTGTGTGGTTTAGTTCTCATAGCATAACAGCATTTAAACAGCAGTAGAGTATAAACATGACAAGTGTCCTTAATTTAATTTGACCTTTTATAGTACAGTATATTAGATGGAGGGGGGCAGCCGGGCAGTGTCCATGTTTAACCCTCCCCACACACACTATGGACTTTGGGTGGCACATTTCATATCCACCAACTTGACGAAGGGAGAATATGGACTGCCTGCCCTTCAAGGGATGTATAGGGGTAGACCCTCCCATCCCATGTCACTCTCCATAAAATCAACTATAATTCTACGAAGTTTAATAATGCTAGCCCCAAGCATCTGGCCTCCAGCCATGAAGTGACAGAGACAAACAGATATTGTATTGTGTTGATATAGGTGTTGACCAAACCACACACTAGAAAGTGAAGAGATGACATTTTGGTCCGTCCTGGACCATTATCAAGTCGATTGTCGATTGATATCCCATTGATCTCAACCCATCCTCCTAAAATGTCAGTAGAGGTAGTGTACTTAGAGCAAGTATTTGGTTTAACATACCAGTATGTACTGCTGTACCCATACAATTCACACTTTGAACTGTTAATTTTGTAGAGGGAACATAAAAATGCTAAAAACCAAACTTAAACATTCCTAGGCCTAGTATAGTATACTATATTAGGACTTAGATATTGTATAATAGGCCTAGAATTGGTGAAACAGGTTAGGTTCTTACATTTCCAATTTTTTTATGCTGTTAGTTGGGGTAATTCAATAATACATAAGAAAATTAACTTCCCTACCTCTACTATTAGCAAACTAGAACTAGTACATAATGAAGTTATAAAGGTGGTTCTTGGGGCCCCAAGGTACACTAGAATCATTAACATGACAAAAGCACCGAAGATTCACACTAGTCTACAGAGAACTATACACGTTATTATGACTTTTGAATTAGTCATGAAAGGCTATCCCCCATCCCCAGAAGCATTATTTTCTGCCCTCAGTACTCCAGTGATTGGTGCCAATGCATCTACTCACTCTTTGTAAGATTAAGTAACAATGTCTTCAGTCTCATCAAACTAAACATGCCTTTTAAATACAATCTACCTGTGTGTGTCTGACACCCCAAATTATTCATTATACATACCCATCACTAAGAATGGTGATGAAAATCTTTCTTTTATGAAAGCAAGTACACTTAAACAATTGTTTCCTATTTAAAATACTGATCTTGTAAGCTCTGTTTATACCGATGGATCGTTCCGTCAACAGTATATACTGCAGCAGCCTCTAGGTTCTTTATTATATCTGCATACAAACTATTAGTATCAAGTTAACTGGCTGAACACTACACAAACAGAACTAGTTATACTACAACTAGCAACCAGTACACAAAAGAACACAATAGTAGTAGTAGTACTAATTTTCTATGATTCCAAGTTTGCTCTTCAAGCAGTTGAAAACTTCTACCAGATAAGAACTTTGTAAAAGCAATCATGAATAACCTCAGCAGTAAAGGGTTTAGAATAATTTTTGCATGGATTTTATATCACAGATACGGTAACTTGTGACACGACAGTTAAATTAGCATGCAACAAAGATGAAATTATGTAGACCTTGTCCCATCTGTTTCTAAAACTGTTGCTCCAAATATTCAGGTATAATGAGAGAGAAATCACATACACTAGATATCTTCCCCATATTCAGTCTCTGGATTTTATCCTTTACATGCAGCTTGCTATTAATAAATTTACAAACAAAATGCCTGGTTCTGTTTTACATTTGTCCATTACTCTCCTTTCTTAAAGCTTCTTTCTGCCTCTTTTTTCACTTCCATGAAGTTTCCTTGCTTGTTTGTATTGGTAATATGTTTGAGAGTTAGGCCTCCTACTGATTCAATTTTTCTGTCTTTTGGTCTCTGGTCCTCTCACAATTTTTGTTAAACCAATCTTGTTTCCTAGTTCTGCATCTCAGTCTTGGTATGATTTTTTTTGTGCATCATGTCTAACAAAATTTGCCATACATCTCATTTCCTTCCTTGCCTAACAACAACTCTTTCCAGTCAAATTCAATAAAGAAACTTGCTTAGTTCCTAAAGTCTCCTCTCTCGATATCAAGTTTTTCAAGTGCTTAATTGCCACCCTCCTTCCCCCTCTCCTGCGCCTCTAGATTATACGTAATGCGTTGAATATTTGATTTCCAAGAGGACATGGGATGCTATTGCCCAATAGAAGATGCTGAATATCAAATACAAGTATCTCCTTTTCTCTCCTGGTAAATACCAAATCCAGAACTGCGCATCTCCTCTTATTCTTGTAGTCTGTTCACCAAGTTGATTCATGAAAGTTTCCAGGATGAAATTTACAAGTCTGCTGGTCCAAATTCCTCCGTTCATGCTTCATAGGCTTCTCGGTCTATTGCTTTAAAATTGAAGTCACCAAGTACCAACAATTGTGATGTCTTTATTTGTTCTTACTGTAATCTCTCTCAAGACCATTATAAGGCCCTCTCTTCTGTCGTCAATTTTCGTTTTAGTTCATTTGTTGCTTGCTGGTGAACTAGGCAATAATGATTATTATCAGCTAATTACCTTGAGTGCCGGTCTCCAGTGCCATTATATCAACTTCTTGTGATGTATTCATGAGAAGTTGCCTTTATTCATTCCTTCACCAGAACAGCAACGCCTCTACCTTTTCTATTCCCCTCAAACTTCGCATTGACCCTTATCTTAGCTTCCCAAAGGTGTCTTAAGGCAAAGAGGGCAAAACAGAGGTTGACGAGAATGATAGCTATTTTCTATACTTCATAGGCATAATTAATGAGAAAAAAACACTACCCACGAACAAAAGTCGCGGTACATTGTATAATGTTAAAAAAATATTAAAGTACACACCGAACCAGACTCAATTTAATTCATATATAATCTTAACAAATCCATTTATATAAGATTAGATTTAATTAGAGGTTTAATTTAAAAATAGAGTTCGCAGTAATTGGGAACCTAAGTGTTAATCACGGGTGACAAATCTGAGGAAAGTGGCGGTGTATAACGTAACCGGTTCCAGTACTTGTTTCTAAGCCTAAGTCTCGACACAAAGATCAACAATAAAAAAACAATAGTACTAAAGCCAGTCTTTACTAAATGATAGCAACATTAAAATACAAGTATAGCTTGACTAAAGTAAACTATTTACACTGAGAAATGGGATACACTTGGGTGTGTGTATCCCTAGAACCAGTACACCCTCGGCCTGCCTTCAAGTTCATATTCAAGTAAGTTTATTGAGATAATAAAATAAATCCCGAAACGCTAGAGTAGCTTAGGTTATTTATATCTTGGTGTGCTCTAGCTCCATTAGAGTGGAGTGAGCGTGCTACCTGTGTGTGTGTGTGTCAGTATGTTGTTATAGATTTAGCTACTCGAAACAAGTTCCAAGTAGCACGGGCTATGTTGAACCCGTAGTGGACTTACCTGGCACAGGAGCGGGGCAAGTAGCACGGGCTATGTTGAACCCGTAGTGGACTTACCTGGCACAGGAGCGGGGCTGTGAGTGTGTCAGTAGCAGGTAAGTACTCATTAGGGCTCCCACCTGCCTGCCCTGTTATCTCGGTGGTCAGCGGCCAAGATAACACCTCACCATCTTATTACACATTACGTTCGAAAATGAAAAAGCTGTTTGTTCACTAGAAAATAATTATCTTATTGTATTTTTTCTTAGTGACATCTGGATTGGCTTTATCAATAAGCACATTTATTCCCAAATACTTTTCTGAGAAAGGAATAAATTTATTCTTGAATATATGTAACATATATGTTGAATGTATAGAGTTATATTTTGTTGTATATTTAAAAGTACAAATGAAGAGTAGCAGTTTTTCTGTCTTGTTAAATGCAATTAGGAATTCACAAGGATTCATATATATTTATTAATTATTGTTAGCATTATTGTCATTATTATTAGTACTAAAGGTACTATCGAATGACACACATAGACTATATAATCATCAAAATAAAAAGAGCCCTTGAAATGCTCTTTATATTGTAGGGTTTCAAAAAATAATGACAGCACTTTATATCTCACGAACGGAATAGAAGAACAAAAGTGTACAAAACTATTAACTCCCGTACGATAAATCATGACCCACAAAAAATGGTGTTCCAGGAATCCAGCGTCGAGATCATTATTTTCGGGAAAGATGTTTATCTTGCACCGTAAATTGGGACCTGGCCGATGTCATCACTACTGAGGTATTGTCAAGCATTTGGCTTCCACTTATACCCTTGCTCTTACGTTTGCATTTTAATGTAAGATATCTTTCTATTAAATGGAATAAAGAGTTTGCATTATACACCTATTCGTAAAGCGGTCATGTCAGACGAATGCCAATTAAACGGTTTCCTGTGTCATGTTTTTCTAAGATGATGGGAAGAATTCAAGGAATGGTCCTGAAAAAGTTACAATGGAAGACAGATCGTTAAGGCCTGAATAATAATGGCAATTAAAGAGATACTACACAATACGTAAATTTTATTATTATTTAGTTTGGGAATATATACAAAATATAGATAAATTTGAGAAGTGATTTGGCCCGTCCTTTCACCCATTCCAACGGTATTTGGACGCTTAGTGATATTTTCTAAATTACCTAACCTAACGCGATGTACTATGTGTGAGGACGGGTTAATTGTACTTGATCAGTGAACACG